CTTATATCTGCTTTTGAGAGTCGTTTCACTAATTTAGACAAATACCGAAAAAATATTTGAAATATATTCATCTCCTTTTCATACTGATGTCGAGTCGGCCCCAGAATATCTTCAAATGGAACTCATTGACTTACAATGCAATAATGAATTAAAACACATTTTTGAAACATCAAAATCTAAAATAGATTTTTATAACATTTATATCACAAAAGAAAAATTTCCTAATTTGAGAAATCTGGCACAAAAAGTTGTGAGTGCTTTTTGATCAACTTACACCTGTGAATCATTTTTTTCGAAAATGAAATTCGCCAAAGATAAATCACGCTCAAACCTAACAGATGAAAACCTGCAAAATCAATTACGATGTGCAAATACAAGCATTGAGGTAGATTTGAAAAAGCTTAGTGAACGAGTTAAGAAACAAATATCCCACTAAATTAAAATTATTATATTATTATCTATGTATGTAAATTATGAGTCATAATAAAAACAATAATAATTCAATTCTGTCGGTTTTGTAAAAATCTAAAATATGTAATTTAGTATGCGGCCCGTGAGCCCGTTATAATGTATTTCCAAAGTGGCCCACGAGATCATTCTTGGGTTGGCTACCCCTGATCTTAGATATAAAATATGATATTATAATAAATTTAAACGATTATACGGAACTAAAAACATAAAACAACGAATTTATTAGGTCAGTGTACGCCAAGTAATATCTTTAATTTCAAATAGGATGTATTTTTAATAATTTAAAAATTCATAATTATTTGAAAATATATTTAAAAGTATAAGTAAATTTATATTCATTTTTACGTTGTTATACAACTGAAGAAAAATAAAAATGTATGTATACTATATGACTGATTGTCTATACATATATTAGTGCTAACAAACTTCATTATCAATGATATAAATTTGGTTTTTTTTATTATAAATAATTTGTGAAGGCCTGCAAATATATATAAGTAATTAAGTATGTTTGAATAATTATGTAAGACGGTATTAAACGTATTTATAAAGTAAAATCTGGTTTTTTAATTTTTTAATTAAAATTTAAGACAATTATAAACTTAGTAGGTGTACTAAAAAATGAAAGATTTAAGTATTATTATGATCTATAATACTCTCTACAAAAAAACTTTTAAAAGCTAAATACATTTAGCATTTATTACTAAAAGTACATATTTATAATATCTCTCTCTCTCTTACGTTTAACGTCTGTTATTCCCGCCGATCGGGGCTTAGACGGTTTAGATTTGGCATTTTTGGGCTTATAGCTGGCAGCCGACCTAACGCTACCAAACAAATTGGCCCCAGAGAGAAAGCAGGTGCCCCCCCTCCCAGACAGTTGCCCGCCCGGAGGAACAAACCGCCAGTGGCCGAGATTTGAACCGGCGACCGTGCGTTGATACACTGCCGCCTTATCTCACTTCACCACCCGCCTGCAAGAGTACATATTTATTTATTTATTAATACGGACAAATGTCCAATTCACAATATATTTGTATCTTATGATAATATAATTTCATTAAAAAACTTTGTAATAATCATTAAATTACATTTTTTCATTAGGATAGTACGCAATAATATTAAATAAAAAATGAACGCTCAGACATTATTAAAATACAATGCAGTTACAAAAATTATGGTTTTACATGACCCAGATACACGAGTGATTAGGTACTCTATAAAATAAAAAGTAAAAACTCGAACCTGCTATCATTTTAATCCGCTCATGGCTCAACTATTAATACGAAATGTTGTTTTTCAGAAAACCAGTTAAGGACTAGGATTCTGAACGGAAAGCGTAAAATTATTTAGAATAAAGACTAAAACGCGAAGTCACTTTTTGAATTGTCTACCAAACCGATTTCGAAAATTTTTTTTTTTTTTGTTATATAGTTTAACATATTTTCTATGGGGGCTAGAAGGTCGATTTTTTATGTTTGTTTTCAAAAAAACTGCATTTATAAGCATTTATATTTTTTACTTTATTATATATTTTTTCTAATAAATCTAACTAATTTTCTAAATGCTAAATCAAATATCAGCTTTTTAGCCCCCATAGAAAAAATACTAAGCTTCGCATAAGAAAAAAGAAAAATTGAAATCTGTCCAATAGATGCACTAGAAAATGACTTCTATGAAAGTAATTTTTTATCAAACTTTCGCCGTAACTCTGAGAAAAATAACTTAGTATTAAAACTAGAAAAATGTATTATATTTTCATCTTAAAATTAGTCGGCATATTAAAAATGGCTACTAAATCAATTTTTGTAAAATATTGCCTATTCTTTGTCCCTTAAGAAACAGTGCATTCCGTTCCCCTTAAGAGTACGACAAAACTTTAAAGTTTATGAGTGTGATTTGGTAACAATTTAGTAATACTACTTACACTTAATATCTACATACAAATATAGATATAACGAAGATTTAAGGCAATTTAAGTTGTAACTTGTACATAATATCTAAGTAGAGTAAAGTAAAGTATATAAGCAAGGTCGTAGAAACATATGTTACTATAAGAGACAACTGACAAGAAGAAGTGTGCATTTGATAGTGAATTTATGTATGTAAGATAAAGCAAAAAAAACGTTTAAACTATTTATTCTCTTTTAAAATAAATGAAACTAGAGAAATTAAATTTTTTTCTGTCATTTGAAAAATGCTCTATTAAAATTATTTATTACAAGTTAATAGTTAAATAAAAAAAATACTTCATACTAAAAAACATTTGTCTCTGACACACTTATCATATTCGCACCACAAGCAAATTCATTTTGAACATTTTCGAAATTAACGGTTTATTTTAATACTGTCGTTTTTGTATGAATTAACTACAAAAGTTTACTTAGAGTAATAGTAATAGTTATAGTTATAACTGTTACTAGTTCTATATTTGAAAGTTAAAACTGTAATTATAAATAAATATTGTAGAAATAGTATTTTCTATATCAAATGTATAAAATATTGATATCAACGTATAATTTAATTGATAGCTTCTTTATTTATGTGGACAATTTAAAAACAAAAAATTGAACTTTTGACCGCCAAGAGTACAATCTAAAGAAAATTCTACTCATTATGGTATTTAGAGATGCTATATGATAAATGTATAGTAAGATCACAGGGTAAAATTGATTACAGTGTTGTAGAACAGCATTAAAAAATGCAGATAATTTAAATCAAATAAGTTCTATCGATAATTATCACTTCGATTAGAAATAAAATATTTTGTGAAGGTTATCATAGACCAATTCATTTAAACTTGTTCGTTCAAAAAAAATATTAATCCAAACTCACATACCACCCAGCAAAATATACGTTATCGGGGGCGTACGTGTTAAGTACTATATTTTTTAAATAATTATGTCTTATAAGCTATTAAGAATTTCGAAAATCGATTAGAATAAAAAAAAGTAATGTTCAATATGAAACTACAATTCTTTATAATATAATGTATAATTTGAATAACTAATAGACAATTCACAACTGTTATCTTTATAATTATATTATGAGTAATGAGAGCTTTTAAAATGTGTACGCCAAGCAAAAACTACAATTAGTACCGCCTAATGTTTTGTTATTTTTCATAATTTTAAACGTTAAGTAGTTTTTAAAAAAACTACTTAACGTGGTCCTTAAATGTTTTATAATATTTATCAAAATAATAAGTAAATAATATTTTTATTATTGTATTAATTATTACGCGTGCAGCGTGTTTAATTTTTATTTGTAGGTATATTAATTCCTATTTACTACTATTACTGAATAACAAATGAGCGGTAAATAAATAATATATCTTGATAAAAAAACAGTAAATACTATTTCTACGGTTGAATTTATAACAATTCATAAAATTGTTAACTGTATACGCCCAAAAAATGATGTGACTTAGGTAAGAATTACAAGGTAGATAGTATTCGTATAGCTATTTGAATTGTTTCAGAGCTAGATATATATCAACTTTAGATACTCAAATAACAACGTATACGTATATAAAACAAGAATTGCTAGCTGAAAATAATTACTGATCGAAATCCTGTTTTAATTAATACCTAACTTTTCCAGTTATAACTAATAAGAATTTTAATAAACAAGTGGAAGGAGAAATATGGTAAGTTGCGTGTGTATAATGTAGTATACGCCACAACTCTCCATCATCTTTACTTTTTAAATATGTTGTTACAATAAAAAAATCAGTGAACGCGGTTAGAAACCATTGAATGGTTTTTTACAATTTTTATTAATTCTATAAGATTAACTATGGTGGTTAATATTAAAATGATCTAAAGTCGATAGATCTCTGAAACAATTAAAAAATACGGGATAATTTGTAAACATAATTACATTAACTAATATAATACCATATATGAATATCGTTTGTTGAAATTTTATATTAAATTAAAAAAAAAAGAAACGTATATTTCAAACCAGTACAGGCACTTGTTGACCGTGTACACAAACGAAGGGCGTGCGTACGTTTCAAACTAATGAAAATTAAATAACCGCGCTCTTCTGTGACCTATATAACCTCAAAACACGTTCACCTTGCACAACCTTGCAGCTGCTCCACTGCTATCCTGCGTCGTTGAACGTGATAACTACCTACTGTGGTTGTTGCCGTCGATGACAAATTATATCACACGAAAATAAATACAAATTGTTTTACTTAGTTATCACACACGCCCACATATTGCTACTAACCATAAACCAACATTCAACAATATAAAGTGAATGTGTTATCTTGACAAATAATACGTATACTTCTTAATGTTTACCAAGTAAAAACATCCTTACAATTTTTATTTAGCCTAACCAGTAAGCTGCTAAGTGCTAATCCTTGGTAAGCTAAAAAGGTATTGGTTTTTGTTTTGATTTGTTCATTCAATTATTATAATTTTAAGTCTCTTTTGAATTTAAGATTTTTTCAAATTTTAAAGTTAACTAATAAGTTAAAACAAAAAAAAAATGTAATTTATTGTAAATGTACTCACTTAAATTTAATCCAGGTAATTTGGTAACAGCAGTTTTAAATCCGTGCGCATACAAGCCGGTTGGAAGATGACGTTCGACTGCTATTAGAATCCAATGTCTAATGAACCCTGTACGGCACTCGGCGTATTTACATGTATGCTAATGATTATAAAACGATAACGTTTCACGGTTTATTAATTTGTTTCTTTATGTTCATGTTTACTGGTCACTGATAATCGGCAGTAAAAACTACTAAGGGAAATAGCTGTGACATCACACGTACGATAACCCCCACTACCTTCTTTTTTATGAATTGATTTCAGATTAATTAAATAGTGTCATAATATTCTATATTAGACGTCTAGAGGTTTACTACTTGTAAAATATGCCTTTGTGTATTATATATACTATATTACACACAAAACCCCAAGGTGATCACAGTTTTACGCACACAATTAATTGTATACGATATGTTGACTGTTGAGTAATACGTCTCTTGTAACTCGTTATGATATCTTTTACGATTATGATAATATTGTTGTCAAGAAACTTTCGTTTTCACAGTAACGCCATCTATCTATTCGGCGCATAGCTACTGCCCGAAACTTAACGGCTTTAGAACTTTATCTTGCTAACCTTTTTGCCTAAACAGTCCACTGTCCAACTGCGCGCAGGAACTTAATATAATATGTAATAATTATCAGATTATTTTGTAAATAAAATATATTTAAAACTACTTATGAGGATCTGTATCAACCATAAAACAAAATGAAATGTTATTCAATTAAAAAACTATCAACGTTTTATAAAAATAATGTTAAATATCTGCCGCATTGGCTACATTATATTATACAAATAATATTATAGACAATAAATAAACAGTAATAACACAAAAACAAAGTCGGACACATTCAGTCATTTGATTACCTATAGTGTTACCTACCTACAAGGTACCCATACCCATACTTGTTGGCGTAACGTAAACCGAAATAAATGTCTAAGCTTAAAACTCAAGAGTAAAAAATTAAAACATTTTTAGTGTAAAAAAAAGACAAATTTTATATAAAAAAATTTTAAACACGAAATAATTAAGACGCATTATATAGTCAGGATGAGTATATTTTACTCTTAAAATCCTTATGAAATGAGAAAATTATCTTTCTATAGAATTATGGTTAAATACAATTGTTTCCTATAGCCTTAGAGACCCAAGTACCATGATTGTATATAATAAAACAGACGCAATGAAAATATATAATTCGGATAATCTTTATCCAAAAATCCGTATTCAGATATTTGGATATCAGTCTCGATTGCTCTCTCCGAATTGGAAACCATTGTATAAAATGATAATATTTTTTTAAGATAAACTGTCCACAATTTGTATACTTTGTTCTTAAATAAGTTTTCTTATTTTATTACCTAGAGAGTATTCTTTAATCTTTGACCTCAGTTCTAATGTGCGTTGGGTTAGAATAACAACATCAAGTGAACGCTAAAGTTCTAGAAGTGACCTAATCTGAAATCATACAAACGTTAATGTATGTAGAATGAACTACTAAATCTCAGTGACTATTATTACTTATTAAGTTATTATAGATGGGAGCAATACACTTAATACCTGAGTAAAAAAAATATTGACATAAGTACTTTGTTTTCCAGAATTTAATATAAAGTGTTACGATCCAAATGACTTGGATGGGGGCGAAAAATGCAGGTCTTATCTACTAAACGGAGGCTTTAGAGACTTGGTTAGGGGGGCTACATTATAACATGATTTTAAACGACAAATATAAAATGATAGAAAACAAGCATTAAAAAAAAAACCATTGTTATTATTGAAAAGTGACGACGATAACAGTGATCTGTTTTTATCGTTCACAAAAATAACACTGTGGTCTGTATATATATTTTATTCTGATAAATTTTGGTACTTGCATGATAAATACGATTTGATTGCATAAGTTTTACCAAATTTTTAGGTTTAGTCTGGAATTAGAACTTATAAATAACTTAAATTATTTAACTGCCCCCCTCCTCAAAAGAAAAAAAGAATACATTTTTTTAACTTTAATAATGCATACATCATACTACACTATTTTAACATAAAAACGTATGTTTCTACTTCTAATAATACATTCCTAAGAAAATTCTGGTTTAATTTTAAAAAAAAAATTTAGATTCTTCATAACTTTTTCAAGGTATCGAGTTTCGAGCAAAGTATAATTTTTAAATTATTTTTTGTTAGTGACCTAATAATTTTCTATTAGAAAAATTTAAGTTTTAAGAGTTTTTAATCATTTTTACAATAATATTAATAACGAAAATTAAAAATGTACTTTGATCGATGGATCAATCATAAGTATTGAAAAATGTAAATCCGTTTTTATGATTATTGCTGGATTACGTGTTTCAGAGTAATAAAATATGAGAGACCAAAAATACGCAAATGTAGGCTCCTTTGTCCTTAAAAAAATAATTTGATTAATTAATTCAACAAATAAGTTAAAAGTAGTCTTTATCTATTTATTAAATTCTGAAATTTTTTTGTACAACAATAAATTATTTTTTAGTAATATAAACTTAGAGTTGGTAGGTGGGTAATACATTATTATGAAATATAATAGGTACTGTATTTTTAATCATTATATTATCAAAACAAAGTTTAATATTAAATTGTTCAATAATTACATTATTAATGTCGTATAAATTATAATTAAAATCCAATCTATGTCAACGTGTCCATTGTCATAAATGATGAGCAATACAAAAATGACGATAACAATTTAAAAACTATTACGATTTATTTTGAGCGATATGATTCGTCATTTTAAGTATGTCATTGTCAATAGTTAAATCATTAAAGGTACAGCTTAGCTACTTAATACTCCTAATAGTTCATAGAATATTTAGAAAAGGTTCGGAATAAACATTTATGGACATTTACCACCGAATAAATTATTATCATTTCAACGTGTGTACCTTGTAAATATAGATAAATCAAAACTCGATAATTATGTAAGAAGAAAGTTTATGAAACTGTAACGACTAACGAGCCCAAAAATGTATGCGGCAGTGAGTTATGGTACCTATTAAACAAAAGAGGGAAACAAGTCAAATGAAAATAGCTAAAATAAAAACGTTGAGATGGATGTGGAATGAGTAGGTCCCAAAATAAGGAGTGAGTAGAGTATATATGAGCAAAAAGTTAAGGAGTAGCACCAATAACAGGAAGAATGAGAAAGACCTACATCGTGATGGTTTTGCTAAAGGTCATGTTAGAAGAAGATAAAATAGGAAAATGAGTAAGAGAGTTAAATGTTGGTGTATTTAGAGGTAGCTCGAAAAAGAAGCAAGTAAATATTATTATCCATTAAGGCACGGACAAGTTTGGAGTGAATAAGAATATTATGAGGAATAGAGATTTGCAGAGAAATAATTTGGCTAGTTGACTCCATTCTCAAATTGTATGGGATGATGTGAAAAAGAAGATGCACGTTGAACTGAAGAAATTAATTATTTATAACATGTATAATTAAGGACTTTACAGTCAACAGACTAGTGGTAGCAGTACAATTTTCTTATTTTGTTTTATTCTTTTCTTCAATTTTACACTAATGTTTTTAAAATATTGGAGATACCAATTTTCAGACGTGGTTAGCATCTTTTTGAAGATGGTACGGGAAATCACATGGGCTCCAAAATATCTGTGTAATATTGAAGACATTGATATAATCGGACTTAATAAAATAATATGTTAACCGGAAAAAGCTTTAAATAGTTCAATTTTCCTTGAAAGTTTGTTGTCAATCAACTTAAAAAGCATGATATTTATAATAATATATGAATTATAGATTCATATTTCATGCATAAAATGAATTGTAAAACATAGGTACCTAAATAAACGTTCTTTGGTTACAGCGGAATTACATCAATTTTATAATAAATGTAACTTAACAAAACACTTAGTACATTCATTACTACAATTTCAAACGTTTATAGGCCCAGGCACTATATCTAAATACAATATTCAGCCATTATTTAAAATAAAGAGGTACCTGGCACATACCGCCGATTGTATTCATATTAATTATTACAGATTTCATGAAACTTGACTTTCAACCTTCCTAATTAAGCTTGAAAAAAGCTACATTAGACTGAAAGTCTAAAACTAAAGCTAAAAATTCAACAAAAACATTTATTTTGATAGTAACTTTATCATAAATTAGGTATTGCTAGGTACCTAAAATAAAATATTAGATTAGGAATAAGCACAAAATGTTTAAAACTTTTTTTTATCAGTAACTTGAATATCATTAAATTAAAATTAAACAAATATTCTTATTAAACTTTTATTACAAAAGAAAATACATAAGTTATATTGTCAACAGTTTAAACTTATTTAAATAAATTATTATATGTTAACAGCTAATAAAATAGTTATATCACAAATTAAAATAATTAAACTCATACACATTTAAACAATTCTTATACACAATTATTACAATATTATTATATAGATTATACAACATAATATTTATATAATATGACTAATAAAATATTCGTAATTAATATGTTTGGTGATATTTGTGATGTGTATTACAAAATATTATATTTGGATCAATTTTTTTGTACAAGTATATATAATTATATTATTATAAAATTATAAATTAAAAAAAAATTTAATATTGATTAAACATTGGTTTCATGCATAATTCTAAAACATAAACATATCTAAAATATAATAATCAATTTTGCTTATTATATATATATTTATTAATATATATATATATATATATATATATATATATATGAATACTAATACAAAGAAAAAATGTAATTGTACATAAGTTATCACTTGAAATTATAACTATTACCTTGAGGGCAATCCAAGTCTAAATTATTATTTGATCTATCTCGTCTTCTTGAAAGTGCTTCAGTCATTGAGTAAGTTTCAGGATCAAAAACAGGTGGATATTCTAGAGACTCGTTATCACTAATTTGGTCCATGGACTGTAAAATTTAAATTCATAAAAACTTAAAAATTAAAAACGTAGTTAAAAAAGTTTTAGTATTAATGTATTTACCATATTTTATACTATACAACTCAATAATGAAATTTTTTTTACTATAATAGAAAAATGTCATGTTATTAAAAACGATAAAAAAAAAACAGAATTCAAGGTGCCAAAAATGTAAAGCAAAATAAAAATAGTGACATTACAATTTTTTCAAACAAATAAAACTTCATAAATTCAGATATCAGCCAAAAATTAATATTTTGTAGGTTTACATACAATTTTTTTTACTTATATACTGTAATACTGTATCTATAAAAATATATGATATTGCATTTTATGAAACTTTCCTATTCAGCTTAATAAAATAATCACTATGTATGCTTCATTAAGAACTAAAATGATAAAATATTGATATTTAATTGCAGACCCAGTTGATAAAAATAAATAATGTAATAATATACTTACGTATCTATTAGAATACAACTGAAATGGTGAATTTTTGGTACTTCTATTGCCATTTAAATCATTAGAATGGCTTGAACCTTCTGTTATCCCTAAAGATTTATATTTATAATATTAATATGAAAACAATACATCTGTATTACTGTGAAATTTTTAATTAATATTTTAGGTATACCTATAATATAAAATATTATTAAATAAAACAATGATTACACTTAATAAGTTTTTGAAATTGTTTTTATACAGGAAAATACTATTTGACAAACATGGGTAGCCAAATTTCTAAATAGTTTGTATAGTTCAATTTTTACTATTATCCAAAATGTAATATCACGAGACCAACTGGCAAATGGCTGATGAATAATATTATAATAATATTACTAAGGGTTTAAGATTTAAAACTATTAATAAAGTAATATATTATACTGATTATAAGAGTATACAAAATAGTACTTACAATATTATTTTAAAAGTAATGAACATTGTGAATTTTAAGTTTTCCAATTTGTTAATTAAAAAATTCTATTTTTTTAATTACAAAAAAAAAAAAAATGACAATTTGATGAAATAAAAATTATTTTCAATAATTATATAACAATTAATGGTTGTTGTAAATAAAAAAATCGAATCAACTTACAAGTCGGTAGTACATTTAAATTGTAGTTGTGTTCAATGCTAGTTAAAGCAGTAATAGGTTGCCTTGAACGAGGCTCACTTTCAGCAGCAATTCTAAATAAAAAATGTTAATTGAAAGATTAGCATTGATGTTGAATATAGGTTTATTTTGCATGTATATTATTTATCAAGGTGAAGTTGTAATAACTCATGATTAATACTTTAATAAAAAATAGAAATTAACAATAAAGTGGTTGTGTTAATAATTAATATTTCTTTAATTAGTAACAACTTTAAATAATTCAGTAATTTTAATGTAAATAATTTAATGTTATAATATAATACCTGAAACCAGTTTGGTCTAAAAATTGTTGATTTTGATCGTTCCTGACACCTTTAATTAAATAACAGAAAGTGTATTATATTGTGGTTAGTATAAAATAATTAAATACTATTACTAGCTGGTGGTGGAGGCGCTGTATATTGAGGGACTCGTAAAGCCATATGGACATTTTGAATACGTCTTTCAGCTTCTTGACGAGATTGCATAAACGATTCTAAAGTCATTTCAGAACTGTTGGTAGAATCTGTTCGTCTAAAATAAATCGATACAATAATAATTATAGATGTCCTAAAGAAATTATTTTTAATAATAAGTACCTATGGTTATTATCAGAAGTTTTTGACATAGAAGCTAATCGATAGTCGACCATATCTGGAGGACGATTATGGTTAGCTTGAGGTAAAGGGTATATATCAGAACTATGAATTAAAAAATATCAATTAATTGCATAAATGAAAATAGTTATGGATGATAAAATTTAATGTATCTTGTAAAATTACTTTTGGTTATAATTGGTAGATACAGATGCCTCGGCTGTATATTTAGGAACTGTTGGTGGTACTCGACGGTAACTACGATATTGAGAAGTCGGCACTGGTTCACTTGAATCTCGTCCTATCATACCCATTCCAAGAAATTTCCAGTGTTTCCTATCTAAACTACTACCTTTTGCTTGATCTTCCTTTGACAAATTTTTTTTCTGCTGTTTCTTTAATGAATGAAAACTTTTATCGCCAAAGAGAAAAATAAATAAAATTAAGTGAATACAAAACAATAATATATTAGTGACATTTTATATCAGAGCAAGATTAATTAATTTAATTTATTAATAACGCTATTATAAGTTTATAACATACTTTTTATTTTTTTGTGAAGCGCTATTGCCAGTTGAATGTGAACCCATATGACTGGATATAAATGTAGATATATTTTTCAATGCTGAACTTGTAAAGTTAGTTTCATGGGAGGTTTCTGGTTTTACTGTGATAGGAGGATCCATTGGTCCTTGATTTTCATCAGGAAGATTGTCCTCCTCCCCATCAGTTTCACTAACTGCTTCAACATCTATACAATTTTGTCAATTATATACTATTTCACCAAATGAACCTTATGGGTATATATATATATATATATATATAGGTATTTCATTTTATACTAAATAGTTCTAACTAAAAACAGAAATTAAAAAAAAAAATGTTTGTTACTTACTTGAGTTATGTCCATCAACAGACGTAGCAGTTGAAAACCAATCTAACCACATAGCAAGATCATCTGACGATTCAGCAGCAAAGTAGAACATTGTTCCCATGTGATAAACTTTAAATGCATTGGCTCTCGATTTCACTTCATCCGCAACTGATACAGTGAAACCAGATAAAATAATCATAAGGCGTGCTTTGGTGGACTATTAAGAATTAAAAGCATATTAACACATTATAGTACAAAATAGGATAGGCATAATGTTATTTTCACCTCTCTATTATTAAATCCATAGAATGCCGTGCCTTTAATAATAAACCATCCCCTAATCCACTGCATGCGAGGCGATATTTTTTTTGATCTTTGATACAGCCATCCTTGATATTCACATATTCCTAAATCTTTAATACTAATATTTCGTCGTTCTAAAAAAATAATAAGCAATAAATCAAATTTGTTATCTATTTCTTAATAATATTGTATTAATAATATTTACTGGCTATCAACGGATTTCTTTGACAAAGCTTTCCTTTATTTTCTTTTTTACCAATAGCTTTGGCACCTAACATTGCTCTATAGCTTGTTCTTTTAGGTAACTCAATAGTTTTGGATGGCCTAGGAGGTGGCAATGGTGGTTGAGACTTTTTTGTCTCAGTTTTCTGTCTAGGAAATGTAGCAGGAGCATTGAGAACTGCTTGATGCGGTGTTATGGCCGTTCGCTCAGATGGTAATGATATGTTGTCTTTCGGTTCTACTTGAAATATATTATCGTCGCTACCACTAAGGTCAGTTAATGATAAAGGAGGGCAGGCATCAGATAAATCAGAAAATGATGTTTTTTCAAAATCAGATAAATCATTAGTTTTACTATTAGCAGATATATTCTTCAAACGATTTATTGAATACTTTGATGATTCTATTGAATTAGGAACTCTGTCATTTGATACTTGTATGGCAACATTGTCATAAGTAGTATTTCCAATATGATAATCTGTATAGGATTTTGGTAAATTATGTATATAGTCACTTTTATTTTGTTCAAATAAAAATGAATTATCAATTTTTACATCTTTACGATCAGATAAATCAAACGGTTTGTAATTGTGTGGTACAATGTCAAAATTATTTTGAGTGTCTTCTGATGCGTTTGAATTTATTTCATCAAATTTAGGAGGAAGTAATTGTGGAGTATGTACATTCGGTTTTACTTTTTTATTTGCAAAATTAATATTATTGTCATCTACGAATAATGGAATTTCGCAATCGTCAATTTTTGTCGGTGGTGGTTTAGGAAATGTTAATACAGGTTTATCAGGCCTTCTAGATTTATCTAAATTGGTATAACATTTGCCAATAACTTCAGATTTGTCATAATTTTTTACATCTTCTGCAGACATTCTTAAATCAGATGTAAAATCCTCAAATTCATTTTGAGAATTACTGACCACTGAAAAATCATAAGACGGTGTACTAAAACTTTTATCTAATTTACCACGAACTTTAGTTATCGATGACTGCTCATTTGGTTTAGTTACTATTGGTTTTGGCATAATTTTTGGTTTTTTGCTAACAATATGTTCAGGGCTAGTATTAATCTTTAGTTGATTAATACGTTCTTTTAAGGATATGAAATCTGTACTACTTAATACATCGTCTTTGACAGCAGAGTTATCCACAATGTTTTTCTCAGAAAATTTTTGATTTTCCAGTTTTTCCTCATTAGCAGGTAATGATGTCCAATGAACTTTTGTTGGCTTAGAATGTTTACTTAGTTGCATCTCACTATTAGATTTATCAGCATTATTTTTTGTGTTGTTATGAGCCTCGTTCGCTTGTTTTAACCATAACTAAAGAAATAAAAAATATTAATTACAAGTTACAACATTTAAAAACCAATATACAATAATAACAATAAGTAAATAGGAAAAACCAATCCATGCAACTACAGAATATTTTAGACGTCTTCTTCTTGGAAATATTAAAAAACAAACTTTATATAATAAGTCTCAAACTGGTTTTACTTGAATGTAACAATTTGTTTTAAACATTTAAAATTACATTATAAAAAAGCAGCAATTCTTTACTGAACTGACTTGAATTTAGAAATTTTCTATTTGAACTATAAAATAATAACCATGCTTTATAAATACGTTATATTAACGTTATTGATTTTCTATACATAAAAGAATAATACTATACAGGGTGTCTACAAAATTCAACAAATTAAATAATAACTTTTGTTATAGTAAATATTTTTAAGCTTTTTTTTCTAAACAATTTATACTCATTTTCACTATAAACACCGCGGTTCCTATTACTAATGAGTATATATTGATTAAAAAAAAACATCTTAAAAATATTCACTAGATCAAAAGTTATATAATTTGTAGAATTTTTGCGGGGTACCTTGTTTATTGTTTGTGTTTTGTAAGCTAGCTAAAATGTAATTTGTTCTAACAATGATACAATTTTTATTTTAATAATTATTTTTTTAATCGATTTTGGTTTGTTTTATTTATAACTAGAATAAAAATAAATACTCGACTAAAAATGATAAAAAAATCAAACTCAACAATAATCTGATAAAATTGCGCCAGAGAACCAGACCAAAAAGTAAATTTAGAATGTCAGCTTTTTAAAACACTTTTAAGAATTATGCAAACTAACTGACTTTTAAATTGAGAGCAAAACAATAATAATAAATTAAAAAACCAATACCTTCTCGCTTTGCATCGAAGCTAAAAGAACAATGTGTTCCTTACAGTTAAAAGATTTTTTTTTAAAACTTATTACTACAGGATAATAAAGTTAAATAAAAATAATAGTAGTATATATAGTAATGAGAATGAAAATATTAATTAGTAGGTTATACGAATAGGTCCTACTGTGTTTTTTTTGGCAACCAGTTATTGAATGAACAAAACAAATTATAAGAAAATTATATAATATTTAATTGTGACCTAAACATTAAGCAGACAAATATAACAAGTCTACTTTTGTTATTATTGTCAATAACTTAATACTGTTTTCCTCTAAAATTAAGTGTTTGGGACTTACAACTAATGGCCTCTTAGCCATCATTATCTTCATTATAATTCGGTGTTTTGGTGCATTTCCTTTGCCTTTTTTTTATTATTAATAGTTTTATATGGTCATGGACTGTTTAAATATGTTTTATGTATGTGATAGTCATAAGAAAATTAGTATAAATTGACACAAAAAGTGTCATTTATATCCCTAAAGCCACTCATATTAGAAAGTTGAATGTACACCATTAAAACTATAACTATTGAAATTTAAATTCACTTCAGTATAAACTTAAAAACAAGTTTTCAATCAGTAGTACTTAACTAGTACAAACAATTAATTTTAACAGGTTTTTTAAAAAAACTATTGCACTATTTAATTTAATGGTGAATTAGGAAAGTTAGAAACTCGTGATCACAATTGTTACCTTTAGGTATGACTTTTTAGCATGGGATACATATTTAATTTACTTGAAGATAAATTATTAACAGTTAACATTAAAAAGTCACACATTTCCATTACTTTTGATTGATAACATTATACAAAATCAAAAATGTATAAAAATAAATTTGGTCCACAATAAAAGTATGCATAGCCTTATTAGAAGTAGTAGTAAATATATAAGTTTTATAATTAGCATAATACCTAACAAAATGTAATTTTTAATTATGTATGTTAACAAATTGTTTGGTTGTTACATCTATAACTAAAAAATCCATTTTTATTGTTACAAAATGTCAAAATAATATATCTCTCATAATTCTTAGGTGTATATGAAAAAGAGGTATCAAAATCTAAAAAAAAAGAAATGAAAACCTAAAATAGTATAACTACAGGCACCCACAAAAAAGCACTTAACATACTTAATTAGACTCATGAAAATATGAAGTATTGACAGTAAAAACAACATGTCTCAAAAATAAAAACAGCAGAAATAGAAATGGAATCATGAACATAAACAAAACCAACAAAGAAAAAAAGAAGACTGTTATTACCTGTATTTATTCATGTTTCTTGTAACTCGTTCTACATAATTCATATTGAGAACAATGATGAATTTTGAATTAAAATATATATTTTAATTGAATTTTATGAAAAATATATGATAATGACGACATTTATATAAAATTTATAGTATAAATATATTATTGTACGTATGTTTTATGAATTATTCATGAAAAATAATCATAAGTCTTCATTTTTAGTTTTGGAAAAATATTTGAAGCCAGCGTGATAAAAACTTTTCTCAATTAGGTCTATTTAGACACATCTAGAGTAACCTGTTCAACAAAATAACAATCTATAATGTGCTTTTATTTTGCACAACATCTAACAATACAAATAGATCGGTTCAAAACAAATTATTAAGTTTTCAACGACCAAAACAATTAAATTTATAGTAAATAAAAAAAATTATGTTAACTAACTAATTTTTCAACTATTTAATTTAGTAAATGTAAAATATAACTAACATTAAAAGTTATTGTCTTTTTTTGAGAATTGTTATTAAATAGAGATCACAATTTAAATTAAATTCAAAGGTATAATCTAAAAGCGCATTAGATAATACAGTGCAAAACTGTCTAAAACAGGATCCCACAGGATCGAAAGAAAATTACAAATTAGACAGTTTTCTTTTTTATTTAGTTACATATGCAAAGTAGTTTGGTGGGATCATCCACAAATTCAGTTGTATACAGTTATTTCAGTTATTTAGGGTACGTCTTAAAAGACTAAATATACTATAGATAAGCAACACATTTTAATATTATTGTGCAGTGCATATGGAAGCTCTTTTGGTAGTTAATTTTTCTGGCAATAAGGCTCAGAATGGATTTCCCACATATGTTTGCCGGTGCATCACATCACATACGTCTAATTCTGTCTATAGCTATTTCACGTTTCTACCACCCTTTCCACTATTCAGGCCTCTCAGTGACCCAAATCCACACTAAAATATTAGTGTTGTATGCATTGCCAATCACAACATGAGCATTTTTCATCAATAGTATATTTAATCCATGGTTTTAGACAGGTTTCACTGTACTAGTATTTTGTATTTATTAAAATTTTAAATGATTTATCAAATATATTTCTAAATACTTATAATTTTTTTCATTCGTTGTACTGATTATTAAAACATTAAATTAAGTAACAATTGGATATATTATACCTGATCAAAATTAAATGGGGCATGTTTTCCAATTGGACTGGCTCCACTTATTGTAGCCCGCCGTTGTACTGGAATATGAGGTTTAGGTAAATAAAGTCTGACAGAGGTGGGTGAAGAACAGTTTGCACTCTCTAGTTCACTTTCATCACCACTACTGCTATTGCTATGTGAACACATCTCAGGAGATATTGATCGCCCTCCTAAATGAATAACTGGTGGTGGACTTAGCAAATGGTCACTTAGAAGTTGATTTTCTTGAACTTTAGGTGCTTTTTTTTTATCTTGCCTGTACATTAAAATAGTTCGATTAAGTATGCTAATTGTAAGTATAGTCTTACTGTGTGTAAAAATGTGTAAAATACTATGAGGTTATTTCATTATGATACATTATAATCATTCATTTCATTTGTATTAATACCTAGGTGTGAGTAGATTCAAACTCGAAAATAATGAAAATATACTAAAACCATTGATATAAAATATACAAATAAGCTGCACTATACGAAAGAATGGCGATTGGTTTTAAGTTTAATTTGTCGTCAATAGAAGTACCATCGCCATAGTTTATAAATGAGCAGATGGTAAACTATGATAAGGATACCATTGACGGTAGGAATTTTGTATAAAACAGTCATCGTTCTATGTAATCTGTATACCATTTTAAAATCAATGCTAAAACCGAGGTACTTTAATTTACTTAACTTTATATTTTGTACTAATGTTTATACATTTTTTTCTAATTAAAGCGTTCAGTACTGACTTGAGAACTTAAATAAACTACATATTTAAATTAAAATGAATACTTACTTTTGTACAGGGAAACTAAAATTTGGAATTGTTAACAGGTCACTGGGTCTAGGTGGCGTAAGTTGATCAAAGTATCGTTGTGGATAATTAAATATCTTTTTACTAGGAAGGCGATATGGCTTCATGTATATCTGACCAAATACTTTACTATGTTTTGGCCGTTTTTTTAAAGTTAAAAATATATCATTAGATGCTTCTTCTAATAAAGCCATTACTTGTCTTGCTTGCCATCCAACCTAAGTTTAACAAAAATATTTTTTTAATATAAGTGTATGGTTGTGAATAGCAAAAACAAACCAATGAATATTGTACTTAGCCTAAATACTTGTGACTGCAAACACAATATAATTCTATCTTTTTATTTATATATAGTTTACTAGCGAGACATTTCTTATCAGTTTTTTCTTAAGACTGAGAATTTAATTGTAACATACATAATTTAATAATAGTTCTAATTTTTAAGTTTGCCATTATATGTATGCTTGACAAAACAAATACTATTATTGGAAACATGTTTTGATTCAATGATTATTTTCAAAAAATTAACATGACGACTTACCACAGTTTGATAGTTTACTTGAACTATTTCATCACCGGCTTCGATTTTTCCACATTGATGAGCTACACTATTACATTTTACTTCTCCTACTTGGTGTACACCATGAAATGATGGCACAATATAAAATCCCTAAGCAATACATTACTTATAGTGAAGAATTTATACAAAGACATAGAACATATTATAATATTAGTATATTACCAGAGATTCACCAGATCGTTTTTTTAGAGTAGCAACATCCAAAGTGGCTGGTTGTAAAATTAATGAATCTTGACTTTCTTGAATGATATGATCAGCATGTTGAGCAAGCTGTTTAGCACTTTCAAAAATATTTTCAACAGGATTCTCAGCAAAACGATCACGTTGACCACTAGTGACTATTTCAAGAGCTAATTTCAGCAAGTTATTTTTCATATTTATGTAATGAGGTTGCCCACAAAATGGAGGTCTAAAATAAAATTAATTATATTAGGTTTTGCAAATATTTGTTATTTATGGACAGCAATACCTATTTAACCAATTTACTAATGGTTTTAGCGTAGCAACTGTGCTAGCTACATCTGTCAATATTTTAGTTGGAACTTGAGTAGAAGAATTTAAATGATTTTGCATAATTTCTTTGTACAAATTATGAGCACAACATGATAACCGTAATGCTAAGAGCTGTACATTTTCTTTGTCTAGCTCATAATGCTAAAAGAATATAAATTTAAATTATTTGAAATGTCAATAGTTTAATATAAATACAAAAAGATGTTAAAACAACATTTAAAAAAAAAATGATATAGATACCAAAATAGGTATTTGAATCAGGTAAGGTAAATAAAAACCTTCTATACTACGGCCTACAAGAGAATGACTGTAAACAGAAACTATAATGTATTACTACTGCTTGCACAGCCGTATAAAGGAGTAACGTGTAATAGTTTTTGTGCATGGTCGTTCTCTTGTGAGCCACAGTAAAATGTATTAATGTATATTTAATATTATAGATAAAAATAATCATCAATTTTTAATTTTAATTGAAAGATTTAATCATCTTAATTTAATGCATTACTAATAAAATAAAATAAAACAATTGTTGGCTATTTAAAAAAAAAATTCAATATGCTCTATTACAATATCATTACCTGACCCTTTAGGGTAATAAGAAATCTTCTTAGAATTTGTTAAAGTCAAACAGATTATACAAAATTTTGAAAAGAAATATGATACATTCATGCAAACATGTAAATACAATATTACTTACAAAGTTTCTAAGAAGATCTACAGCTTCTAATATTAGTTCTTGGTGTCCAATTTTTCGTACACCGATTTTATCTAAGTCATTAGGTTGCATATCTAACAACTTCTGACCATTTATATCAGTTTCAATAAAATATTTGATATACGGTAAAATAACACTGTCCAAACCTGAAAATATATTAAATAAAAATATTATAATATATATACATAAATGTTTAAATATTTCTTTTAGTCTAACTGTATTATTCAATGTAATGTACCTTTGAGCCAGTCAGCTACTTGGTCAGACTTCCAATCAGCCACATTTACATAAGCCATTATTTGTCAAACTACTTTAATCTTGGTGGATAAAGAGATGCATTTAGTTTTTAAAGTGAACAAAATTAAAGCATATTAGTATGTAATACACAATAACATATTAATTTACATAAATATATAAGGTATCAAATTATTATCTTAAAATCGTAATTAATTGAGTATACATACTGTCTAATTATCTAGACATACTTTGTTCGCAAGAACTGGGAATAGATAGGTTAAACATAGATATTAATCTATGAAGTAAGAAGTTAATTTAATAAATAACAATAACCAAAGTAGTTATTCATTGTTACAATATGACGTATCCAATGCTTATGCTTATCACAGCATCATACTTTCATGCAAGGCCAAAATCGAAAACGTTATCCGATTGGTCTAAATTCGTTCCAGAATCCAGATCCGACACCCAGTTCATGAATGATCATTCAATTCGTTAAAAAATTGTATACATATGATGAAATTTAAAAAAGTCTTAAAAGTTTCATTTTACACTAACAACTTAATTAATTTAATAGACGCAATATTGTCAATCCAAAAACTGATTAGATTAATAAATAATTTTATTTGTGTCCATGCTAGTATGGAATTTGTCTATTGATAAGCGTAAACATGATAAGCAGATATCAAAATATGTAATATAACGTTAATATAGTCTTACAGATACGAGCGTAGACGTTGAATTTAGTTTCCATATCTCATTTTTGGCCGTGTAATTAAAAAATTATAGTATTTAATACTTTCTATAACTAACAGACGCGGTACAAAAATAATTATTACAGTTTGTGTTGTATAATATTGCAAAAATTAAACTGTTCTTTCACTTTATAGTTTATTGCTAAGCTTCACTCTTCAGTATTTAGTTGTCCACGTGGCTGAATCATCATGTCATCTTTTGCAGAAAAAAAAGAATTGATCATTCGCAATCTTCAGGAGATTCTTGGGGAAGATAAACTTGATACTATATTAAAAGAGAGAGACTTGAAAATTTATTGGGGTACAGCTACAACAGGAAAACCCCATATTGCATATTTTGTACCTATATCCAAAATAGCTGATTATTTGAAAGCTGGCTGCGAGGCATGTATAAATAATATTTAATTTTTCACTGGTCGCTAATTTTCAATTTAAATAGTGTAAAAAAAATTTAGTTTTCTTTGTTTGGTTGCAAAAAAAAAAAAAATGAATTTGCTTAAACATTTACAAAATGGTTCATTAAAATTTAACCTACTTCAAGGTATCAGAAAAGTAGTTAATAAGGACTAATGAAAATTGTCGTTTTAACGGGGTCATAGTTTCTTTATAGTATAGCAATAGCAAAATAATGATAAGTTCTTTATATATGATTCAAAACATTAAGCAAAATGTACATTTTCTCTTCAATAAATGTATTTTAGTTGTCTACTTACTCTGTGCTAGCCATTTACCGCTGCACATGTTATGTTTACGTATACTTTAATTGAATATTTATTTATGCAACCTGAAATTTAGGTTTATTTTTTTTTAATTTGATTTTATGTTATATATGGTTGCAAAGTAGAATTTAAAATAAAAAAATATTTAAAGCCATTTAAATAAAAAATTTCAGGTTACAGTTTTATTTGCTGATTTACATGCCTATTTGGATAATATGAAAGCTCCATGGGAGCTCTTAGAACTTAGGGTACAGTATTATGAATATTCAATTAAAGCAATGTTGACTTCAATTGGGGTACCATTGGAAAAATTAAAATTTGTACGTGGTACAGAATATCAACTTTCTAGGTAAACTCTAATATTATTATTATTGTTACTATATGGAATATACTATATTTATATTATCTTTATATTATGTTCAGTTTCTTATATTTTTTATCAGAGAATACACCATGGATGTATATAGATTATGTTCTTCTATTACTGAACACGATGCAAAAAAAGCTGGTGCTGAGGTTGTAAAACAAGTTGATAATCCACTATTATCTGGATTACTTTATCCAGGTACATACTATTTTTAAATAACTAATTAAATTCTGAAATATTTATTATGTATTTTATATTATTATTGTTTTAAGGTTTACAGGCATTAGATGAAGAATATCTTAAAGTTGATGCTCAGTTTGGTGGAGTTGATCAACGTAAAATATTTACTATGTCTGAAAAATATTTACCCCAACTGGGTTATGTCAAAAGAATTCATCTAATGAATCCAATGGGTACAACATCATTTATTATTACTTCAATTAAAAATGTATTTAGTTTATCTTAAATATATATTAAGGTAGCCATATGTAGTTTTAGAGAATTTTCATTTTGAAGCCCTATAAATAATTCCAAATTATTAAAATCAAAATTATTTAAGATTTTTATTTCAACCCTTTTGTATTTCTGTTTTAGCAGAATATTTTCCCCAGAATGTTGGAAGTATAGTGCCTAGAAATTTATTAATTTAAGAAAAAAACTTTCAAATTTCCTGGGCAACTTTTCCAATTTTTCTTTCCATAAAAACCTTCTTTAGACTTTTATGAACATTTAAAAAAATTAGCCAAATCAGCCCAGCCGTTCTGTAGTGATGCATGTTGCTTCAAACAGCATTTCATTTATATATATATATATATATAGATTTATATTAATGCATTTAAATAATTATCATAAAAAATACCACTAAAAACTAATTTAATTAATTGTTGTGATGTAGCTAGATAAAAAAAAATTGTAGGTAAATTTTAAAAATCATTAACTTTATTTATTTACTCATCTCTAATGTTGTAATGTTTACTTTTTAGTACCTGGTTTAGCTGGAGGCAAAATGTCATCATCTGAAGAAGATAGTAAAATTGACCTACTTGATTCTCCTGCAGCTGTAAAAAAAAAGTTAAAAAAAGCATTTTGTGAACCTGGAAATATATCTGATAATGGACTTTTGGCTTTTGCTAAACATGTAATATTTGGATTATTTAAACCCGATGAAAGTATGATATTACTGATGTACTATGTATAATAAATATACAAACCTATTATATTTTATTGTACATTATGTAATTTAACGTATTGTTATTTTAAGCATTTAAAATATTCAGAAAAGAAGCTAATGGTGGAGATAAATATTTTAATACATATGGAGAACTTGAAGCCTATTTTGCCGAGCAAAATCTTCATCCTGCTGATTTAAAAGCAGCAGTTGAGTTCTATATTAATAGACTGCTTGATCCGATACGAAAAATATTTGAGGACCCTAAATTACAAGAGCTAGTATCAAAAGCCTATCCAACATCTAGTAAGCCTGGAAAAACTGGTAAAGATTTCAGTTCTATAAAACTTTCAAGTTTAGAATTAAATGTGTGTTTTTTTATAAAGTCTTAATCACCTTATATTATTTATCGTTTTAGCTCAAAAAAGTGTAAGCAATCTACAACCAGAAAACGAAGCCATTCCTACACGTTTGGACATTCGTATTGGTAAAATAGTTGAAGTATCTATGCATCCAGATGCTGACTCATTGTATGTTGAAAAAATTGATGTTGGTTAGTATGAAGTAGTGGGATATTTATACGAAGTTATGATTTCAATTAGGAGTAATAGCTTGAATACTTCAGGTTCAAGTACATATTTTTTAAAAATTTAGTTACTCGAGTGACTATTTGTTTTTTTTTTTTATTGTACTTGATGTCTCATTTTTAAAATATAGGTGAAAAAGAACCACGGACAATAGTTAGTGGTTTAGTAAAGTTTGTTCCGATTGAAGAAATGCAAAATAGAACTGTTGTTGTCTTATGCAATCTAAAGCCTGCCAAAATGAGAGGAGTGGAATCATGTGGAATGGTTCTCTGTGCTTCAAGGTATGCATTTCTTAGGTTTTAATGTAAGTTATTACTTACTAAGTGTAACAATTTTGAATGGGTATTACTAATTACAATTTGTATCTGTTTCACTATTTCATACGTATTAAAATATTAACTTACATTAAATTGTGACCTCTAATTATACATTACAGCAATATAAATGAATTTAATCTAGTATTTTTTAACTACATGCTTTAGTGAAAATGATGGTATTAAGTTTGTTGAACTACTACAACCAGCAGAAGGAAGTCAACCAGGTGATCGAGTATTTGTCGAAGGTTATGATAAAGGCGAACCAGATAAAATACTCAATCCAAAAAAGAAAATCTGGGAAAAACTACAAGTAATTTTAATTACAAAAAACATAAAAAAATTTTGGAAACTGCTACTTAAATTGAGTTATAACAAATACACAACTAGTGTTTACAGTATTCAAATAACTCTCCCACTAAATGCATGTGTATCAAATACTAAATTTCCAACAGTAAATATATGATAATAGTATTAGGTTTTTAGCAAAATAATAATTATTTCTAATTTATCGACTATTAGTAAAACTAAAATAGATAACATAATCATAATCTTTGATAATTTGAAGAGTAGTAGGTTATCTCTAGTAATGTTTTGGAGCAAATATATTTGTTACTTCTTTCGTAAACTTTAATAAAGAACACTTAAGTAAGTCAAATTAGTTCCATATCACTGCATCTAAACCTATTAACCCTTTCACTGCTAAGCTCTAAAACACAAACATCTGCCCTCTGCTGGCTTTATTTTAGTTTAAATTTAGAATTTAGCACAAAATTTACTTTCTTCTTTGTAATGTTAGGTTAAATTGATTGATAGTGTTAACCATTGTGTATATACTATATACGTATACAGCACAGGGACTGTGCTTTGGTTTGGCAAGTACACACATCCAGAGCAGTAAAAGGGATAAGCCATTTAATAGATATTAGTATTAAATTGTATTTCCTGCACAAAACAGACAAAATGTTATTTTACCATATTGTCTTTTTATGAAATTATAATAAAAAATATCTCAAATTTCATATTACATGTATGGATTTTAATAAAGTCTAAATTTTAGGTTGATTTAAAAGTTTCTGAAAAATGTGAAGCTCAATGGCAGTCAAACAACTTACTCACAAATGCTGGTAAAATCCTCAGCAAGTCTTTAAAAAATGTTCATATTGCTTGAAGTATTAAAAGTAACATTATATAAAATGTATGGTGTTTTTTTATAACAATATACACACTAATTGCCGGTTAATTTGTTTAAAATGTATTTATCATCATAATAATAATGTTTTGTTTACAGTCAATTAAAAGCCAATTAACAACTAGAATTTGTTAAAACACTCATGAAGTTTGATTTGTTTGAATAATTATCTTCATCGTCAGAAATGTCACTTAATAAATTGCTATTGTTGTATAATTGTGTTGAATCAAATAACTCCTTCGAATGGTTTGTTTGGGCTTTTATACTATCAAATAACTGATTAAGTTCAAATTTAGCTGATTTTATAGCTGACGCCTGTCTATTATATTCATTAAATTGTCTATCGATATTACGATCTTCATCACCTGATTTTAATGGATATTTATTAGATATAAGTGAGGCCATTGATACATTTTTAAAATCATCATTTTCTAAGCCACTCATCACAATATCTTTCATTTTTCTGAAAAAAAAAAAACAAATTAACCATACAGTTATAAGCGTTTGTAATTTAATACATAGTATATTTTTTCATAAAACTTTAAACTTATTATTTTTCAAACAACTATTTTCATAAATACAAATACATTAAAAAAAAACTTTTTTTCAGGAAATGGTTAATTTTTTGTGTAAGGTTTAGTTAAAAGAACCAATAAATTGTAACATTTTTTTTAAAGCAAATTATGTAAACAAATATTACATCAAATAGGATAGGAGTAGAGCATCTACTACATTAGTTTCAAGTGGATCCTAACATTGTTGAAAATTTTGCCAACTAAAAAAAACAACAAATTAGCACATGGGGAATACAACTTAAGAAGACGCTACCCGTCTGTAATTTATCCACGAAAAATAGTTTTACAAGGGTTAAGAATGTGAGAATATTTAAAACCATGTAAAGGGGCTAATGATAAATATTGAAGCCCAATAAAAAAAAAGAGGATACTTACAGTAACTGTATAACATTTTTACAATGGATAGAGGAAAACTTTATCTACACGGTAGTGTTTTTAGTTTTTTTTGATAACTTAAGCACAATCAAATTTATTCATTTGTAAGTATTCATTATTTTTTCTTTTTTTCATTTGTTTATAAAAAATATTAAGTATAGATATCAAAAAAATTAAAATACTACCCCATAGATAAAGTTCTTCTTTATACATTGTGAAAATTTGATAAATCTACAGTTAATAATGACCTCACATACTTGTCCCGTGCAAAGCAGTTTTGATAGTCTGACAAAAACAAAATGGCAATCAATAAAGTATCCTTATTACTATATTAATAAGTACATTATAGTTCAAACTCTAAATAAAGAGTTTTCGAAAATTTGCCTATAATTTACTCATTTGAAATGACATGGGTAGTGCCCTCTAAAGCAGTTGCTTAAGGTAACGTCCAGAATATTTAATACTTAAGGGAATAATGAATCTATGCAGGATTTAGAGTGTGTCTATCACTGCTTGATTCCAATGAGTGAACTCCTGGGGTTTATATCAGCAGCTCGAACCATACACCTAAAAAAAGTGTTTCAACTTGCCCCAAATTTTTTTTTTTTCCAAACGTGGTAAACTTAATAAGTCAATACTTCATCCACTTAAAATTATTTTTAAAAAGTTGTTAAGCACTATAAACAAGTGTAAAAGAGTATTTTAAGTCCTCGTTATATACAAACATTTTAAAATTAAGCCATCTTTATGTACTTAAAAATGGTATGTTAAATAATTACTAATAATTACTCTTACTTGATATTAAACCTTAGTTTAGCCACTTCACTAGTATTAGCATTGTGTACTTTTTTGGATTTTTCATGGTCAAATTTTGAAACGCCTTCATTTGTTTTCAACTTATTTTCATTAAAATTTGTTATGCTTTCTTTTTTTTCTTCTTCTGGTATTATTTTTTTGGTAAAATTATTTACCTTGAAATACAAATAACAAATTGTAAATAATTTTGTTTATAACAGTGTTGTAGTAAAATTAATTTAAATAATTTTAAGTCTTAAGTGAAAATCTTATAATTTATATACATTTTTAGGTACAGGGAGTACTCGAATAAAATGTCTCATTATACGAGACCAAATTTTAAGACGTGTGGTAATGTATTATAAAAAAAAAAACATGATTGCAGTATAAAATCTGATAGACGGATACATTACTAATAAGATATTTTCTATAGAAAAAATTGATACACGATAAATAATTGTGTTAACATTTTGTTTCCACAAATGGGAAGCTAGAGTTCCCTGGATATATATTTTTTTAGAATCTTGGGAATAAGAGGAAGACTAGTTGGAATTCTGTCTGTGTATTCGTTTATCTGTGCAATTCCTATGCCTGTTAAAAGCGCCTATGCAAATTCAAATTTTCTCCTAATCGATTTTATCAGTTAGACAACTGAAAAAAAATCCTGATATCATTTTAGAGGAAAATTTTATGAAACTAATTAAATTTTGGTGTCGATTGGATGATTTTTTTCATTATAAGGGAAATTTTTTTTTCAAGTTAGGTACTTTAAAGTGTGATCAATTCGGTTTTGAGTAAGTTATGTGCCAATGATTTGGCAGCTGTTTTTCAAATTTTCAAAATTCAAATTCAATAGTACATATTTTCGAACCGAAATATCAATTTAATAGTTTAGTTCTATTATCAAAATCATCCCTAATCAAAATAGATACCCTTGGTTCAGATTGATTTGGTTAGAAATCAATAAGTAAATCAAACTAGTGAAAAAAAAGCATAACCACGCGTTATGACTTTTTTAATTATATATACTTTTTATATGTTTACGATTATAATCTATAAAACAATGTATTAGACAGTTTAAAATTATTTCTAAAGTTATACAAACCACATTATTTTTCGAGACATTATTTATTTGTTTTGTTAATTCTTTAATAGTAACTTCCTGCTCATAAACTAATTTTTCTGATGCCATAAGTTTAGATTTAAGACTGGCTATGGTGTCTAAATATTCCCTTTCGCGGTTGTTAAGTATTTCTAATGAATTGCATGTTTCTTTAAATTTCCTATTAAATACAAATGTTTAAAAAATTATAATGTACTAGTAATTTATAACATACCCAATTATTTTGTCACGTTCAGAAGTAACACATACAAGTTTCTCTTCAGTCATTTTAACTGTTTTCAAAATCTTAGCATAATTATTTTCAAGTTCTATTATTTTGTTATGTAGGGTTAACCAATATTCCTAAAACCATTAAGATTGTTAAGTTTATGACAAAGTCATTGTTTATATAGGTTTTATTTTGACAAACATTTTCTTTTGAGGTTTTTTCAGACTTAAAATCATTACAATAATTGTCTTTTGTTGGAATCATTGAACTATCAACTAGTATATTATTTGATTTAATATTGGAAACTTTTGAACACTCGTCAACAATTCTTTCAACTACAACCTGCATGTCCTGTACAATTTTTGAAATATCAGTATCTAAAACCAAATAAACAAGGGTTTTAATACATTTTAAATTTATAATAGCATAATGTACATACTTTGAACATTTGGTAAGTGATTAATTTCTTTTAATAAAAATTGCAATGTTCTAATTGGATTGAAAACAGAAAGTGTAGTAGTACTCTGACTCTCCTTTATACAGGGTGATTCACATTGAACACTTTTACTTTCTATAATTATAAAATAACAAAAGAAAAATTATAAAATGAAACATAAATTTCATTTTAATTTAATAAATTGTATACTTTTAGCGCAGCTCTGAGCAGAATTTGTTTTTTGTTTTGTATTGTTGGTTGTGGCAGTGTTAGTGCTGACTGATTTTTTATTAAGTAAATTACTCCAAGTATTATTTTTTTCAAGAAGACTATTTCTATACTTAGGCTGAGCCAAAGAATTCATAACACTTTGTTGTCGACATAGTTTTGATTCCATAATAAAGTTATTATTTATTGATTTCATACTACAATTATTAAAATCAATAAGTTCAATAATTATTTAATGACAGATAAAAAATTTACAAATACAATTATTATGTTATAAAAGTAATTATTTTATGTGAAAACATAATAATTATAGTACTTACAAGCTCTAAATTACTAACCATAAGATAAAATAGTGTTAAAAATTATTTTTCCAGAAAAGTTACAGGAGATTAATCAGTTAAATTAATAACACAAAGTATAACTCTGTACTACATATATTTTACCATACTTTCTTTCGTGATAAGCAAAAAGAATTAGCATTAAAAATTAGTAATATTTCATAATAAATTTCACTACAATAGATTAAAAAAACGTTAAAATTTAAATGATAACCTCAAATGTGGTATACAGAGTGATAATGCAAATTGAATAGATATTATCATTGAGTATATATTGAATCTATACTCGATTGAATATATACTCAATGATATTATCTAATCTGAGGTAATCATAGACGCAGTTACGTGATAAGTTATCTTTGTAAATATTCAAAGTGAATAATCACGTCGAACCAACGTTTACGGGTTAACCTTCGTTCTTTGCCCATACTTCACTTCGATATCATTAAACAACTACGATTTTGTTTTGCAATCAAGGTAAAATAAATAATTAATATTGTAATGTTAGATTTATGAGAAATGCTTTTTTGTATTTATTTATTTAAGTATACTAACTATGGTTCTAACCATTTCATTAGTGCACATTTTCCAGCAACCATTTCAAACAGTTAAAAAGCATTATAACCAAATAAGAAAACAAGATGAAGTTGTTAAAGTTTCAGAACTGATTGATGAACATATTGGTAAGTAATTATTAATTAATATTTAATAGTAATTTTAATCGCTATACATAATGGCATTACAAATGTACTATATGTTTATAAGTATAATAATGCAAAATCAGTAACTTTTAAAGTCTTACAATTTTGAACAGACCTGAACGTTCTAGTATGTTATAATTCTAAATTAATTTTAGGAAATAATGAATAAAAACTTTTTTTAAGTATCTTTTGTGTAATAACCAAGTGTCTTAAGACTTGATTGTTACTTCTAGTATAATCCCTGTGTTAAACATGAACTAGCCCTAAAAATAGATACAACAATTAATTTAAAAAAACTACATTGAATTGTTTATATGGTTCTTTATATCTGTTTTAACTATTATGTATTATTAGTAAATAAAACAACCTTTTATAGATGAACATGGATTTGAATATACCAAACACAGACTAGTATGCCATAATATTATTCCTCAAGTATTACGTCGTGATCAAACTTTACATGTACCAGAATTTGTAATCGAGGAAGAATGTTGGTATGATGAAAAAGGTCAAAAATTTTGGGCTAGGACAAGAAATTTGAGTTGGTCAGACATTGCGACATTGTCTAATATAATAACATTATCAATAACACCTAATCCAACATGGTAGTATATTTTTAATATTTGTTCACATTAGACAGTTTTTATTGTTGATTGTGCTTTTGTGACTGTAATTATACGGAGTGATCAATTAATGTAAGACACTCATTTTCTTAAAAATGATTATCATTAAATTGATCATTCTGTATATTGAATTTAATGTTACTACATCATGTTAAAATTTTTTTTTAAAATATTATTTTTTTGTGTTATCCACAAGTTTATAGCTTTAGTGCACATTTAAGCGTGATTTAATTAATAGTATCTTCCCCCGACAACATTTTTAACAAGACTGTATCAGGTTATTTGATGGTCAAAATATTCTGTATATACTCCGCGCCACAAGAGAAGTAACCCGTCTCCCGACCGAAACGTGTTTGATTCCGCGCATCCACACTAATAGGCCACACCCACGGTCGCCGGCGGTGCTGCATATATAGGTTGTATCATAACGTATACTCGATATAGTGTGTCACAAGACTCATAACGTCTTACGTTTTTGAACTACGCGCTTGCTTTTACTGTTAAATATTTACATTATTGTCATTTTTTTTGCTGCTCATAATGCTATACAAAAAACATTTAGTGGAGTACCACAACCAGTACCACAAGGGAATTCAAAATATTGTTTTAACTGAAAAAGAAAAACAAATTAGTTAATAGGCACATTTTAATATTTTTCATTAATCAAGTACAGCCAAAAAAAATTTGATCATTTTTTAAAAAAATTGTATTAAATTTAATTATTTGAAATTTTTCAATATGTAAATTGTACCTAAACAATTTTCTTTGAATAAATATATAAATATTATATCATAGTTTATATATCATTATAAAATGTGCGGTTTTTAGATACAGCAATTTTAAAAAGTATGTGGTTTTAACCTACTAAATGTGTGCGGTTTTGCCCTGTATTTTATTACATGTGTGCGGTTTTTGGAGTCAACGGTAAAAATATGTTTTCTAATGCTTTTATATTGCAGCTTGTTTCCTCTCGCCAAAAAGAATACATAATTATAATGTACAATATATAATTAAATAAGACAACATAATTAATTATGTTATACTATGGTATGTGTTTTAAATAAATAAATAATTATGTATATAATTTATAAATGACAATATAATATAATTATTCACAATTATAATAAATAATATGCTCTATATACAATCACTCTGTATATCGCTTGTTTCACTCTGTATGCACGCCTCAGCGCGATACTGAATGGCACAGTGGGGGAAACGGGGCCTCGTAACAGTCGCTGCCGTCAGTCGGCATGCGCGAAACGGGTTACTTCTATTGTGGTGTGGAGTATAGTAAGATTACTTAAAGACGCGTATGTGTAGTCCGCCTGTACTCTGAAGATTTCTGGGTCATCAGTTTTTTAATTATTTTTTTTTTTTCATAATTTTATTAAAATAACAACTGTTATTTCTTTTTACTCTAGAACACTCATCATTTAGGTGTAGTGTAGTCTTTGAACATTAAAATTATAAATAACCAATTTTTAAATTTCAAATCGCTTACATAAATATTTTTTTTTAAGGACCAAGTATGAAATAGATGGTATAACAGACTTTTTTGGTACACAACCTCATGGAATCGGTTATGCAGTTGAGTATTTTTTAAAAAAGTATACAGAAAAAAAACTCATGGAACATATAAAAATAGTTGAACAAGAATGCGAAAAACTTCAAATGTAAATTTTATTTTTTATATTATAATATAATTATGCACTATATTTTTACATTATGCAATGCTTTCTTTTTAAGAAATATTGTTTTAATTTTGTTGTAAGTGAAGTGTATGTCTCTTTATATTATTTAAGAAACATGTCATAGAAATTTGTAATATTTCAAACTATTTTGTTTAGTAAGGAAAAAAATACCAACACGATCATCAAATAATAATTTGTTCGTTAGTTAATTTATTATATTGAAACAAAATATTTTAATAATAATATTAATTATCCATAATTTATTTTTTATAAGTAATAAAAAATGCCATGAACAACCAATATATAACGATCACATATACATAATATATTAATTATTCATTGTGAGCAATATTTTCATGTTTTACAACTTATGTAAAATACATTGGATATTCATCTTTATACATTAACATCATGACATCTTCTTGAACACCGAGTTTTAATTTTTTACAAGTGTCATCATCATTTTGTACATCATCTTTAGTATTCTGTGATTTTGTACAAGCATCATCATCAGCTATCAGTTTTGACTTTTTACAAACATCAATAAATTTTAAAAATATTTTGGGAGTCACTCTTGCTGTAATATTATAATTATGTTGAAATGGATCTTGAACATACATATTAAACTTAGACTTGCCCAAAAACTGCAGTTTTTGTTGATTTGTGTTTTCTTTATGAAACTGTTTGTATTTTGTTAATTCTTCAGGTAAAGCTTCAACATTTTCAAAACTACTTTTAGGTAATAAGCATCCTAAATATGGGCAAATAACAAAATTTTCGTATTCAAAGTTTGAATAATAATTGTAAATCTGATCTAATAGAGTAGAGGTCGCCATTTTCTCATTTTCAATAAATTGATGTGTATCTTTTGAAAACGCACAATTCCACTGGCCAATTTTAAGTTCTGGTATATTTTTTTGTAAATCATAGACTGTCGGTAACATGCCCTTAACTTGAAAAAAAAATAATCCTAGCCAATAAAATGAATAGCTAGAAAAACCATATGTATTGATAAGATCATGCTTTTTAGCCCATAATTTTAATCCAATTAAAACTGGCTTGACAGAATGGTTTAATGTAATGTATTGTTTAAGCAAATATGTATTTTGTACAGCATAGATATTGTTAAATGATAAGTCACAGTCAACTCCAGTACTTCTATGAATACACTTAATAAGTGGTACTTTTGTAAAGTATAATGGAATAATTTTAATAAAGGTATTTTGATGACGCAAAACATTTGTAATTGACTGAATCATTTCTCTAATTGGACGCTTTGAGCCTAAAAATTATAAAAAAATGACTTAGCATTCATTTTTTTTGTATTATTATTTATTTTTCCAATTTATATAATACTCACTACAAGTTATGTGAATATCAATATCACTATCATCTACATTAAGTCCAGATATTCTAGATCCATAAGGTTGTATGTCTTCAATATTTATGTGACTTAGTTTAAAACTATTTAAAGCAATTTTTAATTCTGAACTGACTTTGGTAGTAAGGTCAACATTGTCAGAAATTAACTTTTCTATAATTAAAAAAAAAAAAAGTATTATCAACTGTGTTTTAGTATAATGACGGTTAGAAGGCAATTTGTTGTAAGCGTATTTATTAAATTTTTAGGAGGTGTACATAAATATGTTTTTTGTACAATTCCAATATAAAACACTGCTATATTATGATGTTGGAGAGTTATTAGTATTATGTATTGTAAATGTACAAAAAATATGGATATATTTTGTAAGTGCCTCTTGCTCTTTTTTTATGGGTGTTTAAAACCAAAAAGTTCTTTATTAAATGCAATAGTTAATAAAACTGTTATTGGAAAATATACTCTTGTAATAACAACTTAAGTATAAATTTTAAATAGTCACAAGTAGTATAAAATAAATAATTTTGAGTAACATTTAAAAAGTAATAAAAATTATTTAAAAGACATTCTTGTTATGAAAATAGGTGCTTATACCAGAAATGTTTAATACGACCAATTTGGTATTGCTTAAGTAATAAATTAAAACATCAATAATTGTTTATTAAAAAAAATGATATATAACAAAACAAGTTGGATCAATTTACTTACAACAAAATGTAAAAATTTCAATTTCCTATAATATGTCACTAGCAACATTTTACCATCTAACCATCAGTATATACAAATATGTGTAAATTGATTATTAAAATCATACTTTTTTTATTATGAACTCTTCCACCAGGCGATATAGACCTCTTTTTGGCATTTCTATAATTGGGACATAGGTACACTATTAAATTGTATTTCAATTTAAGATTGTATAACAGAAAATGTGTCTTTATTTGTCATCCGAGGATTTCATAAAAAACTGCATACCCACTCAAATATTATAACTTACTGCATGGGTTTAGTTAAAAATTGTGAATAACAAAAATTAAGTGTGAAAACAGTACCCTCCCAAGTGAGCGATGGCTAAAAAAAAGAGGTATCATAAGAGGGCTCAGATTTTCCAAAATGTGGGTTTTTTATATTTAATGTTTTACTAGGAAAAAATTGAGTTGAGATATTTAAAAGAGCTAAAAAGTATTCTTAACATATTATCATTATCACTGTTCTCCTTGAAAAAAAATAAGAGAAACTAAATTATTAAAACTTTATAGGCACTCATGTCACCTTCCCCATGAAACCCCTGGAAATAATATTATGAAGTGAACATTAATATTTTATATTAAATACAAATATTATATCCTGTCAAAAAAATTTAGTATAGACATATTGCATAATTATGAATACCTTTGTTGCCATGGTTTTGATTGTTTGTTGGTATGATTCATTTTTTCAAAATTAATAGACAGAAATTATTAGTATGCTAGTTGGTGAAATTAATTATTATCGGTCTATTAAGAAATAGTTATCTGAAAACAATTTACTATAATACATATTTAAAGTTTTTAACAAATATTGCGACTACATTATTACTATAAGGTAAAGTTCGTACCTGTACAAAGCTTAATAGCTTTTTATAATAAACATCTAATATAATGTATACAATTAGTATTACATTATTCATTTGGATAACATTTTTTTGTATCAAAGTTCGCGTTCTATGTTAATTCTTAATTAATAATGTGTTATCAATTAACATGTATTGTAATTTACAACCAATGAGTTTATCACATAGGTATTAACATTTCACAATTCATTATTCACGAGTCACGAATGTAGATTTATTCACGGCCTATGAGGTTATTATTATTACACCTTAACATTTATTTGAACGAACTGAGGAGTAAGAACGAAGGGTGTAACACACAATAATAAAAATAAAAACACATTCACATAACACATTTCTCATTGTGGGTATATAGCGTGTACTTTGTACTATCGTCTATCACAGATTATATGAAAAGTTTTTCAGATAATCTGTGGTACCATTGTGGCAGAAAACATGCTCGATTCCAACTTCTTATCTAATCCTTATCAAATTTGGAAGAACTCATCTCATCTCACAGTATTATATAATAAACTAGATTGCTAACTATATATACCACCAATAGAGAAGATTGAAGCAGCCACTTTCCGTCATCCTGGTGGGAATTAGAACCTTATCACGCGAGAATAATATATGGTTATAACAATTACATATATATATATATATATATGCATTGATAACACACATAAATCCTACCAGGATGACAGACCGTCGGCTTCAATTCTTATCGCTAGTTAGCAATCTAGTTTATTATATATATCTGTGTCTTGATTATATCTGGTTTTCCTGATACCGATTACCCATTTCTCATATTAATGATATAACCACGATGTAGAGAAGATAAGGTGACGCCACTCAAACCAAATCAGTGGGTCAAGAAATTACGGCATTTTGGTAGTACAATTTTGTCACGTAGATAGCGCCACCATTCGCCCGGAGGCCGACTTTTACATGGAGCTAATAGGGTTTTTTACATATTATTATACGTTACTGTCATTTTTATTACTAAATAAAAATATATTACATGTAATTTTATTTGATTACAGGACTATAGATTATATATTATTTTAAAAACCACAATATTCGTATATGTAGTCTAATTAAATGTACTATTTATTCTAATTCCTATTCCACAAAATACGTTTATAGTCGAACGATGACTATCCTTTTATAACAATATATGAAATTATTCTATACGATATATAATATAATAACACGTATTATGTACAAGAAAAAAATTGTCCTCAACCCCTCCCTCCCCCTTCCTATATCGAATTTTAAGCACCAGAGAAGTTTTTTTAAATTTAAAGCCCGACTACCGTGTAATTCAAGCCCAACCATACGTGCAATGCCTAGGGACGAAGTAGCGACATATTCTCTGCATTGTGTTCCTAGAGATGATATTTGCATCACAAATAATTGTTTATATTTTGTGTCTACATAATAAACCGCGGCATATATAATTATAAAATACTGTTGTTCTTATTCATTTTTACAAATAAAATTCATTGACTAATGTAGATCTTTTAGATTTATAATTTATTGGCAATATTTGCTCTACTATAGTTTTATTCTATTACTCTGATCTAGAATTTAGAAATTATGACCATGTATACTAATGACTAATTAGTATTGGAATACTACTTTATACTGGTAGAGTAGCTAAAATAATAAAATAAATAACTGTGCTGGACAAAGACTAGATCAGAATAAATTTAATTTAATTAATTATGAAAGCTATATTCTAGTGCTAATATTTACTTTAATGCCGTTAAAAAACACAGTTTTCGCAATTAAAAAGTTAACAAAATAATTGCTTATTACTAAATAAGACAATAAAAATAATAAAAACTCCAAATAAAGAATAATTAACATAAAAATAAAAAATAAAACGTTTATCGTCCATAAGCCGCATAGAAAATATCGGCCTCCGGGCGAATGGTGGCGCCACCTGTACAGCGAAGCTGAACTACCAAAATGCCTGAAGCATTCGACCCCAGATTTTTACTGATAATAAGTTGAGTGGTGTCACCTTATTTTCTCTACATCGTGGATATAACTAATATGTGATAAACCAAATGGCTTTGGGCTTTGGCTGATAGGCAATGGCAGCAGCTGAACCTGACGGAAGACTGCTCAGTGCTCAATGCTGTGCTTTGTTGTGCTATAAGCGGATAAGCCCCTGAATCTAAATGAGATCAGAATTCAGATTTCAGTGATATTGCAATTAGCAGCTATAGTTTTGAGTTAATACGTATTTAAAATAATAGTAGCATAATATTAACATGATATATGAAAATGTTAGTTAGTATAAAATCATAAAAACATTAGTGAGTTAAACAGTATTTGTATAAATTTTAATTGAATTAGGTATCATAAACATTTATTTTTCGTATTAAATAAAACTCGACAGTAGAAAAATGAGTGCATTTATAAAAATGGTGAGTCTAAATTGTTGTTTTATAGTGTTTACCTAGAGTTCAACTTGAAAACTGAAATGATTAACTAATTTTTCAAAACTATTTCATTATGTAACATGATTTTGCAACAAGAACCTAAGTATGTTTTATTGACTATTATAAGATTTTTATATACTGAAACCTTTTAGGGGTTTTAAAGTTTTTTTATCGCTGTGTCGTTTTTATTTGTAAATTTCTTCTGTTTTTTTCTGTATTTATAGTGCTGCATATTTCATTAAAAAACAATGCCATTTTTTAAATAGGTTTTTAAAATCTAAAATTGTGATACTTTAAATTGTAATAGTAAGAATTCTTCCTTAATTAATTATTTTATTTGTTATAGGTACAGGTAGTATGTATTCTGCAGTAATAGGTATAGGTGCAATTATTCTAATAGGACTTTGGTCTTCATCATTCATTTTGTGTCTTCTTTCACTAAGAACTCGTCATAGCATCGGGCCAATTGTTTTTGTGTCAACAATAGTTATTTCTATTATTTTATTATTCATACCTCGTAGCTCAACAGGAGTACAGAAACAAGATATTAAGGCAAGTTAATAAAAGTACATTTACACCATTAGCTTAGTTTTTTTTATGAATTGAAAACAATAAATATTTATTACATATATTACAATAAATAACTTAATATTATGTACCTAAAATATTGATTCTAAATTTTTTATCTTTAAATTCAAAAATTTGTACTAAAAAGTAAAAAAAAAAAATTGTTGAGTAAAAATTATTTTTATAACTAACTATTACAGTGGCATATTTTGAAGAAATTTTGGGGGTGTTCAATTTTTTTTTACTATCCAGTGTCCGGTAATTCTATATTCTTACTCTTTTTTACTCTCATTGTAAGCTCCCCCCTCCATCAATCATCTAATAAACTAATTTTAAAAAAACGTTTTTCTTCATTTTTTTATTTTATGGAACAATTTATATATGATATATAAGTTTGAGGCATTTAGCAAATCCACTTGCACACACACCAAGTGATTTGGCGTGGAATGACCCTAATCCATTTTTTTAGCCAGGGTGTCTCCAGACACCATGAACACCCCCTCCCAAAATATGCCGCTGAAATATGATATTATTAGTAAAGTGGAAAGATAGAAGGATTTCTATCTAAGGCCCATTAGAAAATTTGAATGTATTTTTTTTCAAATGTACCAATTAGATTATCTGATACAGGGGGAAACCTGAAAACAGGTTTGACTTTATTAAAATCTCTTCGAAGTAACAACTTTTCTAAATTTTTACTTAAAATGATAAGATGTATAACTAAAATATAAAAATAAAAACAACGCATTACACTAAGAAAAAAACCCAATGAAATTAGGGAAAAGCCCCCTGAAAAGATTTTAAAGAATTGAAATCTGTTTTTAGATACCTTATCACTTCACTAGATATAATCGATCATACAATGAAACAAAAGTCTTAATTCCTACTTTCCAGATGACAGATGGACAGAAATAGGAAATACCTTTTTCCAATCTACTTAATATTGAAAAATTAATCAAAGTTTAAAACTAATTTAACAAATTTAATTAAAAAAAAGAAAATAAAGGTTTATACTTTTTAGGGACAATGTCAAACCCTAGACATCAAATAAATATAGTTAAATATGTTTTAATGTTTTTATTTTACAGGTTGTTGATCCTCTATTTGTGTGGCGTTTAACAACACTAGTTATATTATCTATTAGTTCAGCAATTGGACTAGCTGCAGTATTTTCATCTTTTGTCATGAGTCGAAAAACTGTGCCTCAGCTAAAATCTTGGATTTTATAATTATAATTGTATTATATCGGTTCAAAAATTGAAAACATGTCATTTAATCGTTTCCGTAGTTTAAAAAAAGTTAACCATCTGACAACTAAACGTTCTATGTCATTGGGTTCTACAAATCGTAAATCATTCACAGTTAGTGGAAATGATGACTTCATACAAAATGTAATAAAAAGTGAAACTCCTGTTATAGTCAATTTTCATGCAGAATGGTGTGATCCTTGCTTAACATTAACACCTATGTTGAAAAAAATGGTTGGCGATTTGCCCTCTGTAAATTTAGCACTTGTCGATGTTGAAAAGAATGCTGATTTAGTGCATACATTTGAAGTAAAAGCTGTTCCAGCTGTTTTAGCTATACGTAATGGCCAAGTCGTAGAAAAATTTATTGGACTCATTGATCAAAACAAGATTAATGAATTGGTAAAGAAATTATCCAAATCTGAAGAGGTTGAAAAGCCTTAGTTTATCTAGGGTTTTTTTTTAAACTAATTAATAACTAACTAAAAAGCTCTTATGCATTTATTGTTCTTAATTTATTTTTAAATTTTAAATAAATAATTTACAAATTATTATTGTTCAAAAGCCTAATATTATGATTTACTTTAAAAATTAATATTATCCTCAATAATTTATTTCATTACATTCTAGTCAATACTTTCTGCTTATTAAGTTCTGTATTTGTATTCATTTATATAAATTTCTATGTAGACATTTTGTATTTTAAATTATTTGGTATTATTCTATTATAATAAAAAAATAGTTGAATATTAACTAAATATGTTTATTTTTTACACTATTAAAAAAGAAATTTGTCCTAAGTATAAATAAAATAAAATATTTTATTTTAAATACGCTTTGGTTAGAACAATTTGAGTACAAAAAAATATGTTGTATGCATCCATGTAGTAAAACATTGCGAGAAATATTTTTAAAAATGTTTTTCATTATTATGTTTGTAAATTATGGACCTAAATGTTAATAGATGTATGCATCATTTAGCGTATATTTATTTATTAAAGACCAAAACGATGTAATGTACAATATAACTTATGGTATTTAAGAGTTTTAAATAATTATGATTAGTAGTACTATTTTTTACTCGACTGTGCAGTGATATTGTGAGATTGTAAACGTACAATGTGTTAAAACATAAGTGCAACTTGTTATTTGCCTGCATTATAACGTAAAAAATTAAACATTTCTTTTTTACATATAGGTAACACTATTTATTGTAATTAGTACATTATGAATTGTATTGACAATTTACATATTGTGATTTTTCCAATTATATGGTTCACATAACTATTATAATATATATTTAAAAAACAGACTTTTTTACATTAAAAAATTAATTATGATACAATTTTGCATAGTGTTGCCTATCCCGAACCTCTTAATCCTTTAAAAAATTGGACCTATTAAAATTTTTTTTCTTCAAAATATACGTTGTTTACGCAATACACTATCAAAAGATACCAAAACTCGTTGATCGCCGCCTAGGTTGTATCTGTATGCACAGTAGACGATGCCGAACTATGTTAAGGAGTGCCGCTGACTCAAAGAGTTATCTTTTTAAAGTGCGCGGAGTATAGAGTGTACTATTTATATGGTTAAGGATTTAAACAAATTTTTTTTATAAAAGTTGATTTAAGGTTTTTTTAGTTTAATTAAATTTGCTTGGTATGATCATTTTTTAATTGAATAAATAGATCCAAACTAATTGGACATTTAGGTTGATAGATTCATACAAAAATTTATAATTGTTTCAAACTCAAATAAAAATAAAATAACTATTTTAAATATTACAATTTATTTTTAAAAAAATTTACTTTTCAACAAAAATTATTTAGTTTAAATATTAGTGTCTTCGTCACTTTCTTCTTCAGTTATTTTATCCCAATCTTTTATTTTTGTTCCACCCATGAAATCATCTCTTAAAACATCCCATCCAGTATTTACAGATTCCTATAAAAAAAATGATATAAATGAAGTTTGTTCTATACATTTTTAGATGAAAATAAAAACTAGTTAATACTTTACATTTTTATGGTCAAATGGCTCTAAAAACTTTTTTTTATCTAAGGAATCCAATACTTTGTCTTGTTTTATGATAGATGTTCCAACATTTTTCAATGATTTTTCAACTGTTCTTTGTTGTTGTTTTACCATGTTAAATAATTGAACTACACCCCTGAAAAAAAAGGATTGAATGGTTTTAAATACAAAATTGTTAATTATTTCCTCTTGATCTATCCAAGATAATCTTTTAATATTTCTTGTAGTAGCCAAGGTTGGATTATTATACATGCACAATACCCAATAATTTGTTTTTAGTAGATTTGCCATATAAAAATGTGTTCATGGATCTTGGATTTTACTTAATAGCTGTTTTTAAATCTACTGTTTTAATAGTTATTATAGTAATTTTTCAATGTAAAGTACAGTTTTTGAGAAAAATATTAAAAATGTAATATTCAATATCCTTTTTTTTTTACTTTCTCAAAAAACTATTGTGTTTGTAGAACACTAAGATTATAATTTTGTGGTTAAGGGTTTAATTAAATTTAATATTTTATTTTTTTCTATACAAAACCCCAAGTGTTGATTGTTTTTTCTAGAATTTTTTAAATACTTTTTTAGTGTAATTTTACAGTGTACCTTAAACGATTACGTAATACTACTTTTTATAACAAATAGAATGTAACAATCTTACTTAGTTGCAATTTTTGATAAATTTTTTTCTTTCACTCTATCACTCACAGATGGTTTGATTCTTCCCAATAACACTTGTTCTCTAATCTAAAGAAGTATTATAAAACATTTGAACACAAAAAAAAATGTGTATTTAGGTTACAAATATTATTATTATTAGTTAAATAGTAAAAAGTATACCCGAATTCGTTTTGGTATTTTAGGTTCTAACTTATCGAAATCTAGTTTTTCTTCTTTGACGTCGTTAATATTTGTAGTGTGTATGACTTTTTCACCACTTTTACCCACAACTTCAAAAGTATCAACGTCATTTTCAACTTTCACTTTATTTTCAGTTATTAATTTAGCTTTTGCTAAAATTAACGATTTTCCTTTTCTTTTTTTTGTTTTTAATATTTTACTCATCGCATCGGCCCACGCCGGATTGGCTATTTTAAGATCTCGTTCTTCTACTTCCATTATTATAAATGTATTGGTTGCAACTAAATGTATAGATTATTAAAAAATTGGAAGTTAATTCACTTAACTTAATTAATGTGTTGCTATTATATAAAAATACAAATTACCGGTTTTAAGTAATTATTAGAAAAAAAACTGAACAATAAAACATAATTTTTCAACACACATAACACAAGTGTTATTAAAATTGAAATTGCAAAAAACGTGTGTGTTATCATTAAAATAATTTGTGTGATATGATTATCATGTTATCAAAAATACAGAACCATGGTTGGTTGTAACATAAACAGTTCGCAAATACCATAAACTTGTAAACTACTAACAGCTTGTATAACATTATCTTTGATAGCTGTTGTTATTACTCATTATCTTTTATCACCTATCGAAATATTACCGTTTTGACTTGTAAACTTCTTACATGGCGCTTCAAGTTACTGCAATACTGCAGTTAGTAAACAATTATTGTTTTTTTTTAATTCTCTCATCGGTAATTTGATATTTCAATATAGTGTCAAATGGTGAATAGTGTCGATGTATTGTCATTTATTGTTGACAACAGATCAACAGAATTTATGTATAGTTTGTTAAATGTACATAATTAACGTAATATCATTTAAATTTAACTATTAAGTTATTCTTAAAAGTGTTATTAAACTTTATAGTATTTATATTAATGTTTTTAATTTTACGCGTCAAGAAAAAATATGAAAATAATTAAATTATTTATGCATAATAAATAATAATAAAAAAAACTAATTTGGATAATAACTTTTTTTTTTTGACTTCATAAAAATGTCTGCTATTGTGAGGTAAATGATATACATTAATTTCATTTTTTATACAAAATAATACTAATAAATTACCAAGTTTGAAGTAGTACAGTGAGAAATGGATGATATTATTTTATTTTAATTTGTGATGCTTTTGTTTGATAAAAAAAGAAAACTGTGTTAATTAGTTGAGTCTTGTATTTCTTAAAATTGATGAAAAACATATTTTTGTAAGAATAGGTGATTTTATATGGTTTGACAAATGCTTTGTGGTTTTAAATCACAAGTATTCTTACAACTCTTTGATATTCATATCATTAATAATCATAATTATGATTTTTATTAATTATTACTTTCATAACTGCATTATATTGAGTAATTTTAGATATTTTAAGGAATGTGTTAAACAGTTAAAGCATTTCTGGATTAAATATTATGTGGATAATTTTTAGATGTATCCATATCTTCAGTTCTTCTAACATTTCGGATTTGTAAATGGACTCTGCATTAAGTGAAACGTCAGCGAAAGCTGAAGACACCAATATATCTAAAAATTATCCACCTGATATTCGAAGGAACTCGAATACAATATTATAATCACAATATGAATTTTAATTTATTAATTTACATAAATATTTGTATTATATAATGTTTAATTCAAACAAAATAAATATATTTCTCTTTTACATTGAGTTAGGGTGACGCTAAGTAAATAAATAAAAAGTATAGAGCAATGTTCAAACATTAACTTAATAACCTATTTTTGTTTTAGCAGTGAATCTACAGTGAATGATATCAATAAAATAGAAGAATCAACTGTCAAAGTAGAAGAAAGTGGATCTGATGAAGCGGTACGTACAGCATTATTAGCTGTCACCGATAATATTGTCAGTGTCCAAATTGAGAAAAAAAAGAATTTAGAAATATCTGCTTCATCTTCAAGTAGTTCATGTGACTCCAGTAGTTCAGAATCAGACTCTGACAATAGTTCTGGTAACTTAATTATTATTAAAAACAAAACAAAAATTAATTTTATTTATTTTAATGATTTAACTCTACAACAAATTTATTGAAACTCAATAAGTCTTTGTTTGTTTACGTTTGTTGATTGTTTTATGGACTAGTTGATCATTATTTAAAATTTTTGTTATATAAATGTTTGATTTTCTTTATAAATTTGATGTTTCCAATACATTTTATGGTACATCTTTCAAGAAATTTGCTTTCAGTATCATGTTTCAAATTGTAATGTCTGCTGCATGGCATGACAGAAACATACGATTTTTTTTTCTTCTAAATATTTAGCTATAATACTCTATGTTTATGCGCTGAAAAATAGATTTTGTCACGAGGCCACTCGTGTAGCGAGCAATTTGCCATTTTATATAAAATTCATTTGTGTTATTTATTAAAAATGGTTGTCTCTCTTTCTCTCCGGGGAAGCAAAAAAAAGAATTGCCTCACAATATTTACATTTAAATTAAATAGTTATGATATGTGAATATATATTATAGATTTGGATGAAGACGAAAACGAAAAAGAACAAAAGAGGTGTGACGAAAAAGTACGGGAAATTGAAAACGGATTTTATCATTTAAAAGAAATGTTGGTGATTATTTATATCTGATTTATGATGAAATATTTTATTATTTGTTTTACATTTTATTTAGGTTATATAAAGAACGAATAAGAGAAGTAGAAGAAAAATTAGTTGAAGTAAGATTGGGTACAGCTAAAGAGTATCGTGTACCTTTACAAGAATTACAAGACCAAATGGACTCTAGACTTGAAGTTGCTTCTGTACTTAAGCAATTTAAACTTACCAATTTGAAGCACAAGTATGAAGCAGAAGAACAAGCAATTAGACAAAATTTTGAGGTATCAAATAATTATAAAAGATGTTTTATTTATTAATATCCAATTTAGCTTATAATTTGGTAGAGTCTGCGACAAGTAACCTTTTAGAGCAATGGTTCCCAACCTATGGGCGGGCAGCGTAGTACTGGGCCGCGGACACTGATTGAGATCAATATTATCGGTTTATAATCTCTGTTCAAAACAACACCATTAGTGCCATTCTAGATTAAAGTTTGGCAAGATTACCTAGCAATTTCTTAAATTGCACTGAGAAACTTGATGGGCTTTTCAACAACCTATCTATGCGAACAAGCTTTTTCAACTTTAGTTTTTTTGAAAAATAAATACAGAAATAAATTGAATGTAGAATATGATTTAAGGCTAAAACTATCCAGTTTTTATCTGGATATAGACTCTTTTGGCGGACAAACAAAGTCAATCCCATTAAGTTTTATATTTACTTTGACTACCGTACCTTGTTTTTGAGTTTTCTTGTAGGCCTATATGCCAGTGCACAATGAAAAAGTTATTTGCTATAAAAACACTTGTTTTTATTCTTTCTTAAATAGCTTGGTTTATTAATCATTGCCATACTTGCACATTATATATGAATATTTATATTCGTCATACTTATATGTGTTTATTTGTGCTTATTTTATTTGCATATTTAGTTAGTGGGCCTCAAAGTTATAATAAAAAAAATTGTGGGCCGCAAAACAATAAAGGTTGGAACCGCTGTTTTAGAGGCTTCAGAATGTATCACTTCCATGTACTATCCTGAATTTATTGTAAATATGTATCCTTAAGGTTTTTGCTTCATACATTAGTATACTGTTTAACTATTATTAAAATTTGAATTGGATTACAAATAATTATAATTTGTTTTAGAATAATAAAGAAATATTGTATGACACCATTAAAGCTGATTTAGAAGAAAAAATACAGCGTCTAGAAGAAGCTCGTAATGAAGTCGATATTGATGCATCATTATGGTTAGGTCGAAGTTTGACACGAAGTGGAAGGGGCCGTGGTCGTCGACCTTATGGGCATACACAACAAAAAAATAAACCAGTTATAGTATCTGGCCCATATATAGTTTACATGCTTAAAGAACATGAAATACTTGAGGATTGGACAACTATAAAAAAATTAATATCTTCATCTAGGCGTCGAGAAAATGCTGATCAGCGCTATAAGCCATATTGACAATAAATTAAAATTCTCCCTTCAAAAAGTTCCTTGTTTGTATTTTTAAGTTGGGATTCTCAGTTTAAACATTTGCACTAATTTAATGTTAAATATAGGACATTTAAAAATAAATGTATTTATTAGACTGCCAATGAATTAAAGTCCCAAAAAAGAAACTTAACTAAAATATTATGTACTTTAAAGTATTTGCATATGAAGTATGTATCCTTTGTATACTTTACTCTTGATCATTTATTTAATGATCAAAGATTGAAAAATAATTATGTATATTTAAAATTTAATTCTTACTTAGACAGATAATAATTTTGTAACAAAAGTTTAATTAACACTATTATTATGAATATAAATATATTTATTTATGTATCGAACATGTATGTACTTATTTATAATAATTTGATATATTCATTAAAAAAAATATATTATAAATAAAACAAATTAGTCTTTGTGAATAGTTTTATTTTGAAAAAATGTGTTTTTACTAACTGTTGGCAAACCATCATATATTATTTGTCGAGTAGAAGGATATTGCGACATTTGTGGTGACTGATATTGATGTTGTCTAGAATAAAGACCTTGACTGAATGGACTCGAGTTACTTATTGGGTATTTAATTTGTATAACTCTATCAAGAAAGTTGTTCAGTTTGGAGGTGGCTATTGTACCATTTTCCAATTGTTTTGAATCGTGACAATTCTAGAAAAAACATAACATTATAATTAACTACAAATTACTTGTTTTGGGTAATTGTAGTAGTGTTTCAGTCTTCAAAAAGTTTGGGAATATGACCTTTTATTCTTAAATTAAAAAATGGAAGTATCTTTACAAATATGTGATGCCTTTCAGTGGTCTCAAATATACCCACTTGATAGCCCCTCAAAGGTGGGGACCCTGGTTGCCCCATACTAGCTACAGCATTAATTATACTGGTATAAATATTTTATGGGTGCATTCTACATATTGACAGTTATTTCTTATAGCAACCTCCTAAAAAACAAATAGCCAACTACAGTACCATAATTATTTTGTCAATATAGGATAAGTAGCAAGTTAAAGTAATTTAATCTATAAATATTTAACTTCTCGAAATAAATTTAGTAATTTTTTACTTAAATATCGAGTAACAAATAATTATTTATTTGAGGTATTTTAATTTTTGTTAAAAAATAATAAATTATTTAGAATTATTTTTTTATTATTTCAAATATTTTTTTTATTTGAATTTTTAATTTTATTAAGTAAAAAGTTATTTAGTCAAAATTAAAAATGTATTAAAATAATTTATTATTTTAATTTGTTTTATAATATTCCAAATTATGTATATTCTGTTTGAAATCATAATAATCGTAATTAAAGGAGGAGGAGTTGCCGAGTGGGTAAGGCTGCAGTGTGTTAGTGCTCACTGTTGCCAGTTCGACACTTGGTCACGGGCACTCCGTTTGCCGGGCGAGCAATTGTCCGGTGAAAAGAAACTGCAATCCTCCTCTCCGGCAACGGACTGACAACCCGTTCCGGATAGCAAATTCGTCAAGAAACCATCGCATGATGGCAGCGTTGGGCCTTCATAGCCCGTTAAACTACATCATGAATCATAATTAAAATAAAATTGTTTGTTTGGAATGAGATAGATGTAAAAAAAAATAAATTCCCCATATTAGTAAGATTTATGATAAAACTTAAAATAGAGAATATTATAGCCACTAAATAAAACTACCAAAAGTATTTCATCGGCTCCAAACTCTGCAGCCACAGTTGAAGGAGATTTTTTACCACGTTCGGGAGCCATATCAAGTTTGGTTCCACATACCAAAATTGGGACCTATATAAATATAATTGTTTAAAAATAAAACAAATCGAAAGTAATAACAATAAATGGTAGACAAAAAATTACTCTGTTAGATCCAACTAATTGTTCCATATCAAAGTCATCTGTATATTTATATTTGGCATTATTATCTTTATTCATTATTTCTGCTAACCATTTATGAAGATTTTCACTTGATTTAAGATTGGTTAAATCATATACCAGAATAATACCTAAAAATATATATTTACTATGTTTATAATAACAAACTTTAGAAACGACTAGTTATTATACTAGTTATATACCTTGGATTGAATTATAAAATATATGTCTGGTATTTTTATGATTGGAACTACCCCCTATATCCCACATTTCAATAAAACAATTTCGCTGCCTAGGAGTACTTTCCATATATTTATACAGCTTTAACTCAACAGTTACGCCTACTGTCCATTTAGGATTTTTAACAGCCTTATTGTTACTAATGATATTTACCAATGATGTTTTGCCAACACCTATAAAGAAAATCAGAATTAGTTACAGTTTCTACAATGTATGCAGAAGGGATCATTTTCAAAACCTTAAATTAGGCACTATTTATTAAAAGTGTAACTCCACAAAATCACACAGATAATTTAAAATATAATCGTATACTGAACATATTTAATGGAGAGGTTTTAATTTTTACCAGAATCTCCAACAACCAGTACTTTAACGCTATCAGTTGATGCCATTGAAATCTCCATATTAAATAATCAAGTTGACAACTAAAAAATTGTATGACAAACACAAATGTTTATAATTCTTGCTAAGCAAATTGTAAAAGAAAAAATAGGTATTGTCTTCACAAAAAATTCAATTGTACTTTTTCACAGTGCTCCAGCACAATAAAATCAATATATATATTTTGTTTTTGGGAAAACAATTAATCACACATGGAAAAAATTACCTATAACATTCAAATTTATGATAACAAAATAAGTTAAATATTGTAAAATATTAAATAAGTCATAAAATGATTTACATTAAAATATGTATTAATACTGCATTGATCCTAGAATGTTGTGGCGTACACAATAATAATTTATGTTCAAAATTATTTCTCACTAAAATTTATGAGAGTAGTAAGAAATAATTAAATTAATTAATTAATGAACCAATGAAATATTAATAAATCGATAATCACTAATCAGAATTCTAAATTTTTCTTTACCGATTCTTATCAAATTTGATATTCTTTTAAATAGCTATCAGGACGGAGAGTTGATAACTGATATTTTGTTCACCGAACGGCGCGCATTTTTCAATTTTTGGCCATAGACCTAAAAAGAAATCTTTATAGGTCTATGTTTTGGACAGGCTTAGTCCTGTCGCTTACGAGATTGAAGGTCAATTCAACTAGGAAGTAGGAACATTACGTTGGTGTCACTGGTTCTTCCCACCCACTACCATTGGACATTGACCACCACTCACCAGCCACCTCGTGTTGCATTCGAAGCGCGCTCACGCCTCACAAACCATGCGCATGCCGAATGCCGTTTGTGTATAATAAACAAATCTTTGCCTGTTCTACTCCTCTTTCGTCTGCCGCATCCATACTACACGGGTGCGTGTCTCTTGTTGATTGATTCTTGTATTTCTATCTTTTCCGAAATTCGTGTTTTAATAAATCAGTATAAAAATGACTAAAGATATCGTAAACGCGTTGGTATTCGATTACCTGAATTCTTTAGATCAGAATTTGGCAAATATGTTCCAGAACAAGACTAAAGCCGTGAGTATTTTTTATTGATATGTAGCGGCATCCACGCGTGTGGCCATGCGAGTACCATCACTTATGGAAACCACGTGTGTTACATGATAAAATTATTTTGTATCTTAATGTCTACATATTTGGTTTTGTCAATGATCTATCGATTTCATTGTGTATTTCGTTTACTTTGATTATCCATTTTTACAGTATGTCAATTCGATACCGGTATGATGTAACATGGAATCTGCAATATTTTTACAAATTAATGGATACTTTTGCACATGTACTTGTTCTTCAATATTGCGTCCCAGTCGTTTAAATTTATTTTGACTATGTTTATTTTAATGTTTGGTTCTGAACATTTTCACAGTATCTGTATCGCCAATAACACGTGTTTAACGATTAAATACAATTTTAAAATATTATATTTGATTAATTATTTTTTTATTAATATTTTGTAATACATTACAATTAACTAAGTTTAAACACTTAGGTATTTAAATTTATTTTTTAATACCTTTTGGTAGCCTTTGTTTTGACATTGAGGTTTTGCATTATTTTAAAATATATAAAAGATTTTTTTCTACTAGTATATGATTTTTATTCCTTATAATTTTGTAATGAACTGAAAGATAACTATTGTAATAGAAAACTTGAAAATGTTTTATTATTTTTATAACAAATAATTTTAAATTCTTTTTAGCACATCAAATAAATTAGTGCTTACCTAGATGTTCTTTATTAAATTAGGTATTTGATTTGATTTGGAGTATTTAGATTTGTTATTTAAGTTTTTATTTAAATTATGCTCAGGTTTGATGAGTACTGTAAATCAATTGTTTTTTAAATTGCACTTGTATAAAGAATAAATATGAAACTTAATATTTTTAGTCAAAATTACAAAGAGGTCAAGTAAAACTGGATCAAATAATCAACAGTCATTTAAAGTATGTAATTTATTATATAACACTTATTTATTATATTGTTAAGTTAAACTTATTAACTATTTTTATCTTTAGGTCTTCAGATAAGGAAATTAAAGTACATAAAAATGGACCATGTAAGTAATCATTTTTAAAAAAAAATAGCCATTTAGATTAATAACTATTTTCTTTATGTATAATTATAATTTTTATAATAATGTTTATATAAATGCCTATGTCTGGCATAAAACTACATATAATAATTATCTTTACTTTCATTGACATAATTGTTAATGTTTTGTTATTATATGTTAGCTGTTGATCAAATAATTAAGATGAGTAATGGTAAAGCTGCTGTGCCAGCAGTTGAATCTTCAGATGAAGATAGCTCAGAAGAAGAGGAGGTAAAGCCTACCAAGAAATCAAACAAAGGTATTGTTATTTTGATTATATTAAGTAACTTGAATCAATAATTCTACTACATTTCCTCTAAAAACAAAAAATGCATAATATTCTAGATTTATTATTTTGTATGTAATCTGTATTTTATAATACAGTTGATAGTGTCCCACACTGACAAATGTAGTAATGTAGGTGGTTATACTCTCTTGTAATGCCAGCCTTAAAGTTTTTATTTATAAGTATTAAAACATTTTATATGGTATTTAAGGCATCTACGTGAATATGGATGATTTGTTAACAAGGTTTGGTTCGAATAACAGGATAAAACCAATCCGTACGTTTTATAGTATCAAAGAAAAACAACATTTTTTACCAAGCGGTTTAATAGGTTTCCACTCTTATTTCATGATGATAATGTGAAAAGTATGTGTTAAATTCTAGAAAGTGTTATACTTCTCAAAATAGATTTAGATTGATTCACAGCACAATATTCCAAAAAAAAATGAAAACTGAAAATGTGGTCAATAGCATATTTTTTGGATAAACTTTCTATTGTATATTAACTCTTGAGTTCATTGAAATGCTGAAAACTCTGAAAAAATAGTCTTTAAAATATATTTTTATTGCTAATACTTTGTTACCATTTATCTGCATATAAGTCCTTCCATAATTTATTAATTTTCTTTAAATATACTTTACTGAACACACCTTTTTTTTATCCATAGTTGTTGCTAATACAAATCTGCAAACAATTTTCATAATTAGCTTAGAAGTTTAAAAGGGTTATTACAAAGAAGATATCCAATAAAGTAGATTTGTTCCATTCAATTCTAATTTTTTGTTTAAGGGGTTGCTACAGCAGTTAAAAATCAATCCAAATCAGCTGTGCAAAATGGTAAGAAAAAAGAAAGCAGTTCAGAAGATGAAAGTTCTGATGAAGATGACGAACCCCCAGTAAAGAAAGGTATAAATTATTATTTTTTTATTTTTATACTAAAAACTCAGGTGAGGCCCCTTAACTACTAATGTGCAAAATTTTAGGCTAAATAAGTGTTAATTAGTTTTAGTTACTTAACTCCAAAACATTTCTATGAACTTTAAAATGTTATGAAGCTTGATTTTTTATTGTTGGTATATTTTAATTATTATCATTATTAAGCTTATGTGGCTCATTAAGGGCTATCACTCCAATAAGGAGTTACCCTAATGAATATATTAAGATAATATCTTGCCTGGCAAATAGCTCAAACAGTGTTGAATTGGAAACTGTTAGCGCTTACACAGTACCACCTTATCTACTCAAACAACAGTAATTTTTGTTATTTCTATAATATGGTTATTTTTTAAAGCGTGTCCAGCTCCTAAACAAGTTGCTAAGCCTGTTGCTAAAAAAGAATCAAGCTCGGAAGAAGAATCTAGTTCTGAAGATGAAGCACCGGCGCCAAAAAAACCTGTTACTAAACCAGTTTCAATGCCAGTTGCTGCTAAGAAAAGTGCTGGTGCATCTTCTGATGAAAGCTCTGAAGAAGAAAGTTCTGAAGATGAGAAAAAGCCTGCAGTTAAAGTGCCCCCTAAACCCCCTGTCAAGAGCACTGCAGAATCTAGTTCTGAGGAATCTTCAGAAGAAGAAAAGCCTGTTAAAGCTGCTTCCAAAGGTATCCTTATAAACTAGCTAACGAGTAACAACCATGATTAATCCTTGTAGGAATTGTTTGTTGGTTTGGCATTGTTCCAATAGTATACATAAGATTAATTTTTTTTTAATCTCGAAAAATTAATACAATTTAGTTCTATATTTTTAGTTGTAACTCCAGCTAAAAAAACTAAAGAAGAATCTAGCTCTGAAGAGGATAGTTCTGAAGATGAAAAACCAGCAATTAATAAAAAAGTTGCAGTGCCAGTCAAAAAATCTAAAGAATCTAGTTCAGAAGAAGACAGTTCTGAAGAAGAAACTATTGTTGTCAAAGCTCCGTTAAAAAAAGGTAACTAGAAATGGTTATGCTAGAAATCGAGAAAACTGGAATTACAAAAAACAATGTAGGATACGAGTATGTTAAAGGGGATAGAAAGGACTATTTTTTACAAGAAATTTATTAGTTATCCGGGGGGGGGGAGGAAGGCTGATTTTTGAATTAGCTATTGGAACATTAATTAAATTTATTAGAAAAAATTATAAAATAATTAAGAATACAAAACTTGTAAATAATTTAAAAAATAATTCTAAAAAACCTAGTGATTTCTGTAAATTGAATTTATAATTTTGACATAATTTGATTCAGTTAAAGTTATACTTTATAACCATGATCATTTTTAATGTGTTGTTTTGTAGTAGTCGCTGCAGCTAAAAAAGATGAATCTAGTTCAGAAGAAGAAAGTTCAGAAGATGAAAGTCCTGCTACAGCTAAACCAGCTAAACCAAGTAAATAAATAATTATAAATGTTTATTTTTTATATGTCAACTATGGCTGACAGTCTGACATTTCAATAGTATGTCTGGCGGCCGAAGCCAATATCAGCTATATTAAAATGTTAGTGCACCCTGAGAAAAATTGTATTTTTCAAGTATATTATCTGTTAATAATTGACTAAAATTGTTAGGTTTTTAAAAAACAGAAATAAAAAAGGTTGCCGCTAATCCAGATTCATTATCATAATTTGTAACATGCGTCTAACATCTAGTATCTATAATTATTATTGGCTTATGTGTTCTCAACAATTCTTGTTTCTTTAAATTCCCTTTTACATTTCTTGTGTTGAAAATTACATTTTTTCGTATTTTATTGGTTGAACTTACTCTAAACATAATTATGTAGGTCCCCATTTCAAATTAATTTAACCTTGTATAAATTTTATAAATATAATTTTGTGTTACAATTAGTTATAATTCCTTCTTTTATATGATTAAAATCTATTGTTATTATATATATATTTTTTTTTAATTATAGCTGCTGTCAAACCAGTTGCAACCAAAAAAGCAGCAGATAATGATGAATCGGAATCTGATGATGATGACGACGATGAAGATGAAACTCCAAAAACTCCTAATAGCCAAGTAATATAAAGTTTGTAGGAAATGTAAAAGTTATTACATCTAAACATGGTATTTTTATTTTCATTATAGATAAAAACTCAGCCATTTGTTAAAGCCACCAATGGAAATGTACGTATTAATTTAATTGATCTTAAACAAAAGTATAGAAGAATATTACACTATTTTGGAAGAATTTTTTTTCATTTTCTAAAACTTTAAATAAGCAGTAAAAGTTTTTATTCTTAAAATTCAAAAACCAATGGTTTTAGAACAAATCATTTGAGGACAGCAGCCAAAATACTAACAACAGTATTAGTGACAATTTTAACAATACTTTTGATTCTGCTAAAAAGAAAAATCAGCTGCAAAACAGACGTTCAGATCCTTATAGGCGTGTACGTGAAGATAATGTCAGTGTTGATGAACGTCTATTGAATAATTCTCTACAAGCAAAGGTATGGTTAGCCTTTATTATAGCGGCTAACCAAACCGGCGCATGAAAATAACATTTTTTTTTAATCTTCCAAAATAGTATTAAACTTGTTCATATTAATATTTAATTAAATTTTTCATGCTCGGTTTGGACTAGTTGATTAATATTTCTTTTTACTATATAGGATAACAATGAAACCAGCAACAAGGGTGAAGGCTATCAGGGTAGAGGTGGTGGTCGAGGAGGATTCCGTGGTGGAAGAGGTGGCCGTGGGGGATTCAATCGAGATGATGATCAAAACGGAGGTGGAAGGAATAGTTTTGGGAGAGGTGGCGGGGGCCGTGGAGGTCGAGGAGGTGGCTTTAAACGAAAGTTTGATGATGGTGAAGGTGGTGACAATGGAGGTGGATTTAGGAAAAGTTTTGGCAATGATGAAGAAAATGGTAATGAACGTCGCAGTTTTGGAGACAAAAGAGGTTTTGGTGGAAATAGATTCAGTGGCGGCCGCGGAGGATTTGGTGGACGTGGTGGAGGGGGTGGTGATCGAGGCGGTAGAGGAGGATTTGGAGGCGGCGGTGACCGAGGTGGTAGAGGAGGATTTGGAGGTCGTGGTGGCGGCGGCAGTGGTGATCGTCGAGGAGGTAGAGGTGGATTTGGCGGACGTGGAGGGGGTGGTGGTGGTAAGGATAGATATTTCAATAATAGTTTTGATTCCAATAGCTCAACACCACAAAATAAAAAAATTAAGTTTGATGATTAAGTAAGTGTACTTTCTTTTGTGTTTCAAACCTCAATTATTATGCAAATTGTAAAAACATGCCTAATTGCTAACAATGTGGGTGTAATACTTATTTTAGAAAGGCCATTATGAATGTTGGGGTAAAAAGGCGGCCCTGGACCTACAATATACTAAAGGCAAATCATTCAGGCATGAAAAAACTAAAAAGAAACGTGGTTCATATAGAGGTGGACAAATTGATGTAGGAGTTAATTCTATTAAGTTTGACGATTAATTTCTCATTATATTTGACTTGTAATTTTTTTATATATATTATTATTGTTGTTTTTTCAACAAGCTTTTAAAAAAAAACAATAACTTGGTCCTATTTCTATTCCGGTTTTAATTAACTATTGTAATTAAATTTGTCTTTGGTTTGTTATGATAGTTTTAAAAAAACTATTGTGTATTGTAAGTTTTTATGTTAAGACATTATGTACATATATATATTCTCATAAAATTGTAATTTGTGTATGATTAAAATTTGAATTTTCAAGTTACTTTTTCATTATTTCAATGTCTTAATTTATTAACTAGTACATACAAAATATCATGTTGTGTACACCATGCTTAAATAAGACATCTTGAAACTAAATATATTATGAACATGTTTTAATTGAAGTATGAAGTTGTTGTTTATTTGTAATGTTAATTAATATTAATTAACGACAGTTAATCTTAATTTCGATCTAACTATAATTATAAATCGTTTCCCTGTAGTAATTGATAACATGACACTCAATAGATGGAACTTTGTAAGTAATAAGTATAAAACCTGCAGTTAACTATTTTAAAATGTAGTATGAAGTCAGAAGTAGATCGAGTAATTCGACTAATGAAGCGACTGATAATTTAATTGTATTTTCTAGCGAAATTTTTTATTATTTATGTAATTTTATAATATGAAGTGACGAGTAAATGTTATTATTATAGGTCAGATATTAATATATGAATTGGTAATTAAAGGAGATGATAACGTGTTCATTGCTGAGAAATATAATCGCTATTTTAAAAAAGGAAAATGGCCAAATATTAAAAAATTATTGTCTATTTATGGTTAAACTACTATGACCAGCGACCACTTCTCGCTTTATTCTAAATTCTAATTTTATCCTTCACGTAGTGGCCCGTACCAAACGGGCAACCAGTGGTTCCCAGAAGTTATCATCTAAAGGCTATAATCATTGATTATTAAATTGCAGGTTATGTGTAGTGTGTAGGATATTTTTTATCTACTCTAGGTACTTGTTTACTTCCAAATCTGATAATATACTTAAATCTTAATTGAAGACGTACAACTTAATTTTACTACTTTTCTGTCTATTAATGTTCTTTGTAGTTTTAGCTTTGAGTTATTATTTTAATTTAGAAAAGTGATGTTGCATACTCATACTCTACTGAGTATTTCATGACATTCGTAAAGGGCTGCTTTCAAATGACCCATTGGGTATGGCCAAAGTCACTAGAAAATGGGAAATGTTCCCTGGTCGCAACCGATTCTGCTGTGACGGTCGGCTCATGATGGCACCAAATGCTGCCGTGTTTTACATTAACGTGGTCCTCATTATCGGCACAAGTTTTTTGTTTTTTGTATTCGAGTAAGAAAACGACCCTGCCCATTAATTATGAAATGTCATTAATTCGGTTATCTATATTTTTCAGCTGTCCGTACCTTAGTCACCGAGTTACTCCTGTGATTCCAATTATATCCGGTGTTTTGTTTTTATTTGTCATCGGATCTTTGTTTAAGACTAGTTTCACAGACCCTGGTATAATACCAAGAGCAACTGCTGATGAAGCTGCTTATATTGAGAAACAAGTTTGTAAGTATTAAAACATTCCTTGTACAACTAACATTAATTTAGGTTTTGTTTCTGAAATTAGAAAAATATAGGGGTTAAAGTTTTTTTTAAAAATAAATTGTTAGCTTTTAGTATTTCTGGATTAAGAAAAAAAAGCTATAATGATTATAGAAGAAATTAAAACATTATATGATAAACCTCTTATTTTTTAAATGTTTTTTTTTTACTCATAAAGTTTTAGTAAAGTAAGACAATGAAACATGCATTTTTCATGTACAAATTCATTGAAAAATCGCTCTTATCATTGTTCCACTCTTTATATAGGAGGTATTTTTGTGTTAAAGGTGAAAATATAAAATTTTAGATATTGAAGAAAAATTTAGATTTTATCTTTATTATTTCCAGATATTAGTATACCAAATAATGGAGGAACACCAACTACAAGACCTCCACCTAGAACCAAAGAGGTAATCATCAAAGGAAATTCAATCAAGCTCAAATATTGTGTTACGTGTAAAATATTTAGACCACCACGAGCATCCCATTGTAGTTTATGCAACAATTGTGTGGGTAAGTTAAATTGTAACTAATTAATTATTATTATTTTTTTGTAAAAAAATGATTTATTCTAAAAAATAAGGTGAATATTGAATTTATTCAGTTACTTTCATCTTGTTAATTTTGTGTAATGCTAAGAAAAAATACATTTTTTTATGTAGAAAACTTTGACCATCATTGCCCATGGGTTGGAAATTGTGTTGGTCGCAGAAACTACCGTTTTTTCTACATGTTTATTGTTTGTTTATCTCTACTCATCATCATCGTTTTTATAGGAGCTGTGTTACATTTACTTTACTGTTAGTATTATATATTTTATTAATCAATTTTGTGTTTTTTATTTATAAGTGTAACAATAAATATAATTTGTGTATTTCTAGTATCTGAAAACAGATTAATGGTCGATGCTATTTCTGAATCGCCTACTAGTGTAATTGTACTTATAATTACATTCTTTAGTTGTTGGAGTGTAATTGGTCTTGCTGGTTTTCACACGTTTCTAGCTGCATCGAATCAAACGACTAATGAGGATGTCAGTATATTTTAATTAATACATTTCACAATATTATGAAGTACACATTTTTTTTTTTAGATTAAAGGTTCTTTTGCGAGCAGAACTGGTCGGCCAAATTTCAATCCATACAGTCGAGGTAACATCTGTGCTAATTATTGTTATGTACTGTGTTCACCGCGTCCTCCTAGTCTTCTAGGTATTTATAAACTAAATATTATGTTTTTAACAAATTATGTACTAACGAAATCTTAAATGCAATTAATCCTTTAACTTCGGATTTTAGATTAAATAATGTACATTCAGAATGAATGCTACCGAAAATAAATTTTGTAAAGATGTTTATAAACATCATCATTTTATCACTATTAAATTAGTAAAAACGTATTTATTTATACATCTACTTTTTGTAAAGTGTAAAAAAAATGCTAGCTGAATAATAAATGCATGACAAAATATATTAATATTCATTCTAATTGAAATGTTATATTATTTATTATTTTCATATTATTACTTATAATTTTATAATTGTATTTGTTGTGGTGTTGTGACCAAGATGCTTAACGTGGTAGTTCTTCTACCCTCTAGCCATAGTTTGAATCTTGGTTGCTGGTCGTTTCTCTCGCTGGGCCATCTGGAGAAAGAAATGGCCACCCGATTAGTGCGAAAGGAAACGGGAAACCACCTCACCATCATCCACTTTCCCAGGATACAACTCTTGATAGATCTAGAGTTGTTAAAACCGACCTAAGGGACTAAAAAAAAAATGTTATAACTATGTATTATACTTTACCAAAAGGGTTAAATGAAAACAATTTTCAGACAGACGTGGCATTGTTTCATCCCTGGTGGATTGTAAATCTTTGAACAAAAGCCGAAGTAGAGATACAGTTATATCTAATAAAGGATTTGAAACACCTGATGTACCTATCAATCAAGTAATAGTTGTAAATTATATAAATATTGATTAGACTTTAAATCCTTATGATAAATGGTATTTTACAGAACGGTAAAGCGAGAGCCTACGACATTCCTTTACATCAATATGGTTCATCCAGTATGGTACAACCAGATAGTCTCGATCACAATCAACGTACATTTACTACCTCTATGCCAACTATACATCATCATACTCAAAATATGAATCAGAACCACACCATAAATGGTTTGTACCAAAAACAACCAGTTTCCCATTCATCAATTCTTATAACACGCCATCAGTACCATTCAGACTATTACCTTGTGTCCACTAATCCAAACTATTTTTACACCAGCCTACCTTTACATAGGGATCGTGCAGCAATGTACTACTCAGCTGTTTCTCGCATACCTAGTTATCGGTGTAAAAGTAACAAAAAACTATATTATAGCTATTGTCCAGAACATGGGGGTAATATACCTTCGGCTAGGGTACATTCTAAAAGTATGTTTAGCAGTATTAACAAAAGTACTAGTTCAATGCACCCTGAAGATAGTAGTGATTAAAATTTAACAAAAAATTAATTTTAATTGATATTTTTTTCTTTGAATGCTATTCACAACCTTGTAAGTTGGTTAGGATTTATTGTTGTCGGTAAGTTACCTATTAGGGGATAACAAAACTCCCAGTAGTTGTATTTATTTTTTATTTTGTTATGTTGAGGATTTTGTTTTTATAAATTAGGCATAAAATTCAACAACAGTGTCACATCATTGAACAATACATTCAATGACACAGGAATCTACGAGACTATAGAACATGGTCGTGTAGATCCGGCACTGGATTTGGATGACGGGTCTAAAGCAATACCAACAAACGTTCCTCCACTGAGTGCAAGCCGATTACAGCTACTTCAAGATACAACTATGATTGAATCTGCTCTGGATTTAGATTCACTCGAAGAGACGTCATCAATTGGTACTGGAAGTCAAGTTAAATTGGTAAAAAACAAAAATACCTTATGACTAAATAAGTAAAACATAAAATATGTACCTGGTGGCTTTTTAGTCAATACTTATATGGTAGTTGTGCAATTCCTTGGTGTAAAAATGTTATTTGATCCAAACAATAATTATAACATTTTAAAATGGTTTACGACTTAAGTAGTGGCATAGTATTATTCTAACCCATCTAAATGACTGCCCGATAAATATATAGGGTAAATAATAATTAACCTGATTATGTGTTAAGTACTTATAGTTTGTTATAATTTTAAATAGGTTATTCTTTATTTAAATTAATGAGGTCTTCATGAATATACAGACTTCACAGTGTTTTAAAACAGTACTAAATATTTGTTACTACCAAACACCATGTCATTTTTTTCACTTTTCTAATACTATTGTAATATTATTGAAAATAAATATGCTATGTATGTACATTTTTTTTTATTGTAAGTGATGTACAATGCAACATAACAAGTTGTTCATTCACAAATCCGTTAGTCTAGTTTGACTTAATTACTGCTGTATGGTGATTCTTCAATAGAGTCAGGGTTTATTTGATAAGTAGATAATATTTTTGAAATTTTTTCTTTAAAATAAAACTAACTAATTATAATTATTATCATTATTATAAATAAGTATATATTATATACTTATATATTTTTTGGTGTTACCATCTTCCATAAGACTTTTAAATGTTCACATAGGGAAATCAACTATTTTTTTTATACTTTATTGTTAATATTCATTAGTCTCCATTATAATTTTTTTTCTAATAGGAGATATTATTTAATAAATGTGGTTGTGCTTTTTATTACTTGAATTAACGCTTTAATGCCTATTTAAAAACTATAATTTAATTTTTTTTAATAAATTATATATATATATATACAAAGATATTTTTAATTAATGTTATCTAATTATCTTTATCATTAATTAGATAAAGAATATTTTATTGTATATTTTTATACTCACATTGTTTATATTTTAATTTACATTTTAAGATAAAACAATTGTTTTTTTAAATATTATAGGGTAATCATTTAATTTTTCTCATTTTCATTAATTTGAACTTGTGCAGTTACACGAACTTGTATGATAAGCAAACAAATGTTCAATTATTTTATTGTTTGGTAGCGTGGATTTTATAATAAAATCCACAATATTCTAATTTGTACTCTAATTATTTGTTATAAAGATAAAATACATTAAACTCACATATTAAAATAAATATCTTTCGAGTTATCATTATTTTCTAAGTATACTATTTTCAAAACTAATAGTGATTCATATTATTGTCCATGTACGTACAGGGTTAATACATGACTGGAACTAAAATTCACTGGTGATGAATAATAAAATATATCTTTATATTATCCTTTTATTCTATAAAAGAAAAAAAACCATGTATATTTATCATAACATCTACATTAAGGGGGTCTTTATAATAGGGTTAGATAAGTATTAGTTAATGCGCCCCCATAATTGACTTAATGGATAAAAAAATTGTCCTAAATACTTAAATGTTAATTTTTATTTATTTTCAACTCCATCGGGAACAATTAAAACTCGCCCAACTTTATTTTAACACCACCTTAATGTACATAATATCCATTTATGTGAACACATAATGAGGATTTTCGGATACTTCGATAGAAGTATCAGACCAGATACTTCTAGCCCCAAGTAAGTTTTATAAAAGTGTGTCATTTTTTATACTGGTCTACTGTGACATATTTGGCCAACATTGATGTTACACTATTTATTTGAGAGGTACTAATAAAAAATATGTTACTTTTTAAAAATTGTTATTGTAAAAATATATTTTTAACGTTAATTAAAATCAGAATCAATGAAATGGTGCAAATCTTCTAAGTTCATCTTAATGTGTTCTATGCATCTAAAATAAATTTATTATAAATATCTTAACAATTATTTTCAATATTTACCGTTTCTTCTCGTTACTATTTTTATACATGAAAGGAACATGACACGGTGTATTGGAACTAAACAATTTTTAATTTTACATTAAGTGTAGGCACTGATTTAAAGAATAGAAAAAATTATTATAATGTAATTTAAATTATTTATTTACACTATTTAAAACGTGTTTAACAACTATGCAAAATTACAAGTGTACATTTATCATTTCATTGTATTATTCCAGGTAATGTTTTAATTTAGTAAAAATGTATTTCAGTTTGCACGCATCAAAAAAATAATTAACAATCACCCATTAATTTGTGCCTACTAAATAATAAAAAAAATAAACAATGACTTTCAATGAATATTATTATTCATATTCTAATATGATGTCATATAAACATCAAAATGTAATAATCGAGAAAAACAAATACAATTTGAAGGTTAAACCAATAATTTCTGATAACATTTTTTCTGGAATGTGCAGCATAATATGTTACTTGAAATAATAAACATAGAATTTCGATTTATTTATAGTTCTGAGTGTTCTTTACTCTTGCTTTCATCTGTAACAAATAATAATAAAAAACTGTTTATGGATTTTTTAATTAAAAGTATCATAAGAATACAAAGCAAACAGATTAAAAAATACACATAAGTTAGTCAATGTTAAAATAGATACAAATATGAACTTCTTTTTAAATAATGAACTGAATACATTTAATATTTTTTTTTAACTAATTATTTAATGAGAAAACTATAATATTTGAAACTATTAATGAAATTGTTGATTGTCTTCTAGAAATTACCTAACACCAACACAAGGATTGTCTTAGTGATGGTAGACATAATATATTGTCCAAGTATAAGTACCAAGAAGAAATAAATTGCAATGTTGTTACTAACAGTCTTTGTATAGACTATTGGTCGTTAATGTGTCATCTCTCTATCCAGTGGCGTAGCAAGGGTATAGCAAACTGTGCCAACACCAGGGGCGCAAAATTGTGCTTCAAAAGTGGTATTTTTATTGTACTTTCAAAATTATATTTTTTATTATACTGATTACTGTATACAATTTGTTGAAAAAATATCATCACATAAATTTTTTAATTGGTAAAAAGGTGCTTTTTTCTAAGGTTGCCAGGGGCGCTAGCGAGTCTTCCTACGCCACTATCTAAAGAAAAATTAACATGGCCTTTACAGAGTTCAAACCCGTTTGGTTAGTGTTAGCTTTGCAGTCAGTTTTAATCCTAACCCAACAAAACATGTCCCAAATAAGAATAATAGGAAAAATAGATGAGAGTAAGAAAGGTAATTATGAAATTTCCTTTACAAAGAGCTAGTCAAGCCACTCAAATTACTCAAATGTTAAAACGATATAAACACCAGATACTGTTCACAATTACATGATAATACCATAAAGTCTCTTGCAATTATTATAGATTTCATGTTGCTCTACAAGAATCATTTGTTCAAATATTTTTATTATCTATCAATCCATTCAATTACTTAAGTGTTATTCAAAATAGAAATGAAGAATGTACGGCACAAATTAAATATAAAATATATGACCAGCTTGAGAAAATATCAAAACATACGTGCTTATATTTATTTCGATATGTTTAAAGAAAATTGAATGGAAACGAATGTTTCATCAATATTTAAAACAAACGAAAACCAATTTGTATCAAACAAATGACCAGGGCCGATGAAATCCACGAGGATACATTTTCGTTAAAATAATTAAACAGTTTGGATTTATTCTCTGTAAAAAGAAACATTTCAGACCTGTGCACTTTACACTCTGTAGTAAATGCCTTTATAATTCATTAAACAAATCTTTGTGTACACCACTGTTAAAATAAATTTGCTATTCAGGTCTCACCCGTTTTAGAAGGTTCAATTGTTGGTGATCCTGTAGTTTCCGACTGACTTTTTGAATCAGCAGTCTCAATTTCTGGCTCTACAATAGATTTACTTTCATCTACCTTGTCATTTTCACTGTTTTGTGATTCTGTTTTAATAGTGCTATCTTGATCTTGTGTTTCTGATTTTTCAGTATCAGACTTTACATCTTCACGATTCAATAAAACAAATTGTTATTTTAGTTAAAATAAACAAAACATAAAAATAATCAAACTCAAAAGTTGTTAATTAGTTAGACATTAAAATAAAACATACCTTTGACTTTAGGTTCTTCTTTCTTTTTAGGTTTCCATGAAGTAAATTTATTCATTAAATATCTCATCTAAAATAAAACAGTTTATTAATACTATTTTAATCTTGATTTTAATAATAGTCGTTAATAAAATCAAATACCTCTCGTTCAATAGATGAATGTTTCAATGTAATTGATTGAACTGTCAAAACGGGATCACTGGATTTTGGAAGCTTTTCTTGTTCTGCAACTTGTTTATTCTTCCAACTCTATAATAAGTAAAATATCACATTTAATTTCTTTTATCTGACATTACTGTAAATATATTATATATATATATATACATTATTTTTTAAAGCTATATATTATGTATATAATATATATCTAAAAAAATATAACGACCACAAATTAAAAACCTGCACTTAAAAAAGAATTATGATTATAATAATTACGAGTCATAGACGTAAATGTAATATTCTGAGATGTTTAAAACTAAATCAAATAATTTTTAGAAAAAAAAATTATACTGATGTTAAAGCTCAGGGCTATAAATTATAATTTAATTAAAAAATGTATACTCACAGAAATATCATTTATTAATTTTTGTAGAGTGTCAATTTCTACTTGTGTAAATGGGGTATTTTCTAAAGTGGTATTTCGTACTCCTTCCAAAAACATTTTACTATTATTTAAAGCTTTATCAAGAGCTTCAAGTTTTGCTGGCCTCTCTGTATGTTCAATAGTTCTTTCCCATATCGGTCGCACTACTTTTACTAAGTCATCTAACTTTGAATCCAATGTTTCTGCCGCAGCACCAAAGCCATCATCTTCAAGCCAATTAGAAATCTAGATTCATAACAATAAATATATATACATATTAAAATTAATAAAACATTTATCAACTGTAGTGAAAAATTAAAATGTTAATTGCTTACTTCAGAACATTTATCATAAACTGTTTGGGCCTCTTCAGAAGTTGCAGCATTGGCATACTCTGGTTGATCTAATTTTTCACGTGCTTCGATGATAGCAGTTTCCAAGTTATTTAAAGAAGTTTCTTTACGTGATTTTTCCAAATCTTTTTTCTTCAACTGATCTACTCTATAAAATTATTCAATTTAATGTAAATAAATAGTTAGATAAGTGCCAAGTTTGAGTTAAAAAATCTACTCATCGTAAACTAAAATTAAAACAAGAACTTTGTTTAGAAAAAGAACGTTCTATAATAACATGATTTCTGATTTGTATCTGTATAGTTGGACAGTGTATACAAATAACTTACTTATTTATTGAGTTCTGCAAAATATCTCCAGAAGCAGGATATACAAATAAATATTCATGGCTAGCCCCAATAGTTTCTCTGACTGTTACAACTTTAGAATTTTTTTTGGTTTCCGTTGTAGGGATAGTATCGTTTAATGTGATTTGTTCTGTGCTATTGACTTTATCAAATGTCTCTGTACTATTTATAGTAAAATTAGCTGGTGTTGGAGGGGTTGGTATTTCTTCTTCGGGTGCTTCGTTTACAGGCTTCTCGTTTTTAAGTACTTCTTCCGGACCTATGTAGGATGTAAGCAAAGACAATTTTAAATAAACTTGCATATAAGTATTTTTTAATACATTTTACCTTTGAACAAGTTACTAATAGTGTTGCCAATCTTTGATAGAGTCGATTGTTCTTCGTCATCACTCGTAACAGTTTTTTCTACTAATAATTCTACGTTTTGTAGAACCAACAAACCACTTTCATCAAACGTAAAATGAGCTTTAATACCCTTACTATCTACTCCTTCACTTTCTTGATGTTTAGCAAAGGCATCTTTTATACCATTTAATTTAATAGTGCTAAGTGTCAAGGAGCCTAATGATTTAATTTCATCTTCTGGTAAATGGCTTAACTCCGCATAGCCTACCGTAAAGGTAAAATCTTTTTGATGTTTATTAAATGTTAAAATTTTCTTTTGAGGATACGGGTTCATATGATTAAATAACATGCGTTTTACTTGTTTTGTCGGTTTATCTTCTTCTGTAATTTCTTTGTCAAAAGTAACCTAAAATATTTTTAAGAAACATTGAAAAATTTTTATTTTGTTTTAGTCATACTTGGTTATTATAAATTTACCTGAATAGGGAACAGAGTAGCATCTTTGGTAATGAAAGGTTTAACTTTAAATCCATTACTTAGATCGGCTGCTTTATAAGCGGCTCCTAAAGAGGCGGCTTCATCTGTATTTAGAGATCGGCCGAGAGGCTGACTAATTTTTAGATCTTTAACCAAACGATCTTGTACTTTAGGAACTCTAGTACCAGCACCAGCTAACATAACCTTAAGTATTAAACATTTATTAAAAATTAAACTTACAATCTTTAACAATTTTAATATTTTACTTGTTCAATAATATCAATAGTGAGCCCTGAAGACTCTAAAGCCCTTTGAGCAGGAATTGTAACTTTATCGAATAAATCTTTACACAACTCCTCTAGCTCCTCTCGAGTTACTTTGATACGCATATCTTTTTCATCAATCAAACCTTCAATCTAAATTAAAATAATATAAATTAAAAGAAAAGAAAAGTGATTATTGTGTTGTCTGTATTTTTTTACTTGTGCAAAATGATCAGTATTAGCACTTAATACATTCTTGACGCGACCTGATTCTTTAAATAACTTAGCCATTGATCGAGCATTTTTTGTAACGTCGTTGGTTGTAAGTTTAAGGGAATTAAACTTGGTCGCCAGGTAATCTCTCAACCTTAATTGTATTTCTAAGCCACCCAAATTACGTTCGTAACTATAAATAAATAATAATGTATCGAAAAAGTGATATTAATTTGTTAATTTATATCTAAGTAAATACATACCCTACTCCTAATACAGTAAGTTGAGGGTGTAGTTCAGGAGCTATCTTGTCTTTAGTCTTCACTAACTGGTACGAAACGACTGACGCTTGTGTACTGTAGGCACCCATATCGTAAAAAAGCATGTACATTGGAGTTGTTTCATTAAAGCTTTTTGTACGGAATATACCATAATTTAAAGCAGCTTTAAAAAAATAATAAAATTATCAGTAGTTCTACCTAGTCAAACATATTCAGATTCTCAAGACAACCTTATAACAGATATATATAAATATAGAATATATATTCATAATAGAGGTTACGATTCTAAATAGGCCTTGCAAGTCAGCGGTCACACAGGGTTTTGGGTAACGGATATAAAGAAATTAAAAATGTATGTATTTAGGTGATACACGTAAAATAGAAACTTTTAAATTCATACTTATAGTCTGTTCTAAATGCGATTGTACTTGCATTAAGTAAACGCATTATGCTATTTACTGTTGCCTGCGCAGATGCAAACAAGAATAATACGTTTCAGTCTCTAAGCAAGTACAATCTCATTTTGAACAGACGATAGTGTATTATTTTATGGTAAATAGAAGGCACAAAATTACTTCTCTGACTTTTAATTTTTGTTTTATGCTTATTTTAAATATACTTGCATAACAATAATCAATAAGTTTAAGTAGTCCAAACTTTAAAACCAGTGAAGTCGTAAGGTTTTTAATAGCAGATTTAAAAATAGTGTAAAAAACCTTACATTTTTAGAGACCAATAATGTAAATTTAAACTACATTAATATTTAAATTACCTGCAGTATAACTGTTAATTAACTGTAACACTTTGATTTTAGCAATTTCTGCGGCTTTTAACATTGCTAATCGTTCAGCTTGACCAAAATAACCAGGAACTGTTATGACTGCCTCATTTATAGCTTGTCCTGCACTGTCCTGTGCGAATTCCCTAGCTTTTTCTAACATCATCGCAACCAACTCTTCAGGTGAAAAAGTTTCATCTCTTAAATTATATAGCAAAATATTATTTATATACTTATAATAAAATTATATAAATTTATAATAATCTTACGATTCAACATGTTTGAAAAGCACTGTATTTCGTAATGGATCAGCCACAAGATTGTAATATGGAAATCGTTTTTTAAACAGTACTACAGTAGGATTGTCAATTTGCTTGCCGAGCAAGTCTAAAAAGTAAATGTAACAATTTGCAGGGAAACGTACACTGATAGTGAGAGCGTCCTCGCCAAACGTTCTTTCACCATTGCGAAAAGATACAGCTGTTGGAGTTTTTCTTTTAGATTCTTTGTTCAATGCGATTTCCATTGGCACTCCAGGCTGGACAAATTTAACAAACATGAATAAGCGTTGAACGCGTAAACATTAATACCATTTAATGTAGGTACTTACTGAAACTATTGCTACTTTCATCCATTCTGAACCAAGATCTACACTCATAACAGCTACACCATGAACATTGCAAACTTGCAAATATAACAGTAACGTTGGAATTACTGTGATACATGTCCAAAGTGAAACACGCATTTTTGAAAGTCGAAAATTTCTGTTAGAAAAACATGTTTATTAAATATGAATAGATATGGTATAGGAATTGGAAATACAACTTAAGAAAGATTTTAAATAACCTACTAGTATAGTCCGAGAAGTATATGAAATTGTCCGATTTCTAGAATAAAATAAATCGGTAAAATTTACCAAGTTTTTCGAAAAGTAAAGATTATCATTTCTAATTTCGAATAAATAACAAAAACTAATAATTAAAATAGCAAATAGCAAAACAAAAAAAAAATATATAGTCACAATAAATTTAAAATCTCGTTGAAAAATTAGCAATGTAATAATTTTTAAGGAAAAAGCGTACGATTAAGAAAAGAAATTGCAGTTAAAGATTGTATTTCATTTACACTTTATAACAATCCATAAGCTTGTACTCATGTTGAAAAAAATCGCCGATTTGGCGGCTCACGATTGGTCGGCGATTTTGACACGTATCGGCTATCTGACCTAAAAGTCATTTAGTCGAAATACAAATTATTAAATGAAAAATAGATAAAACTAACATTTTTATTTGATTATTATCAAAGTTTTTGATTTTACTATAAAACTAGAAATTTAATATTATTTGTATTTTACAATGTATCATATTTTGTAAAAAATAAATTTTGATGAACATTAAAAAAAAATAATTTTTAGATTATAGTGACCGATAAGCTTATCATTTTGTGGCTATATACATTTTTTATCGATGTACATTGTTAACACATTTACAAAAACCGGCATCCCACATTTATCTTCATGTAATTATAATTATATATTGTTAATTGTTATCCTTTAGAAGACTGAACGATGATTGTATTTCGCAAGGGTCAACTAAACTAAAATGCAAAAAGTAAAAAGAAATATTTCTATTTGGTATAAATTATTAGCCGTGTGTACACTAACAAAGGGTTCTATAATATAAAACTATAGTCATTAATGCGCATTTGGGTCTGATCCATAATTAATATCTGTACAATCATAATATTATATTTATTATGCGATATAGGTATATTTTTAAACTCTATAACATTACTAGTGACAATATGTACGAGTATGCTCATTAATGATTAAAACTTAAAAGTCAATAGTTTCATACAGGTTGCATATACAAGAAAATAACTGTTTTTTTATTGTTGGAAACTATAACGCTTATATTATTATTTATTTTTAAAAACATATTATCTATTTTTATAATATCTTCTCATAATAATAGTAATCAAGTGAGGTGTGCAGCACCGCGTTAGGAGATTTACATGAGGATCGAATGTTGATCAAAATAGTTCAAATTCTCCCACAGACAGTGGTCTACAGTGGTCAGAAGTCCACGATGTACAAGAGACAGTGTTTAAAAGAGAAGAAAAATAACCACGAGGCTTATGTAAGATCAATATATTTTTTTTTGACAACTTAATTTTCACAAATAAATTAGTTGTTACTATTGAGTAACAATTAAAAATATGTTATTAATAACGTTGAAAAAAAAAAAGGCAAATTAATAACCGAAATAATAAGTTACTTTTCTATTGACTATTTATAAACTATAATTTATGAAATTAATCAAATATCATAAAAAATGTGATTGGTGTACATTTCTTACCTGATGACAGTGTGGCTGGTTTATAACTGCCTTACAAAGTGTTATTATGCTAATATAAAAAATGACTTAATAATTTTATTTTTTAAAGAATCATTACTCCACGATAATGATCAATGAATATGTTAAAAAAATTAAATTATTACGATTTGAAATTTTTTGATAATATAGTGGAAGTGACTATAACTTTGATGAAAGTGGGCCAACAAGTGCAAAATAAGATAGCTTATAACGACCAAGGTGATATTAGGCGGTACCAAATGCAAATTGATTATATTATATATATTAATAAGGAAACAATATAGAAACCGAGTCCGCAGTTATAAAACATACTCAGGTGCTAATGTGAATAGTGACCACAACTTTCTTATGATGAAAAGTAATATCAAGTATAAAAAGTTAAAGAAACCAACACAACAAAATAGAAAATACAATGTGAATATGTTAAAAGATCATACCATAGCCTCAGCTTAAACATTATGCATCCAGCATCATAGAAAAATTAAAAATACCTTTGCGAAATGATTATATTCTTCAGTAATTAAAATATTATGTTAATTTGAATGTGGTATAATAAAATGTGTTAAGACGGAATTAAACAGTACCGGAACGAAGTTATGTACCTATTAAGCAGTATGCCATATTATTCAATAACATATTTTAACTATTACTTGTATAGCCCATTAGCGGAAATCCATTGGAAATGTTAGGGAGGCTATTTTTTTTAGATAAATCTAAAATGTCGGGGTCCCCCCCCCCCAGTTTTAACTCTTCACGAATTCTTCATTTCGTATTCAAATTTTATGTTAAAAATTAAAATCTGACATGCATAGTAAAATATGCCATAATATAGTATTTCTTATAGGACGTCATCATGAGACGATGGTTTCTATACCCTGTCCGTCGAGAAATCATGACGCGGCCCGCGATCCGACGAAAATTGGCTGTTCTTCGCATCCCCCCGCGGCACCCAATGTGACTATATAGCGTTCCACCCGGAGACCGCACTGTCTGCCAGCTGCTTAGTCTTCACTCTTCAGTCTACATGCGCCAACCCGGCATGGTCTCTCAGCGAACAGGGTACAACGAGTGTCGAACAGTTAGCCACTTGGCATAGTTTATGCCGCATAGATAAGTATAAAACTAACTTGGACACTCCTCATCCTTTAAACAGATATGATAGGTAAAAATAGTAATAATCTAGCTAAACATTAAGAGGGCGTCGCGCCAGTGATTTTCAGTGGTAAAAACATGTTTACGCTAACTGAAAATAACTCGCTTAATGTTGTTTTAAAGTAAAACAACATATTATAAAATTAAAAGAGAACAATATTCCGGAGGGCAAGACGGTGAGTTTTTTTAAAAAAAATTCAGTTTTTGAAAAGTTAGTCATTTAATAATGTTAAATTAAAATAGTCGTTATTTCTAAACTATGTATTTAGCGTTATACTTGGAATAACGAAAAAACACACCGTTTGGCCCTCCGGAATATTGTCCTCTTTTAATTTTATAATGGGTGCATTTACTCTAAAACCAAAATTAAGCGAGTTATTTTCAGTCTGCTTAAACATGTAGAGATGAAAAGGCATTTTTAAATCGCTTTCAAGGATGCTGTGATAGTCCAAAAAATAAATTAACTGCCAAAATAGAGTCCTAGTTATTATTGAACTAATAATTACACATCACAGTTTAACTTTTAAATTAAGATTTTGTAAAAAATTGCCTATACTTTACTCCTTGAAAATTGGCAGTGCGACACCCTCTTAACTAAAATGTTTAATATATACGTAAAAAAAACTTTTATTTCAGAAACTATTTTCTGAATAACGACCTGTTACCCTGGGGATATAATAAATAGAAAAAAGTAATCAATCATTTTTTGGGTTTTTTTTTATTGATTTATATAATATTATCCTAAACAGTTTAAATTTGAATAATTATTTATTTACGTAATTTAAACTCTATCACTTTAATTATGTTATCTTCAGCATATACGAATTAAGATACATTATTTTTGTTAAGAAATTAATTGAAATTATAATAATATAGGTAAAATATGTGTCTTCATACTTAACCAAAATAATCACCGTCACTGCATTTTAAACATAATCGGTATACAATTTATAATTAAAAAGGTAAATAGCTAAAGCGTTCTGTAACTGCAACACATTAATATTTAAATACAATATAAAAAACCTTAAATTTAAATAACATTTATAGATGTAATCAAATATATAAATAAAAAACACGAAGAGAATTAGTTTTATGGCATTTTGTAGTAACTAATAAGTAAATAGATGTACTTAGGTTTATGAGTAAAACCTTATGAGAAAACAGTCGTTTACCGGTTTATGTGTGCTCAAATTAAGAATTGTTGTCTCTAAGCTTGACTCATAACCACTAAAATCACATATATAGATGTTTCATACTTTTATTTCTTAAATACTACAATTTTTTCATTACATGTTGACACTAATTATTTAATCGTAATAATAATTAACAAGTAAAAATTAATTTATTATCATATAAACAAAAAAAGATAGTATTAAATCAAACAAATAACAATTAATTTTATTTTATAAATATATATTTTTGTATAAAAACACAGTATAAACAGTAAAATATTTTTGGCGGTCTATTAATTTCCCCTACGCAGTGAAAACATAGTGTTTTTATAGTTGATTAAAATTTATACCTTTTTATTCATGTAAGTAATAAAATATTCAACCAAACTAGGAAATAATATTGAAGAAAAAAACCAATACCTTTGCCGCTCTGCATCAAAGCTAAAAGGTAACTAAAAAAACAAATTTTTTTATCAAAATTGTATTTGTTGAACATCTTGTTACAACGTAAGTATAAATTGATTAAACAGTACAAATATTTTACTTTTTTGAAAATCTAAACTATGTTAAAACTAAACATAAAACAAATTAAGATTATTTTTTTTTAACAATGAAATATGTTGTTTTAGCACAATATAATTTAAAATTACTATTTAAATTTAGTAGTTAGTGCTCAATAAAAATAAGTATAATATATGCCTACAATACTTTTATTACAGAATATTCGTTCTATTTACATATGTAAGTATTAACAAAATAGGGTACTATCCCTAAAATTAATATCTGTTGAAATGATTCTATAATGTGCAATAGTAATTGACCCATTCATTTTCCATTACAAATGCCTCTACAGCTTCTTTTAAGGCCAAGTTCGGAATAAGTTGATCCACAGTTAAATGTTGACGTGACACGGGATCAAAATGTCCTACTTTCTACATGGGAAAAGTGAGAATAATATTATAATAATGGACCAAACTCATTTATTTTGCTACTTACCATCAAATGTTCTTCTAGATCCTTACGATCATATGTTATGCCGCTAGGAGTAATAACTGGGTCCCTCAAAATATCATAGCTTATATTACCACACAGGTAATCAGGTACTTCACGTTTCTTAACAGAGACAGTCATTAAGTTAAACAACTTAGGTTTAAGAACACACATTATATTACATAGTAAAAAATATATGATTATTACCTTTCTTCTATCGTCGTTTTTCGAAAATATTGCATGCAATTCAGCTGCATATTTTTCCTTAAAAAAAAAACAGTTTTAGCTAAGAAGGTATTGTTTTTACAATGATGTTTTTTTTTGTATCTGGACCCACGATATCTTGTAAGCTACTGAACCGATTTCTTCATGTAGCAACTCTATAGATTAGAAATCATACCTGGAAGGTACTTTTGTAGGCCAAAAATTAAAAAAAGTCACCCCTTCCCCATCAAAATCGAAAAAAAAAACCCAAAAAATGTACAAATTTTTCAACTTAAAATTACAATGTTCTATAGCTTTTTTAAAAATAGTCAAAAAAGTTACAAATTTATATAAATTGTTCTAAGCAATTGATAAACATTAACAAACCAAAAAGATATCATAAATCCTTTCCCCTAGAAGGGATAGAAATTTTTTCTTTATTTCACTTTTTCAAATTTTTTTTTTTATGTAAATTTACACTTTGGCCGTAGTCAGTTTCTAGGTTGCTATGTGTGGGTTAGGGTGGCGAAAAAAAAAAAATATTTTTTTACCCCTAAAAAATAATCTTTATAGTAAATAAATTAGTTTATCAAAATGTGGGGTCATTCGGCTAAGTTTAACAGGTCGACGCGATTTGATATAAATTTTAGGAATTTTTCATTAATTTGCACAATTCTTTGCTAAAACTAAAACTATTCATCTGGTGTAATTTGTTAGGTCTATCACTGAATACTAATAAGTGTAAAGTCATGTCCTATTATCGTACGCGTGCGATGTTGACATTTAACTATAGTCTAAATGCGATGCCTCTCGAGCGAGTTTACCAAGTAAAGGATCTCGGATTTTTGTATGTCCCTACCCTAGACTTTCGGCCCCATATTGATTTCGCTATCAGTAGAGCGTTACGAGCTCTTGGGTTTATTAGGAGACATTCGTCTGATTTCAATTCTACCAAATGTCTGTCTGCCTTATATAATTCCCTAATTTGGTCTAACCTAGAGTATGGCGCTGTCATTTGGGCGCCATATACTGCAGGTGACAGACAGAGAATGAACCGTGTACAGAATAGGTTTTTAAGTTTTGTTGGGTACCGTTTAAAAATCTTACACCCACCTCATGATTACAGTCCCATTGATAATGTTCTTGGACTGCAACCACTAGAACAGCGGCGCAAGAACCTCTGCTCTCGGTTTATTTTGGGTTTGTTAGACGGCCGAGTTGACGCCCCTCGCTTATTGGAACAACTTAGTATTCGGGTCCCGACTAACACCAGACTTAAAAAGTTAATTTATCTTCCTACTACCAGATCCAATTTCACTAAAAATGCACCTCTCATTCGTATGATGGGAATTTTTAACGATTTATGATTTATATTATTCGTGTTAAGGCCACACCTCTCAATATTACCTTTTTATTATGTATATTTTTTGTTGTTTTCTTTTCTTTTCTTTTGGTTGATTTGTGTATTTTAAATATCACTAAATATATATATTATTGTCTAATTTATAAAAAGCCGTTTGGCGTAAATTACTATAAATAAAAAAAATTAAAATATTCAATATTCTCTGAATCTGACTGTTTTGTTTGATTCCTAAGAAGTTACTTTATTGTTTGATATAACAATCTATAAAATCTAAGGTCGTTTCTTAACGGAATTTAGTAATTTTAATTATTAAATATATGTTTTTTCATTATTTCCACAGTCAAACTCAAAAATAGATTGAATATATTTTTTTTAATTACAATTTTAGGATATAATCTGCAAAAGCTTCATACTGTATTAATAATTTATTGTTATAAATAAATAATCATTATTAATTAAGTATTATATTATTAATATTTTTCAAACTGATATTCTGTTTTTTAAGGGAACCGGTTTCAACGCAAAGTTCACATAAAATTGTTAAACTTTTTCTTTAAATAGACTATGGGACACAATTATTGCACAACGTAAAAAATATGACATGGAACACCCAAGGTTTTCTTAAAAAAAAATAAAATGACACCTGTTTTGGTAGATGATATTTTATCGTCACGCTCTGATGAATCATAGAAATAAATATCCAGATTGTTTTAAAAAAAGATTTAAAAATATAGTACCTATACGATAAAATAATTTTTTTTTAATATTTTGCTGTTTCAATAGTATAGTAAAATGATAAGTATGCTTGCAGTTTTAATTTATAAAATACTATAAATAAAATATTTGTATTATATCCTAAAATTGTAATAAAAAAATAAAATATTCTATCTTTTTTTGAATGTAACTTTGGAAATAATAAAAGCGTATATTAAATAATTAAAATTACTAAATTACGTTCATAAACGAGATCAGATTTTATAGATTATTATATCAAACGATAAAATAACTTCTTAGGATTCGAGCAAAACAGTCAGATTCCAAGTTAATCCAAGATTTCCAAATTAAAGAAAAATTCTTAAATTTTGTATTAAATCGTGTTGAACTTTACCGAATGAACCACAATTTTGATAAATTAATTTATTTACTATAAAGATTAATTTAAAAAAAAAATTTTTTTTGCACCACCCTAGTGTAATGAAAATATTTTCATTATATTGTTAATTATGATAAATGGGTAACTATGACAGTACATTTTTATAGACAGACGATCAACCCTTATTGTATCCACTGTGCACAAGACTAAATATTAAATTTTAAGTACATTATTGCAGGTCCTACAATATCTTCTAAACCGCTATAACTGGTTCGAACATACTATCCACAGATTCACATCAAAGCGTTTATTTAAAAGTAATTTTATTACTTTCAGTTATAACAAAATCTGAATAGACATGTGACCTTTCCGTCCCCACTATGCCCTGACCCCACTGTACTGGCTTTTCTTTATTGAATTATCTAAAATAATAAATATGATTTAAAAAACTAAATTTCATTATAACTTACACTTTGATTTTTGATTTCCATTACACAATTCTCATACTCTTCAACATCAACCTCGTTATCTGATGGCTTAGGTATCTCGTTAATTTTGTGAGCTATATCATCGTCCATTAATTTAGTTAAATACGACTAATTAAATTAAAAATAATTTTACATAAATAACAAAAATGGCGGTAGTTTATAAGAGTTAAATATTTTTGTAATTACCAAAAGTTCGATTTCTTGATTTTGTCTCACTTCTTCTTGTTTTTCCCATTTAAGTCTACGAGCCCTTCTAAGTTGACTTGTTATATCATCACCATAGTTAATCTTTTTCTCTTTTGTTAAGTTATGAGCTAGAAATGAGAAGTTAAAGTTTAGAGCTTCAATGATAGTCCAATGTACATTATAGTACAATCATTTACCTCTTTGTAGTTGTTTAATGGCTTCATCATAACTACCTAATTCAATTAAAGCTATTCCCAAAAAAAAACATCCTTTAATAAAACTAAAATCCATTTCTAAAGCACGTCGACAATCTGTACATGCTTTGTCCCATTGTTTTAGCTTTAAATAACATAAAGCACGATTAGTGAAATATATAGGAACAACAGGATTTTTTATCTAAACAAAAAATTAATTATTATTATTACAATTGCAAAACCACTTTTTTATAAAATAAAATTTAATTTACAAACATTTATAAAAATGAATATTATTGTTTTTCATTTATAAGAGAAAACATATGAAGTATTTAAAAAAAGAAGTTTTAATTAAATCATAAAAAAACTAACAAATTATACTTACTATGGCTTTGTTATAACATTCAATGGCTTTTTCATACTGTTTGTAGCTGAACAGCCTATTACCTTCTTCTTTAAGATCCTTATCTGTCTGATTATTAGATGTATGTTTATTAGATGTATTAAACTTAAACATTTTGCTTAATACAACAGAGTACAAATAAAAGCTGAAAAAAATTGTTATGTAATTTTTTAATTTGCCACCATAAAATAAGACTTCAACACTAACATTACTTTACGATACTCTTTATTTAATTTTTGGAAATTGAAAGTTAAAAATACTCATATACATGTGTTAAATTTCAAAAATTAATATTTATTTTACAATAGTAATACATCACACAATAAATAAATGCTTAAAACATATACAGACAATTATAGCAAAATAACTAAAAATAAAATGTTGGGTAATCACAAATCACTTAATAATATGTAATAAAGCAATTAGCGTACATAAATTCTTCAAGTAAAATGAGTAGATAGATTCTTACCAAACTTAGTAGATGTCACAGAACATGTCAAACTCCAATTCAGTTAATTTTTCTGGCAACTATTTTCTTTATTTTTATTAATTATCACATTACAACACACCATAAAAATGTAGTATGTCAAATAGGTACAAACAACATAATTACAATAGTTCTTCTATGTTGACAGAAGATTAGTAATCGAGTAAGTAAGTAACTACTATCAAGTCTAACTTCCAATTGCAATGTAATGTTGATTAATTTATCAACAAAGGAACTGTTCGGAACAAGATTTTATAAGGTTGTGTTCAGGAATTTACTAAGATAGTGTTATCATTATATAATGATAATAAAATAAATATTAAAATAATGTAAAATTAAAAATCTTCAATTGTTATTGTAACACATTTATATTTATCATTCATGATTAATAGATGTTAATACTCACACAATGGAAAATTAACTATCAGAGTGAGTCCAAATAAATGTATTTTAATAGTTTATAATTATTATATCTTATTTTACTAATTAAATATTTCTCCTTTGCAGACATAATTTGCTCAATATGTCATGCTATAATGAAGACCAACTAATTCAACATAATAATGCTGACTATCAAGATGTTCCAAAAATTGATCCTTTTTTAAAATGTGATGAAGCGAATGTTCAAGAATTATTACTTGCCCACAAAACACTTATAGAAAAACAGCGTATTGAACGAAGGTATATAAATATATATATATATATATATATATATATATATATTTAGGTCGTAAAAATAAGATAAAAAAAGAAATTTGTTTAAAAATATTAATTTTAATCCACAAGGGTTGTAGTTTAAATGGGATTTAACATAGGATTTCAACATTTGTGTACAAATCAATGCATAACTTTTTTCTTACACCTTAGTTTGAGCTGAAGTTTTGATGGTTTTATAGCTTGGAGTCTGCTGAACATGTACACTTTAACTAAAAGTCCATACCTGTTTGCCAGAAAATGAAAATTTAACAAAAAATGGACATTTTTTCTTCAAATTTGTATTTTTTATGTTAAAAAAAATCACGCAAACAGAAAATGATTATCATACTTCCTTTTCAAGTTATAGTCAGTCTTGATACTTTTTAATACAAAAATTAATTATTCTTTGTTTGATCCATGAAATTTTAATCTCGTTCATGTAAATTAGTATTTAATATTTTCAACTTAAAATTGTTAAGAAAACATGTATATACCTAACGAATATTTTAAAATTCTTGTTTATACTTAACCATCAATAAATATTTGTTTTCCAAATTAGTCGTGACTTGGGGGAGGGGGAAATGATATATTTATTTCTATGGAAAATCCCCCTCTCTGACCACCCTTGTATATTATTGTTAATTTTTTGTTTGGTTATTAATAATTATTTTTTTAAAATATCCAAGAGTATTTTTGAGGACATTTTTATGGAAGCCAGTTTTGGGTCCAACCCTGCATACAAATATAATAATAATTTTGTATTTTTCATATTTTTCTAAAAATAGATTTGGTAAAATATAATGTCATTTTGTGTATACAAATTATATTTGCATTTATTGTCTTGTAGAAATGCACTATCTGAAGCTAATTGGGATGATAATCTTAAGCAGGCAGAAGTTACTAAAGTAGCTAAAAACCTCACAAAAAACTTTAGTCATTCATTGAATAAAAAACTTTACTTGTATCCAGAAGAGTGTTTATTTTTGTTAGAAATGGTAATGAAAAAAATATATGTAAGTAGGTATAACTTATTATAGTTATTTAAAAATGTATTGTTTGCATTACAGAAATATTTATTGTTAAAATGGAATGGGAAAATATTATCTATTCAAAACGCATACAGTTTGCTGTTGGCAGAAAATAGTGGTTGCACCTTTGATCACTTCAGAACATATTCTTATTTAATGAAATTGGGTTTTCGAGTTTTTAGGTATGATAAGGAACTCCATTTCAATAGTTACTGCGAGTATAATCCACAAGATTTGACTAAATTAAAAGAGCTGCCTTGGAAGAAAAAACGAGGGAAAGATATTTTCAAAAACTCTCTTAGTAAAAAAAATAGTTCAAACAGTCAATTTTTTCCAAAATGCAAAACTGGATGGGTAACTTTAAATAAGCCCTCAAACGAGTTTTTGCCCAATACTTTGCAGCCACTTTACGATACTTATTTATTTAATCTAAGTTTGGAATCCAATCATTCTAGAATTATTGAAATGATATGTAAAAATAAAAATGAATCAATACACACAGTGAACTCATTAGATCATATTAAAAATAGTGCATATTTTCCTGAATCAGTAGAACAAAATGGATATTTAAAATATGAAGAAAACAAACCTTGCAATGTAAAAATATTTGAAGGTCATAACACAATGAAACGTAAATATATAAATGATGAAGACAAAACTCAGCAAACAAAACATATAAAAATCCAAATAAATAATTCAAAATGTAAAATAAGTATTGATGAGTTATATTCCTTTAGTAGGAACCAAACAAAAAACAATCAAACTAATGCCACTAATTTATTACAAGATGATTTTGTTAATAACTGCTTAGAACCACAAAATATTCAGGAAAACAATTTAACATTTATAAATAACGCAAACTCAGACAAATTAAATGTATTGAGTAATATTTTAAATGAAAATCCCAACAATGAATTGAATTTGCCAGGTATTTAAAACCAATTGTATTTGATATAATTTAAATTTGCTAGCTTTTAAGTAGGGCTCGTACCTGTGACCATACAGGTACACCATACATCTAGATGGAATATTTGTTTTGAAGAACTCTTCTAGTTCAAATGTTATAGCTACTTGAACTGTGAATTTTTCCCCATAAAACAGTGTAGGTGACGGGTGCGTCTAGGCCTTTTTCTCAGTAAGCTTATTCTATATAGATTGATTCATGAAGGATAAAACACTCATTTCTCTTTAATTAATTGCAATTTTGTAGTTTTTCTAAATTTTATACCACAAACTACAAGTAATTTATGAATTTATACTATTTAATGTATTATTTATAAAAAATTAAAGTTTACATAATATTTTTAAATACTTTTTATACTTATTTTCGTATCGGGAGGTCTGGCCCAGTGGACACTTCAGATGCCGCGTGGCACTTGAGGTTAAGCTTTGTCTGTTGATGCTTGATCCCAGATGGCTGACCGCCCGGGGTTTTAGTGGCGACCCATACTATTAACCTCGATATAAATGGCTGAAATGCTATGCACCCTGGGGACCGAGCTGGCATAAAGTTAGTTAGCTATAGCCACTCCCGGTCAATACGCCATTAGCATTTATTTATATTTATTTTAATACTAATTAAATTTCAAGTAGCTCTGAGCCTTTTTTTTATATTATCATGGTAACATAATTAAGCCTATTTGCCTCTGTTTATGACACAACCTTAATCAATAAGTCACAAGTTCTACATACAATTGTACAATTTAACATATTTTATTCTCTTTATTAACATAATATGCTTTGTTTTAGACCATATTAACAAGAAAATCTTTGCTGTAAAACCTATGAATTTAGAAAAAAACATTCCGAGTACAAGTGATGAAAACTATTTTCATTTTGACATTTATTACCCAGAAAATGATTTTCCAAAAATAAATAAACCAAAACCTGATTTCAGAGTAATTATATTTGGGTATGACAACTGTAAATACTACATTTTATATGGTCTGTATTTAATTAAGTTTGTATAAATATTTTTGTTTTAGGTATGAAAAATCCTTTCCAAATATATTTCTGATAACTTCTTCATGTAAAAGCAATAGTGTACCTACTTTGTGGTCTGTTGTTCATTCAGACACTGTATCTTTTTATAATGTAAACAATATAATTTTACCAAAGCCAATTGATTGGGAAACTCCAATCAAGAGTCCAATATAAAACAAAATATAATTTAACAAGGTATATAAACATAAAATTAAATTACAATTTTATTGTATTTTTTAATCATAAAAATGTATGCAATAAACGATATATTTTAATTTTTACATTTAGGTTTTTTATTAAATTCTTTGTTTAATATTCCTTGGCCATACTGTCCTTATCTATTTTCAGAGCTATAAATCACACTTTATTTTGAAAGAATAATTGTACTTTTTTTATTTCATAGTTTTGCTTTCAAAAAAAAAAAAACATTAAACAGACTGGTTATGAATAAAATTTCAATACCAAATTGTGCATTTCAAATGCTACTGAATTTAATAATGGGAAAAAATGCAGTTTAGTTCCCAGTTTCTTTTTTAAAATGTTGTCGAACTTACTTTTGAAGTTATAATCAAAAACTTCGTTTATTTCATTTTTTTAAAAGTGCAACAACTTCGTAAAAATGTAATTATTAAAATTTTGAATTGCAGTATTCTAATAGGAGTAAAAACACATATTTTGAATAAAAAACAAATTTAAAAAGTGCATTTTCAAGTTATGGCACTTTTTAAAAAATTAAGTTTTTGCTTGTAACTTCAAAAGTAAGTCCAGCCGCCAAAATCAGAATTCATCATCGTTTTTAGCGTAAGAAAATACAAAAAAAGAAATTGAAAAAAACGACTGAGAACTAAACTGCATTCATAAAAAAAAAATCGGAATTATCAACATTTTAAAAATGTGTTGTAACTGTACCATCATGGAAAAAATGTATTCTTTTTTTTTTTGAACCGCTAGACCGATCTATATAAACAATGATAACGTTTTTGATAACAAATTTCATATTTTCAGTTTTTACCCGTGTTTGAAGTTTGAACTATAAATAAGGACTGAGGCGTTATTATTAAGTGTGCTGTTAACATTTGAATAATTGGTTTATTGGTCTATTATTAATTAGCTTTAAAAATGAGTAAAACTGTAGTTTATGATACATTAGTAAGTTCATTTTTTCATGCGATTTTGTTGTTTTTAAAAATAATAATTTTTTCTTCACACTCTACTTTAATAGTCTGCTATATAATACTTATTTACTAAAATTTAATTTTATATAGACCATACCTGATCCATCATTTAAAGATGAACGAGTCAAAATGTTCGGTTTGTGGTTTGGCATGAGTAATATCTGTTTATTTCCTACGATAACTTCAGAGTCAAATAAAGCTACTGGCGATAGTCAAAATGACTGGAATATAATACATTTAAGACATAAAACAATGCTTTTTGATCCTAAAGTAAGGCAGTTGGTGAATGAATCAAGTGGTGTGTTCCAAGAATTGCAAATAAATGTAGATGATCCAAATAAGTCTACTGATGCTCTGTATTACAGCAGAAAATACAGGTAACACAACAATTTTAATTGAAAAAACTTGGTGTCCTCTCTAAAGAAAGTAATACTTAATTTATTAAAATATTTATAACAGAGCTATTTTGTCAACTTGTATTTTGGCTGTTGAGCGAAGTAATTCAGATCAGTCAAATGAAACGTATAATCAGTATAAATTACTGCTACACAATTTAGAACTTATTTGGCATCTATGTGAAGTCTTATACTTAGTTACTGTTCCAGGTAATAATTTTCGTTATAATACATATTTTACAAATTTGTTTTTTTAATGCATATGGCTTCGGCGAAAAATATTAAGTAATACGAATTACAATAATAATAAATAAAAATATATGAATATAAATTAATTTATAGATATAAATATAAATTTAATTTTAACTAAGTAACAGTAAAAAATTAGAAGAAAAATAAGTAGCGTACAATATCTTGAGGTGGAAACAGGGGTAAGCAGTACGATGTTGTGGGTAGAAATAGGGGACTATAGACGCGCATCCAGTCCACTGCCTCGGAATCGCACCCGTGAATGCTCTCAATCCCACCTTCAAATTTTGTTTGAGGGCATTCCTGCACGATGTGCTTCACTGTTTGTTCCGCTCCGCATGTGCAAGCAGGTGATTCTGTGAAACCCCATATGTATAAAAGGTAATTACATCTTCCCTGGTCAGAACGGATCCTGTTTAGTGTTGACCAGATTGGACGAGGCAGCTCATAACCAGGCGGTTTTATGTTTGGGTCGTCAACCAGGAAGCTGTTTTTAACGCCGGATTCTTTCCATTGTTTTTTTCATAACTCTTGTGGGGTTTCTTGTCCTATATCCGCGCTCCATATTGGATGCCTTGATTTGAGTCTTTTATCGGGGTGGAGGAAAACATCATTATGAATTGGTAGGTCCGTTTTGTTTTTAATTTGTTTGAGGATAGATGACGCCGCATTTTTCCTACGTAGTTCGGGTGGTAGTATATTGGAGAGAACTGGTAGCCATTGCGTTTGTGTGCTTTTGACCGTCCCGGATATAGTTCGCATGGCTTGGTTTAATTGTACGTCGACCTTGTTACAGTGAGCGCTTTTCATCCAAACTGGAGAGCAATACTCTGCAACACTGTACACTAATGCTAGCGTTGAGGTTCTTAAAACATTTGCGTTGCAGCCCCAGCTCGTCCCAAAAAAAGCCCTTTTCAGGGCTACTCTGACGACAAGCCACAGGCCTCAATCTCATTAAATTACCTTATTACAAATTTGTTATTAAACAGGTTATCCCCTAATGTAAAATTATTTGAGGTATTACTGTATTAACGTCTATGATGAAGAAAATTCGAACCTGACTTAGAATTTTTCTGAAATCTAAAATGATTGTTATCTTAATGAATTTCAACTCTTAATTCAACATTTATTGACCTATAAAACACTATGCTTTTGTTGGTGCATTGGTACATCAAATTTTTTTTTATACTTTTATTTAAGTTTTGCATTATGCAAAGACAGGCATAACATTACAATAGGGATCTCAAATTTAGAAATCTTATGTTTAATGTATCAGATAAAGGTTTTTAAAAGTCGACAAATTGTATTATGAAATAAACTTCCCATTGGCGTTATGAAGATTACATCTATAAGATCTTATAAAAGTCTAAATTCAGATTAACAGTAAATCATTTTTTGGCTTGCTAATTTTTTTCATAGCTATTTTGTACACATGGTATCCTGACTGACATATGCTATGACCTTAAATATAAATAACAGATTGATAGGCTGATAGGTATGTGAATGGAAGTGCTTATAAATTATAACAAAAATGTATTTAAATTTGATTATTTACAACTTAACTAAATATAAAATGACATCCACAGTTCATAGTATAAATATTATAATGGGCATAATTTGTTCGTTTGATTATTTTTTTGTAGGAGATACAATCTTAAATAACTTATTAGACTGGATAAAAATTCATTATGAAAAAGCTGAGAATCAAGCAATAAGTATAATAGAGGACAAAACAGCTTATTATACTGATGAACGTGTTGAAGAGAAGTTTCCATTCTATTGGGATGCAGTGATTGGATTAATATTACAAGGAAATGTTGATTTAGTTAGAATGCTATTAAGTAATCATTCTCAAAGTAACACTGAACCTTACATTCAAGCAATGAAAATCCTCAAATCTATGCCTACGTATAGTGTTAGTAAATTTGAATTGAATAATTTTTACTCAAACTAATTATCAATATTTTTAATTCAAAGTTTTACTAAAATTATTATCATCTTTCAAAGTTTAATACTAACCATTTAAAAAAAACATCTTGTTTTAAAAGTGCTTGTTAATAAAAAGAAATAATACGGTTCACTATAGTTTTAGTAGTTAACTTCACATAAATCATCTTAATAGTGCTCATATTTAATTTTATAGGTATATGGTGGCTTACCAATTGCAGAATACACATCAAGATTTAAGGGCTGGCAACTAAGTGCCAAAAATAAGTTAGATTGTGGAATATTTTTATCTGATTCCAACCTCAATAATATTATGAAAGTAAAAGTTCAAACGTTATTTAGAAAATGAATAAAACATAAAAGTGTTAATTTTTGTAATTTATTACTAGATTGTTTGTGGAGATCCAGATTGCACCAATGTGATTCGTAAGCATTGCTCAACATGGTTTGAATTTTTAGTTGCTCAACTTATATACACAGAACCAACTGTTAAAAAACATAACTTGAGTTTATATGCTCATCGTAGTGCTTCAAAATATTATGAGCAACCAGAATATAATCATTTGGATTCACTTGCCTTAGACTTATTTGATGGGGATCTAGAAGCGGTATAAATTATATCTTCATTTGTTATATTATCTCCTTAAATAATAAAAGTACATTTCGTGAAGAATTAAAATCAATCAACTAACTTTTAATACAATTACAGTTTGTGAAAAAACTTAAAGCTTATCCTGATTCAGGCTGGTCATCGACTCATTTAACTAATTTATTACATTTATGTGATAAAATTGAACCAGAATTTGATGTTACTGAACCAAAGTTAGTAATTACTAAGTATCATTACTATTTTATTAAGTTTTAAATTTATAATTAAATAATTATGCTTATACTTTATTAGAGGTGGCATTACTCCTAACGAACAATATCTTCTTGATTATGGAACATTTTTAATGTCGCACCATTCATTATGGCAAGCTGGAATCACCTATTTAGACAATTGTTCTACCTTAGGCAAAGAATACCTCACTATTTTATTATCAAAACTGTCTGTAACTTCAGAATTAAGGGTCACAAAAATTTTTCATTATGCAATTTCCAGACGACTACACAATGTTGGTAAGTTCATTTCCTTTTTTGTTTATTATTTTTCTTAATCATGTTGTTATAGTTTCTAGTGTGTGCAAAGTAAAGGGGATGTTAAGCCTCCAGAAATCTAGAGTAGGTGAAGCATTGAGTTGGGCAATTAGAGGACAAGATAGTGCGTTTGCCACTCATATCGGTGATTTATTTTTAAACGAATTCGCAAAAAGTGGACAATTTAGTTGTCCAGATATTCTAGAAAACCTTGGATCCATTGTACTCACATGTGATCGTTTTATGTTTCTTGGTAATTGATATTATATTTTAAATTATTATATATGATAATTTTATGTTATTTCTAATATATTTTTAGGTAAATACTTGCAATTCATTAAATTTATCAAAAACAATTCATTGAACGAGGCTGCAACTCTATATATTGAACTTCTAAAGTCAAACATCTGTCCAAAATAGTGAGTTCATAAAACTATAATAATTACTGGTAATGAAATTAAATATTTGCTTTTAACAGTTTTAGGCTTAGGTTGCTACTCGATGTTCTTCTGTTTATTGAAGACAACAATGAATGCTACTTTGATACATTAAATATGGCTCTGATTACCATGCGTTTGGATGATGCTGTTATAGAAGCTGAAGAAGATAACGTGTCAACTGATCAGTTCTTAGTTGATCAAATACCCAATATACGAAGTGCCATTGTCCAACTAGTATCAATAAGTTTAAGAAGATAAAAACCAAAAAACCATTTCAAAACACAAGTATTTTTGGTATATAATATTTTTGTTATTATACTCAACAATTTGTATCAGCAAGATAAAATATTTTATTAAAACATAATAAAACTGATTATATATTTGATACACTTTTAAAACACCTTTTAAATTATTATAACTACTTATAGCATCTATCTTCTCAATGATAAAATAAATAAATATATAGATTGCTACTACTTCTTTAGGTTAAAATTTTGTAAATTCTTATTATGCATATTGCACTGAATAGAGTTTAAATTAAATTAAAAGTTTAGTCTGTTTTCTTTTTTTTCAGTTGCAATTAAGCAACCAGATACAAATTACTTGAAATGAATAAGCCGTTTGTGTCTATGTAATGATCCACTGTCAGCATAATCTTTTTCGCACATTTCACATTTGTAAGGTCTTTCTCCAGTATGACTTCTTTGATGGACTTTAAGACTAGTAGAATTTAAATAGGATTTATTGCACTTGTCACATTGAAATGGTTTGACTTCCATGTGTATCATTCTATGAGTTCTTGAATTTTGCTTATCAGCAAACTTTTTTCCACATATATCACAACTAAATGGTTTTATTAACAACTCGCTATGCGTTAATTTATGATTCTTAAGTTCTTGAGGTTTACGGTAAGTCAAGTTGCAAATACTGCAAGTATGATTCATTTTCTTGTGTCTGATTAGCGATTCGGGAATTGGATACGATTTTCCACAATCGCCACATGTATAAGGTCTATCTCCTGTATGTTGCTTTCTATGATTTTCTAATCTCAAAGATGAACGAAACAGTTTATTACAGAATTCGCATTTGTATTTCAATTCGACAGTATGAATTTCTTTATGTGAACTCAACGAACTTTTTGTGTAGTATTTATTTTTGCAAATATCACATTCATACTTCCTTTTTCTGTTTATAACGTGAGTTTGTAAATGATTTTCAACAGAATTTTTATAACGAAACTTTTTATGACAGTAATTGCATTCAAACGGTTTGTTGTTAAAGTGTGTTTCTCTATGTCTGTGCTTATGAGTTGAATGAGCAAATCCTTTACCACAAATATCACATTTATAAGGCTTCTCGCCAGTATGTCTCCTCTTGTGACATACAAAATTAGAATATATACTAAAACTTTTTTGGCAAATATTGCATTTATATGGTTTAATTCCATTGTGCATTCTCTGATGTTGAGTTAAGGAATGCATGGTGTAAAACGCTTTACCACACTTGTCGCACTCAAACGGCCTATATCCAGTATGTATTCTACGATGTATTTCAAGTGTATTCCACTGTCTAAATCTTTTATTGCACACATCACATTCGTGCGGTTTGCCGGCAGTGTGACATTCAAGATGTGATTTCAGACTCGCGAGTACTTTAAAAGACTTGCGACATACTGTACATTCAAATTCCTTGGTACTTGCATGGGTCAATTTATGTGAATTCAAATTGTAACCAGCATGAAATCTTTTATTACATATATTACACTGATACGGTCTTTCTCCTGTATGCATCCTTATATGGACAGTTAGATGGCCAGATGACAAGTAAGTTTTAGGACAAAAATCACATTTGTATGGTCGGTTTTTGTTATTGTTTATTATATTCTGGTACTTTCTAGAAGTACCAAATTCAAAGTATTCCCCGAAACATTCTTGACATTCATAAACAATTTGATTATTTTGCATCATTCTACAACCGTGAGTAACAGAAGTCGAATCAATATATTTACAACAATTAATACATTGATTTTTTCGATATTTTAAATGTTTAATTATAGTATTACGGTCTGGAAACTTTAATGTGCATTTAGAACACTCATATAATTTCATATCTTCAGTGTTATTTGTTAGATGTATTGTATTGTTATTATCAATTGGGGATTTAATTTTTGTTTCAAAGTCATAGTTATTTCGTTCAACTTCTAGTTGTGTTTGAAATAAACAACCATTTAATACTTCACTTTCAATTTTGATATCGCATTTCTCGAGTTCTGCGGAAGACTCCAGTCCAAGTAAATCAGGCAAATCATCATCACTGAAATTATAAATATTTATTTTTTAACAGTTAATAAACAGTTTACAAAAATATTATTTTTAAATGTTAAATTAATCAATAACCTATAGTTATTGATATTTTAACACATACTCATCACTAATTAGTTCTTCTTTGACAACTATTTTTATATTTTCTTCTGCTACAGATGTCGCCTGATTGTATTCAACAATGTTAAAAAGTTTATCAGATGAGAACATATCACAATAATCTTCCTTTTTAATTGTTGCACTTCCATGGTTAGGTGGTAATAAATTAGACATATCGGATGTTATATTTTGGTACCTTTGATCCATAACATTTAATACTACAACATAGGTATAAATATAAATCGGAAATAAATATTAACTCTTACTAAATAAATTGTTAGAAAAATATAGTGGTATATACTAGGTTATACATAATATTTTTTATATAAATAACAAAACCTTGTAATTCAATTTACTTGGGTTATATTTAAATTAAATAAACATAGTTTTTTAAAAATTATAAAATTACTTTCACTTGAATAATTAGCAATAAAAGACCCTATCCTTTACAGTCTCTATAACCTCATGCATTTTAACTGATTTAGGGAGACCTTAGTAACACATTTGCATAAATTATTTATAATTAGTTAAAGAGCATACAGAGCTGAGATTAAGAGAATGTTGTGTAAGTGTAGTTGACAGTGGAATCTGGTATAGGATATTTTTCGATACCTACTGACTTTTGGTATCCTGAGATCTCTGTGAAGGTTAACTATTTCAATGTGCCAGGGAGAGCTAGATGTCACACACAGTTGTGACCTACTTTATTTTTCATAAACTAATTATTTACTACTCAATAAGTTTAAACAAAATATATGTATGTAATGTTGTTAAAAATATATATAATATACTAAGTATAACCAAATACTAAATTTAATTAATTTTTGAACTGTTAAAATATTTTAAAATTAAGTTTGGAACATAAATAATAATAATAACTATTAACTAGAAAATTTTAAAGTTTCGAGTAGGTGAACTTTACTTACCTAAAAGTAAATATAACAAAGTTTAAAATAAAAACAATACATTAACCGATAATTTTCTGTTTTCACGAAGGACAATTAACATTATGGAGTTGGTGTTTGCGTTTCGACAATCAACAAGTTGAAAATTTTAAACACGTGTGTTCAGTGTTGTATCAGTTTTAATGAATACACGCATCATTGACTTGTGCATTAATTAGTATCTAGTGATAACTGATAAGAGGCCACCAGGCACCATGACCTATTGACTGCTTTCTACGGTCAACAAAAATACATTATCTTATTATAATATAACGGGAACCAAACACTGCCAACTTTTAAGGGGCAAAATATAGGCAATACTTGATACAGAAAAAATTGAATTCCAGCATGTCAACTTATTTTCATATTAACTTCTATTATAGCTTCGAGTACAATTGTTCAAGCATACTGATTACTGTGTACAAAATTGTATATTAGTTACAACCATTTTTGTGTTGTCAAATTACTTTACTGTTACAAACGATTATCGTGTATACAATTGTTATAATATACAATTTTTATTTGAGATTTTATTTTATTTAGTTTCCAAAAATAACAACACCGACAATTTTTAATACTCATTATCTTCTTGAAGCATATTATGGAAATTTTACTTTTGAAAATGGGAGGTGGATATCAAATAAAAATTCATTTTTAGTTTTTATTAAAGGGACGTTGTGCTGCTATTTATTAATTTTTTGCAAAATCTCAATTTAAAGCTTAAATTGTAATTTGTAATTATTAGATTAGCAATAAGAATTCTTTTTAGGCAGTTAATTTATTTTTCTGACTATCGCAGCATCATTATTTGATTTATTTAATTTGAAATTGCTGTTTTTTTTTAAAGAACATATTGTTGCTTTCATGTCAAAAGTAGTGAAGTATTAATAAGGATTATATAAAATTAATTTTAGCCAATTTATTACATCAAAATATCTTTAAGTAAAAACTGGTCATTATTTAATAATAATGACATGTTAATTATAGCTTTTGGCTTAAATTAATAAATATATATATATATATATATATATATATATTATTTATATATATATAATGGTCAACTGACAGTGCAATGATGCGTTTTACAAAATATGAGAAAACGCATCTTTGCACTGTCAGTTGACCATTACTGGATTTTTGCTACACTAACACTAAATTATGTTTACGCTTGGATAAGACTACTATACCTAACAAGTAAATAACCTAAATAAGAACTTTCCAGATAAAATAGTATAAAAATTGATTTCAATTTCAATTTAAAAATATTGAGTTTATAAAAATGTATCAACTATATTAATGGGCTGAACTATCCTTTACAAGTTATTTTAACCTAGCATCTACTTCAGACGCCTATCGTTGGTTTCTTTTGCCTAAATATTATAAGCACAATAATAAAAAAATGTTCAATAATCTTGACAAGTTTTTTTTAAAAAGAATAAAACGAATTATAAATTTAAAAATATATTTCAAATGTGTTTTTAGTCGTAATATTTGCTAAACAATACTTTATCTAAATCATTTAGGAAATATGCTCTAAATGGTTTCATTTGAAGTACAGTAGATAGAAACTTTGTGTCAGGCCACATACATTGTTTCGGTATACTGGAAATATTAAGCCACTGAGTACCTAAATAAAATACACTTTTAGAAATCAAAGTTTAAGTAATAGTTCAGAGCTTTAGTCTAAATAAATAATTATACCTTCAATTTCTGCAAAATCTGATAAACCATTAATATTCACTACAAAAACATTTGTTTCTGTAATAACTTTCTGATCAATAAGCTCAATATCTACAACAGCTACTTTCTGTGTTTTTGTCTGAATATCACTTATACCACAAAATTTGTTTAAACATCTAGAACACAAACATCAATTAGTTATACTTTAAAAACATTTTTTGTGATATATGTATAATTTTCATATTGACCTTTTAAAAGCATTTTCTAAAGTTTCATTACTTTCAACTTGATCATAAGCCATACTAAAATAACTCCACAATTGTTTATTTTTATTCAAAAGTATTTGACAGTCTTTTTTGAAAATAATACATATCCAATTTGTTTTAGGTTTTTCTATAGAGTTCAATAATTTTATATTGTAATCTAAAATTGTCTCATATCCTTGGTACTTAAAATATGCTTTAAAAGGTATTTTCTTTAACAACATTGGATACCAGAATTTATGATCAGCCCACATTGTGTCATACGGTGTATCTTTTATTTTAAACCACTTAGGAGCCATTTCTGTAAATGAGGGGAAAACACATACAATATATGAAATTATTACCCATTAATTGTCAAATATAATGCAAATTTTAAGTGCTATACACCTTCAGTTTCAATAATATCTCCAGAATACTGGGTACAGATAAACACGTGTCCTTCCAGTATTTCATTAGAATTAACACCTTCAAATTCTAAAATACCAACTTTTTCCATACCGTCAACATCTAATCCGCATTCTTCCTTAACTTCACTAAAAAAAAAAAAAAAGAATTGAGCAGTTTTATTTATGATAGGTTTTTTTAAAGACATACCGTTTAGCACCCTCTTCAATTGTTTCATTAGGTTCTACTTTACCACCAAAACCATTCCATTTGCCTACCCCTAGACCACGTTTTTTCATGCCTAATAAAATTTCATCATTTCTTATTATCATTGTCAACGTGAGCAGTTTTCGAGCATACCCTTCTAGTGTTGGATAGAATACCATATTAATAGTTATTGTCCGTTGTCTTATAGGTATCTGAAACTATTTTTTTTAAACACAAATTATTGACTTTATAATATTTAAAAAATGATTGTAAAGTAATCAAAATCTATTAAATTTCAATAACATTCATTAACCTTCTATAAATATTATACTTCACAAGTAATATTATATATTTTATGTGTAGAAAGTTTAATCCTAACGAAGACATCTTCTTATTTTATACCTATATACTCTCTATGTATGTATTTGGTTTAAATGATAAAATGTACCACAAAAAGTTATTAGCAAATGAATCAGAGTGAAACATATGAGCACAATAATACCAGTAAGAAATTGTTCACAAAGCTACAATGATTCAAGTGAAAGTGAAGTACAAAACTAGATGTATAACAATATCTCTTTATAATACATATAAATTATTTATATACATCTTTATCATTAATTTACAATATTGTCATTTATTATTAGTATATATTTATATGCCGACATAAAAATATTAACGTATAAATAACAATATTTCTTTTGTTCTTGCTTTAATTACTACAATTAATTGACTCTTCAATTGAACAAGTCAGTAAGTATTGAATAAATCAAAAATGATAACTAATAATTATTTTAGTTCCAGAAAAATATTTTGTTATAAAAGATAATGTTGTGAACTTATATCATCCAACTTAAAGAGTGTAAATTGTTTACACACAACTATTGTGGATACTAGCTGTGGGTCACTTATTTTTTTAAATACCTTCCATTAATATTAATTTGTACATATGTCATTATTTAATTAGTAATTTTATTTTTAAATTGACACTGCAATTTTGATTTGTAATAATAATTAAAATAATACATATATAATAAATATAATTATATTTAAATCGTATTATGATATATTTGACAACAATTTTAGTTTATATGATTTTTTGTTTTATTACCATTACTGATAGTTAATAAATAAATTATTTATTTATTTTAAATTTTACTATCGTATTGATAGTAAAATTCGGAATTGGGTCGTGTGTATAAACTGTAAAGCAAAGACAACATAACAAACAAAAGTATACCTTGGAGAAGATGATGTTCACAGTAGCCAGAAATGTATGGTAAACACCACAAACTAAGATAATCTTATAGAAATAATTATACAAAAAAGGTTCGTAGTTCGTACTCGAGATACATATGTGGGAAATGTTAGCTACCGCTAAACGTAAAATAAAATATAAACATTTGAAAAAATATTTTGATCCTTGAACGACGGCGGTGGATAAACCATATTGAAAAATAATAAATAACAATAAACCGAGTTCTGAGATAAAAGATAATACAGAGTGATAAGCAGAGTGAGCAGCTCATAATAGGTATAGAGTATTTGATTACTCTATGGAGCAGCTGTAGACTGTAGTTGATAAGTGAGACCGCACAATTTTTCACGTCTGTCGTAGCGCACAACCTGTTCAGCGAACGGATTGAACACTGGCAAGTGGCAACTCGGAAATCGGAATGTTCATCCGATTCTTCTATTTTCATTCATAACAACAATACGACGGGGAAAAAGAGGACGTTGCCTTGCTGTAATCGTACAATTTCGTTTTTTATCAAATTAAAATATACTAACACATAGAGTACGTGTTTGTTGTATGTGCACTTAACTAAAATTTACTGTGGCCCTACAAGTGATTCTGCCTCAATTATTCGTCTTTCGCGGTGGATTATGTCCTCGCCCATTTTGACTTTTTGAAAATTTACTCCGGAAATCAACAGTTGTCACCAAAGTAAGTGGACTTTACTACAATCATTCGGTTTTCACCTTAATTCGTCACTGGACATTTTACTACAACAACCTTTACATTTTTGCTGACTCACAACCTTATATTGGAGTTAAGTCATTTTCCAATAACTGAACATTTTGTTATCTATCAATGTATCGTTTGATTGTCATAAAAAATGTTTAAGACATTAAATTTATCTATGTCTAACATCTCCTAATTAGTTTTTTAAAATGTTAATTTTTACAATTCTTGCATAAGAACAATTTACATGAAATGAACAAATATAACAAAATTCTATTTTTATTAAGGTTGTTTTTCTGCAGATTGATACAACTGTAACTTACCAAAATGGTTTTACTTATTTTAATATTTCATATAAGCATTTTGTCTTCTTTAAGTGCCCTTAATATCAACCATAAAACAATAATCTATCATATCTATTTTGGCTATCTTATGTAAGTATAAAAAAGCATATTATTAAGTATTATTTACAATACAAGCTCTTCAGATAGTCTAATCAAAGCATAATATATTTAATTATGATATTGCATTTCACCTATAACATATGAATGCTTAAAAGATTAGCACTACTTTGAGTAGTAATTCTCTTTGTAATTAATGTGTCCTTGATGATGATGTACAACTTTTGTATCTTCTTATCTCTATTGTTACTATTACTGTTTTTTACAAACTAATGCTGCCTACTGCTAATATTTGTTTTTAAGTTATTATATTATATTTGATAGATATTTTAAAATTGATTTAATACCATTCAAATCCCTTACCTGAGCAGGTATTCCTAACTTAAATGGAATGTCATCATCTTACCTATTATTTTCTTAACTTACCATGTCATGGTTTAAGATATATACATAATTCCTTAAATATATATTATATTTTCTGTTTGATAAAATATTTAAATATGTAAAAAATGGATTGTTATCTGTAATTAAGTCTAATTTACTACTAATCTCTAGGTACACATTTTTAGAACTTTTATTTTTATAGTATGATAAACTGTAAACTGTATTTAATTTAACTAAGAATTATCTTTTTTGTGAACAAAAAAAAAATTACATTTAATAATTCTATATTTAGAAATATAATAAAAATATTGCGTATTAGCCAGTATTAAACAAAACAATTAAAACACAAAATGCATACAGATAATGAAAAATAATAATTACAATTAACACATTACTTTGTGTTGTCATTAATTATTAGGTTAACAATTTATGGTTGGTGGAAGCAGCTGATATCTATAGTCTAATGCTTAGTGGTCACTAAATATTATGTAAAGAAAATATTAATTAAATTCGCTAGTAATTGAAAAACGATTGAATGTTTATCACAATTAAACATAATACGGCAACAGGAAGCAGGGGCTAACTACGCCAATATAAACTAAAATTCCAATTAAATTAAAAATGTTTATGTATATGTGAAATAAGAAGCTCTTGTCAGAACTATTTCTTACATATGAAAAAAAATAATTAAAAAAGACGAATAAAGAAAAAGTTAAAACATTTTGGTTCAAATAGAATTGAGAAATGAACAGACAGCTAATCGGAAAAATTGAAGGAAATAAAAAATTACGGATAGATTTGTTTTGTTAATATATTTCTTACGTTTTTCATTAGAATTGTTGTTTATCTCTATATACAATCAGTGTGTATGATAAGTACTTAGACACGTGACTTTGGCATCACCACTCCATTACAATTTTTAGAACTACTTCAACTTTGTCTCCTTTTTCAAAAAACTTAAATAAAAATATAAAACACCAAATTAATTGTATTCACTTATGTATTTTTTTTTTAACTAGACATATTTTAATTTACAAAATATCTTAATTTTGCTTTTGAATATCATAAAATTCTACAAGAAAATGTATGAATTTTATTATTTTACTTGTAAATACCCAATTTTTAAACTAATATTTCTAAAATATATTAATATTCAAGTATACATACCTCTAATTTGTTACTATAGTCTGAATTTTACCAGGACCTTTTTTTATATCTTCTTGTTGTTTAGAAATTATAGTTTTAAAAAAGTAAATCATTTATAGTTTTATTAAACTAATATCGCAAAAAAATGTATTTTTTTTCATTTGCATAAACAGTAGTCTTCAATTATAAAAATATCACATGTCCATTAACTATTTATGTATGGTTTCAATAATCAATAAATTATATCATACCACATCTTTAAAAAAAAAAGTTTGCTAACATTTGTGAATTGAATACTTAATAAAATAGTTTTAATACAAACAAAATGTATATTTTAGCTAATAAGCATAGTCATTGGTTTGATAAAATATTACTTTAAATTACTTGTTATAAACTTATAGTATAAGAGGTGTTTATTTTAATTAAACCACTTTTTACAGTGTTGTTTTTTAAGTTTATCAGTACTTTGGTAATTTAGTATGTTCCTTTTTTCTTAACATTTATTGAATTCTATATTCTAACATAAGCATAGCAAGTATTTTTAAATCTTGTTTATATTATAAATATAATTAGTTTTTTTCTTGTATAATACAATCAATTAAATAACAGTTAACCAGTATTACTTAATATACAGACTATAGTATAGGTACTGTTACATACAACTTATGTTTCATTGGTTATAGAAAATGCAATTTGCTATTTTCGTATCATAGTTTTATTATATTTTTGTTTTAGATGAAAAAACGAGAAGAAATGCAAGTAAATGTTGCAGGCCTTAGAAGAAATATTAAGAACATTGCACATAATTATTCTGATGCTCAAGTAAGTAAAATTATTAAACTAAATTTTTGTTAATTTACTTAGTATACTTTCACAACATATATTATATTTATATCACTTTTCCTATCTTTTTATATTGACCTAGTTTTTAATTTGTTTTAAAATCTTATTAGTCACGCTTTATACACTATGCGCTTCAAACATGTTAAAATAAATTATATATACTATGTGTAGTATGAAATCATAATTTATACATAATATATAACAAGTCATAATTGTAATTTAGATAAAAGTACGAGAGGCAACCAGTAATGACCAATGGGGTCCAAGTAGTACCCTTATGTCTGAAATTGCCGATTTAACTTATAATGTAGTAGCGTTTTCGGAAATAATGGCAATTCTATGGAAACGGTTAAATGATCATGGACGAAATTGGCGACATGTCCATAAAGCACTTATTCTTTTAGAATACTTAATTAAAACTGGCAGCGAAAAAGTATTTAAAAAAAATTTAATAATAATCAGTTGAGTTATGCTAATAATTTTATGACATGCAATTTACAATTAGGTTGCCCAACAATGTAAGGAGAATCGTTTTGCTATTAAAACATTAGAAACTTTTCAACATATTGAGGATAACAAAGATAAAGGACAGAGAGTACGAGATACCGCAACGCAATTAGTGGCATTACTGGATGATGATGAACGGTTAAAGACTGAACGAGCTCGTGCAATAAAAGCCAAAGAGAGATCTGTACAAAAGATTTCTAGCTTTGGTAGTGATGGAAATGTAAGGATAAATTTTATTTAACATTTATAAATTAAATAATGGTGGTGGTTGTTTTTCTTTTTTTTGTACGCTATACAATTGGTGTAGACAACTCCTCAAAGTCCTAAATATCCATTGGTAAGTCAATAATAAAGAATAATATTATTTTCAGCATATTTGCATGAAGTACTATATTAACATAAACATTAACCTTATTAATCAAATCATTTAAAAAAAAAAACCTATACAATGCAATAATTATCTTAACCAGATACAGGGGGGTTCAAGATATTTTGACAACTTTACATATAATTTACTATTATAATGTTGTGTGTAATTTATAAATTATTAATTTTTTTTTAGTTCCGAGAATCGTATGGCTTATATGATACACGACCTCCTGTGAAAGGTATTTAGAACTTTTGTTTCGTATTAATAATTATTATTATTGTTATTAGTATTTTTTTTTTTCAAAATATATAATTTATTTAAGCTGAACTAGAAAGTGCACGACCCCAAACAGCTGGTGAAGAAGAATTACAACTGCAGTTGGCTTTAGCTATGTCTAGAGAAGAAGCTGAACAAGAAGAGCAAAAAAGAAGAAGTGATGAAGTACGATTAAAGCTGGCGTTGTCCCAAAGTGAAAACGAATTTAAGTAAGTTGAGTTTTAAATATTAAAAGAATTGAAAACTCTGAAACATTATGTTGAAATGAGTTTCTTTTTAAAACACTAACAGACAATATTTAAGTAGTGGTTCCGATTCTGGAGCTAATAGTAGCAACGGCCGAAGCAGTAACATGCTGGACTTATTGGGTATCGATTTAGATAATACGGAAAGTGATAAAAATGGTGTAGCTGCAGATCCATGGGGCATGCCAATTAAATCTCAACCTCAAGTCCAACCTCAGGTATATTTTTGTGATATTTTAACTAGAAATTCTACTTAAATAAGTTAATATTTTGTTGTTTCAAATTCCAGCCTTTGAATTGGTCAAATGGAGATTCTATAGCGACACGTGCAGCTGACCCTTGGTCACCAGTTACACATAAGCAACCCGTTTCTTCTACAGCTCACGTTTTACCTGGTGTATTGAGTGAAAGTAAACATTATTTACATGATATAAATTGATTAATAGTTACCAGTTTGTGAGTTAAATATGTATTAATTTTTAAATAAATTTATGAAGGTGCAGACCCTTGGCAGTCTACAGCAAGTGCAATTCCGCCGCCTGATCCTTGGGCTCCAACTACAGTTTCTCAGCCTATAACCAAGCCAAATCAAGAATTCGATGAATTCGCTCTTTTAGGAAATAGACCACAAACCAGTATGTATTCTTAAATATTTACCTCACATAGTAATTTGGGTTTATAAATGTGAATATATTTATATTTTAAAAATTCTATAGAACCTGCTACATCAGATCCATTTGACTTATCCCATTTAAACAACGAATTATTAGCTGCTCCGACATCAACTTTGACATCAGATAAAAAAACTCCTCATAGTTTTTTGGGAGAAAATTCAGCTTTGGTTAATTTGGATAACTTAGTTACAGCTCCTGTTAATCTTCCGCCCGTAACTCAAGTGCGACCAACTGGTACGTAAAATTATAAGTGTACTTATGAGATATTTAATAAAGCAGGTTCGGGACTTGAAGCATTAGATGCTTATATATGCTTTAAAATCTCATTATAAGCAATTTAAAAAAATGCATTTTAAGAAAAAGAGAGATAACAAAAACAATAGTAGCCCAATGAAATATCCGCTAATAGAATAGAAAGGCAAAATTATTTTTAATTTTAGTACCATCACACACACGCACACCTGACATTAGAAAAAAATATTACAAAACAAAAAACGCCTGTACTAGGCAAAATTCTAAAGAGCTAATTAAAATAACAAATAGCATTTGTTAGAAAGATAAGCAAATTAAAATTTAAGATTTGAAATTTTCATAGCATGATATAAGTTCTCATAGCACTCTGCTTGACTTTATGATATGTCAAAATATAAACAAATACTTTAAGTCTCAAACCCTGTTTATAAGTAATGTATTTATCTATTTGAGTATTTAATAATTATTTTAGGTATGGTGAATCCGTTTGGCTTGACACCACAACCTGCTTTTGTGGCACAACCAACCAACGCTACAGCCTTTAGTGGTGCAGCAACTTCCAATCTGCCACCGCCACTAGTACCATCCCCAAATCCATTTCTGTCGTAGCAAAGTTAAAACAAATTTATAAATTAACTGTCAAAAAATGATTATAACGAAGACATATTTTATTATTATGTAAATAAAATAATTAAACAGAAAAGAAAACTGCTTGGAAACAAAAATTGGGATTTAACAATACATAAAATATTTAATATTTATTTAAACATAACTGTTGTAATTTAGAATTGTAATTTTAGTTGTTTTACTTTGGTAATGATTTTATAGATATTACCTATGGCATTTGTAAAAATGAGTGATGGCTAGTGTAAATTTGAGTGGTAAATTATTTACAGATTTTTTTATTCACCTCAGTATAATATTTATATTTAAAACCTAATATATAATTTTAAAAATTAAATAAAATACTGTTAGATTAGATATTATTTATATTAATGATTGAACTTTTAAAAATTATATACTACTAGGAGTGCCTATTAAATGTGTTTCACTTAGCTCAATATGATTGGATAAAAACTCCAATACACACTTTAATATAGTGTAAACATTAGTTCTTAAACTTTATTGTAAACGTCCCAAATAATTTTAAAACATACCCAACTGAATTTGTTTTGTGTGTATTTTTTACACAAAAGAGTGAGAGCTTATAAAATATATTTTTTTAAATAATTTAAAAATCCACTTAGGTTTTATTAAAAAAAAAATTATGAATAACATTGCTTTTGGTGACTGCCTTTTATTATAGTGTATAATATTTGAACTTTGTGTTGGTGTAGATATCGACAGCTAGTTTTTATAACGATTGTTTTTTTTTTCAATAATTTTATTATACCCAATGTATTTATATATTTTCTTAATATAATATTTTATTTTGTTAATTCAATTTTTTTTTCATACAGCCGACAACTGAATAATTAATTTTGTATAACGAGTTATACCAGGGAATCAAATTCAAATTAATTTCTTGAGCACCAAACATGTTATGAATAGTATCCATTGACAATCGCTAACTAGGTCTCATAGTTACTCTTGTTTGTAACAAATGTATTTGTTTTTAATTTAATTTATTGGAAGTGTGTTTGTATAAAATATTCATTTTTGATGTGCTAAAATATTATTTATCTAAGGCCACAGTATTACAAAAAAAACACCGTGACAGCCCTTTCAACATCTCACTAATATTAACAATAACATTGTACACCTTGTATAGTTGTTGTATATCTTGTAACAACAAAACACGTATAAGGTTCATGGGACATTCGTAATGACCTCAAAAGATCAAATGTTATTGGTGTCAGTCGGGGATTGCTATCTAATACTTATCTACTGTTTACATTGTAAATACTTTGATGCTATGAACATTGTCAATATTCGATAAGGGATAACATTATTGGAACTAATGGATAATTAAATCGCACACATTTGGTAGGTATTTAATTATCCATTATAATATATGTTATTGGTTATAATTGTTTTTTTTTGCGTTTTGAAAACAAAAAAGGTTTATAAACCACAATTATTGATTTTACCAATATGAAGTCTGCACTTCAGACTGTTGAATTGTGCTATCAGTATAGATCGCTGTAGAGACTTTGTACATCTATAGCGCACTGCATACTTAGTTTCATTTTAATGCACTGCAAAAAATAATATACTCGAGTAACAATAATATTTGGTAAACTGTACTACGACGGGACACGGGTGGTCCATTAACCTACGAGTCTCGTGCATTGCTGTGCACAATTGGTATAGTAGTTTTATTTACTTAGTAAGTAAATAGATTGGATAGTAGTTTAAATTTGTCAATTATCAATATGATCGAATTATTAAGAATTAGTTGGAGCCTTTAGAACAGTTTGTTTTCAGAATAATAGTGCCGACCGTATGGGGTTGCACGTATGTCGTACATATTTTAATGGTCATGTATTATGAACGTAGCCTTATTGAAACACCTACCAGGCAAGTCCACGTTTCAACATTTCTAGCCTACAACGTGAAAGGAAGCCACTTTCGCTTAGGTCTGCAAATGCAAAAAAGAGAAAACAAACATGTTCGACCATGTGTATTGAAAACAAATAATATAAATCACATAGTTTAAAAAAAAAGTATATATTATGTTTTTTCCATATACAGGAAATTATTTAAAAAAATTATAATCTTTATTCTTAAATTATTAAATATGAGTGTATTAATTATTATGTTTTATACACCAACCTATAATGATTTATACATATATATATATATATATATATATATATATATATATATATGTCCCGACCCGGCGTTGCCCGTGTATTAGAATCACGAATTAAGATCTTAAATCGTGATTAGAATAGAAAGACAATCAGCTGATTGGATCACTGTATCCCTGTGGTATAAAAAACCATAGACGTATTGATACTATTGATAATCATAATTAATCGTTTTAATTAATTAAAAATTAAAAACATGTTCTGTCGAATCAAATTGTGAATCTAAACCTTTCTCGAATCAACTTAATCGCGCACACAAAATTTCATAAATATCTGTCCAGCCGTTTAGGAGTTTGCATACTTACACACGGATGTGTGTATTACAATGTATATATAAAGATATATATATATATATATAAATAGTTATAATATGTAGTTACAGAAGAATTAATTTTCTAAAAACCAACATTTATCGGGAAACGTTTTTGAATTTAACATTTCTGAAAAATTAGGTATCGACGATTAAGTGATTTTAAAATAGGAAAATTATATATGTGTTTATTGTAAACATTTTGCATTCATCCTTACTTCTTAGTTAAAAAGGGTCCTTTTATTGTTATTTTATGACAATGTTTTCTATTTAGCAAGTATATAAAAATATATTTACAGATGGTATATAAATAAATAGAATATATTAATTAAAAAAAAATTTTTATCTAGAAAAACCAAGAAAATCGCCTAGGAAAATGAACTACCAGATTGTCTCAGTTTCCAGTCAACTTATATAAAATTCATAATTCAATACCATATACATTTTTTTTTAGTTTTCTAAAAATATTGTACTTATTTATAAAAAAGTTTATTGAAAAATGTTTTTACGTTCAGAAGAGAATACAATAAAGCAAAAAACATTATTATTGACGATTTTGTGGTTGTAGGTTATTTTTAATTTCTTATAAATTCATTTTTGATAGTTTTTAAAAAACTGGTTCAACGGAAAACGGCTGTGGCTGTGCGGTAGGCTTTAACGAGCGCAACAACAGTATTCAGAAATACTGGATGACGGATGTCCCGTTTCCGGAGGGGGGCTTTGCACCGTGTAGTTTACACGTTAAGTGATCGTACACCTCCCACCGCCCTTATTTATGGTGTGTAATTATTGTGGAACGCAGTACGCACCGACACCGTCACCGACCGTCAACTAGCCTGCTGAGTGCTGATGCCACCGGGCACCGACTGCCGCTCATCGTCAATCAATAATCTATATAGGCGAGCCGCGAGTGGCGACCCCGCCCGCTGCCACTATGCACACGTCATCCGGCTGTCCTTGAGCTCGGCACAACTGAACAGCTGATTCGCCGCTCCACAGCAGTCGAATAACTGGACAAGCATTATTATTACGGCGCAGTTGTTTTGTACTTTGGTCTTAGGCGTGTTGGTGTCCGTACTCCGTACGCCTTAGTCGTCGTTTTGTAAACATTGCGTATGCACTGCTGCGCTTTGATTGTGTAATTTTTTGTTTATTGCATTTCGGCTTTACATCGTACGTGTCGTGTTGTCGTCAAATTACCAACAGTGAATATACAGTAGCCCGTTTTTGCCCAAATTCTAGTATTGAAACCCCAATTCCGGTCGGAAGCCTTTGAAATGTCCGACGGCGAAGGATCGGCGCAAACGGCCACTGTGGAAACGGGCCAAGTGGAACTGGAACAACAGCAGACCACGGTGATCACCACCAAGGAGGATGACGGTGAGCCAAATCCGAAAAAGCTGAAACTGTCCGGTGGCGGAACGGACGGCAGACAGCAGCAGCAGCAGACGGTGTCGGACAAGTTGGAACACAGGCTGGGAGGCATACTATGCTGTGCCGTGTGCTTGGATCTGCCCAGATCAGCCATTTATCAGGTGAGTGCGCTCGGCCAACTGGCGTGTCCCGACTTTCCTCGTCTATTTCCGTCATTGTTTTGGTTCGACCCGCTGGGCGCTCACATAAGACATTCACAGCTGACCGCAGATCAATGACATTATTGTGCGAAATTTCTTTACCCGTCATTCTTTCTCTCAGACCATTATTTACCTGTTCGTTTGTTTTCACTTAAATGGTCTTTTTTTATTTTGATGGAATCCCAAATAATTTAAATTGCGTTAATATACGACGTATACCCTTCCCCCCCCTATCCACGAGCTTGAGACCCTCATTGACTGACGACTGTGCAGCGAAATGACGCAGTATTCTTGTATACCCCTCAGTTGGCCAGCGGCCGAATAGTCTAAACGCAATGTTTAACGTATTGCTTGTTAACGATTTCGTGACAGGTTTTGCGTGTTTGGAAACAATAACACTACTCGATACAAGATGAATAAATAATAAACTACGAAACTTTTCTTTGGCCTATCATAACTCATAAGTATCTAAATATACTTGCTTTATTTTCGTACCTATCGGGAATTTTCGTTTCATTTCTGTTTTTGTATACGATTATGTCCGAGACATTTTATTTGACTATTTCGCATTGGTTTCTATTAATAACATTATATTTCTTTGCTCATCCTTTTCGTACGCAAACATAAAAAACTGACAAAATATTTAGAATTAACCAATAATTTTCATTTGGCTTGGGTTAAAATTTCCAACTAGAGGGCTTAGTATATAAAATTAGGTTACACAAATTTAAAAAAATGTTTGTATTTAAATGTATGTTACATTTTTAATTTCTTATTGGAAGTTAGTTATTAAATTATTTTATAAAATAGATTAAAAAGTTTTTAATTAAATTTTTTTTTTTGTATGATGCCTAACTTCCTTTTGATTTTTAGCCACAATTAGCAATGTTGACTATATTCTTATGTCGATAATGAATTTTTAAAATTCAATTTTTGTTCACGTTATCCCTCTTTTTAAATATTATATTTTTAAAATAGAAATTACTTTTTACAAGCACTCAAAATTTGAACATTTCCAATACAACCTATAACCTATAGACCTTAAAATCTTCAGTAAGTATGAGTATACTATAGGTTTCATTTTTTACCCCTGAATTATATTATTGGAATGTGTAAACAAATTTGCAACTTGATATAAACTAACATACCTATACATAATATATTTCAAAATATAATATGCTTTTTTTCATTTTTTTTATTTTGGCGTTAACAAATTAACTCAAAATTACAAATAAAAAAAAATTTGCTTTATATAATTGTTATTATTTAGATAAATAAAACTGTGTTTAGATACCCAACCAGTCATGGTCGTTTATTTTGCATATTGTAATAAATAACAAATTAAAAAAATTAAGTTTGTGTTAAAATTGTCATTATTCTTGTTATTATAATTTTTTTATTGGCGCTTATGACAAATCTTAAATCAAAATATAGGATATTGTGTCCCCACGCACTCTTTCTTTGTAAGTGTCAATATGTATGTTGTATTTGTGCTTATCACACTTGTAATAATATAATCATTGGTTGTTGACAGTGTACAAATGGTCATTTAATGTGTGCTGGTTGCTTTGCTCACTTATTAGCCGATGCACGATTACGCGATGAAATGGCAACATGTCCCAATTGTAGAGTTGATATTGCCAAAAATACAGCAACCCGTAATTTGGCTGTTGAAAAAGCAGTCAGTGAGCTACCTGCCGAATGTCAGTTCTGCGCTAAAGAATTCCCACGTAACTCTTTACAACATCACGAACAACAACTTTGCTCCGAGCGGTAAGACTTAAATTGAATGTATTAACAGCATTATATTTATATTTTTTTTAAACTCTTTTTACAATTAGCCCGGTAAAATGTGGCTACAGTAAAATAGGCTGTCCGTGGAGGGGCCCAAGTCACGAAGCTTCTGAACACGGAAAGGTTTGTCCACATCCATCGGCCACTGGCAAAGATGTTATGTCTGCCCTGGAAGCAATAGATCAAAAGTTTCAAGAAGAAAAACTCTTGTATGACACTATATTCGATTTAATGAGTTTCGAAAAGATCACATTTAATGGTAAAATTTAAATAAAATTACCAGCTGTTAATTTTTATCCATTTGTGACAATTGAACATTCAATTTTTAGATTTGCAGTTAAAACCTTACAGAACAGAAGAGTTTGTACACAAATTGTACTATGAAACTGCAAGATTTTCAGCATTCAACTTCCAGTGGGTTGTGAAAACTCGTATTAACAATATGCAAAGAGATCCAGCGCTTAGTGTTGATCGTCATATGTCTTACCAGGTAAATGATGCATGGTAACTGTAGAATCGAAAATGTGTATTATTCATAAATATTTACAAAATTGTGTTGCTGTATTTATTGTAATGTTTGTAATAACTGTAATTTTTTAATTTATTTATTTTGTAGTGAAAACTGGTAAGTTATATTAGTTTTAAGACCCGAAAAGAACACAAATACTATATAATTACATTTTACCCACTTATATAAACACAAATGCGTAAAACTCAACCACAAATATCCATGTGCGTGTCCGTCCTTTTTAGCGTTAGGTCACAACTCGACTTTGGATACCGCTCAACACCATATTATTATATAAAGGACTCTCGACTAATAACCGCTGTGAGAGCAATTGGGATAATCATATAACAGAAAGCCGATGGAACAAGATTTTTTCTAATATAATATTAAATGTACACCGATGCCAAGAGCGAACATCACAATACTTCTGCGACTTCATGGTATGGAAACTCAAATCAATCTATCGCTGAATCGGCACATGCACAACAAAATCATTTTGCCATCTATAAAATGTGTTTCTTTTTTTGTTTTTGCCCATTACTCTACGTTCGCCACATCTAGACACATAATACCATATTACTGCCGAAGAGATAACAACGGATGAAACATCATCAAATCACCCAATTTGGATTGAACCAATGGATTTTTTTGTATAAACATTTTTGTTTTTTTCCACGTTTCTAAAGTAAAAACTTTATGGATTCTTTTTATTATTCTTGCTAGGTTATGTTTTTATAATATTGTATATTACAAACTTTTTAAAAATCAATTCATGTAATAATAAATAATATTTATGGGTAAGCTTTGGTAAGTCATTGTTCGCTATGATATGCTTTTATTTTCATTTTTCTGTTGATCGGTAAGTCTTGCTATAACTTAAAAGCATTGATAATAATTTGGGTTGAGTTTTTGTTTTCAGGTGCGCTCGGACTAATATAATGTATAATATTTTATTATTAATACTTACAGGATTATTTTATAGGTCTTTACTCTATTATTTTACTATCTCAAAAATACTAATAGTAATTTTTTTGTTTTTTTTATTCATTCCTCTGTTTCCTTTGCACTTTGAATTGCGTCATCACTGTGCCCATGTCCAATCAACAGCTAATACTGAAAACAAAGACAGCTACACCCATGACCGTCCATTATCTAGTGGTTAAAGGACCGTTTGGAGATATGAAGGTGAACCCAAAAATTTATAAGTTTGAGTTCAACGAGAACGAAACGGAGACCCAATTTGTGACACTACCATTACCAGACTCAGCCGAATGCAATCGGTTGTTAGCTGCTAAAACCATAAACATCCGGTATGGATACATTTATTTTATATATTTTTTTCTTGAAATAATAGTAGTTAATATCTTCAAATATTTTTTTTTTTTAGGTTGATCATGTTTTTGGTATCAAAGTGATTGGGTGGAAATGTACAAATAAGTTATATTTAATAATGATTATCTATTGCTGTTTACACATTATATTTAGATTTATTATGTTTTTTTCATCATTATTTATTTAGTCATAGGAAATAGGAATTCTAGCTTTTTTTTTTCAACTTAACGATGCATATTAAGCTAATTTTTTTAAAAGTTCTAGAGTTTATTTTAATTTAAATAATTTATTTTTATTTTGTGTTATTGTTGACGTCATTCCCTTATTCCACTATGCCATGCAGCACGTTTATCTTCCTCATCGTATTGTATTTATTAAAATTTTATTGAATATAAATAAAACCAATATGATACTCTACTTTAATTTATGCCTTTTTTTATATCAATAAGAGTACTAAAGTATAGTTAACTAAGAAAATTAACAATAATAAAATTAGCGTTATGCAAATTGTTCTTTTATTGCCGCTTGAGTTTTAATTGTGATTAAATTAAAGAAGTTTCATGAATAGATAACTATGAGAAAAACCTTTACCACAATAAAATTACTTATAAAATATATACGCGTATTTCAGCAAATATGTTGCCATCTTCAGCGTTACCATTGTCTGCAGACAGAAATAATTATACTTGTACTCGGTCTAAAAGTATCTTAAAAAGTAATAAGACAAAAATATCAAATGATAAATATATAATAGTTTAATAAATAAATCCTCATGGAATGAAAAAAACGAACAAAATAAACTGTGTAATAGACAATTTCACATTTAAATAAAAACAAGTATAAACGTTTTTTCTAAATATTATTAACACATTAAAGTGATAAATTCCAATACCAAAATATTTAAACAGTACACCCTATCCTTTTATATAATTTGATCCCATTAATCACAATACATAATCTATAAACAATATCCTTATAATTTGGCATCAGTATTTAATGCTTTTAATTTTTGGGCTAACATAAGATTGCCTTTGATTTTTAATTTTCCTTTCATAAATGCCATTTGAGGATTTAACTTCCCTAGTGCCTGTAAAATATAAATCAGATAATTTATAATTCTAAAATATTTTTTTTTAATTATTACCAAATCGATCATATCTGTATCATCAATGGTCAATGTTGTATCTGCTTTAACTCCTTTTTCGGGTTCGCCTTTGTAAATTTTGCCCGTTTTTAAATCGGCAGCTAAATAAGATTTTATTTAATTAGAATTCAAATGTAAAAAATATATTTAAATGAACCCTTATTGGGCTATCATGCTGATGAATTTTTTACGGTCTATTATATAGAATTATTTTAGAGGGTTAATAGATTTTAACCTGATATGCCGCCGATGGATGACACTTGTCATTTTTTAAAAAAAATTAGCAACAATAGAAACCACACTTACTCCAAGATTTGACAACTTTTCCATTTTTCGTAATGTGGTACAAAAACACGCCATTAATCGTCTTGACCAAACTAGGATTGGAATCTATGCGTTCTTGCATTCCTTGGAATACCGCATCGCTAGGTAACTCTTCAACGGCGTCAGCGCACAACACCACATGAGGTTTGGCCGGCAGGTTAACTTCGTGCAATTCCATGTATGCGCCTAAAAATTAGAACTAACAGTAAACGCGATTGCCATAAGGCCAGACACACAATATAACAATTTTAGTTTTATCAATTAAATTTATGTACAACAATAAATTTATTTTATACATATATAATTCACCTTGTAAAAACAATATCGACAAACAAAACTACGCCAAATACAGTGAAAAATAATGTATATATAATAACAGAAAACATAAGATAAAGTTGTTGCAACATAATTATATTACTATCATACAGTGTAATTGAACATTATTGTTAAGAAACCTGTTGATTCTAGACTTTGAAACTCATTGTATGTAAATATTATTTGAAATGGGTCAACAGGGCATGTAGTTAAGTATCGACATAAATTACCAAGTGCTGAGTGACTGTAGACAATTCAACTACATGACTTTTTTTTTTAAGTCTCATGATAACAATATAATATTGTAGTCACTAATAACCTAGACCTAATAATTTATTATACTATTATCGTTAAACAATTTAAAATACATAAATCTCTACTAACCTGATAAGACTCTGGAGTTTGTTTCTTGAACAGTAGTGACAAAGTGAATGCGGTTCCCCTCCCTCCACATAGATGTTTGTAACGTTTGGCCAGGAAAAACAGGTTTACTGAATCTCACCTAGAGGTCACACAACAACAGTAAATACATTAATGAAAGCAGCTGTTAACCCTCACATTCAATTTCATGAATCATGGCTACAAATCATTTAAATATTTTTTAACAATGCAGTAATTGCTTTTAATAAGAAAATTACAACTAAGTGTCTAATAAGTAATAACATTTTAGAATATTTAATTTTTAATTAATATGCATTTTTTTATTTTCAATTATTCAATTATTAAAATAGCTAAGTTAAATTAGGCAAGCTGAATAAATAATTAACATACTACCCATAATAATAAATAGGCTCCATCATTTTTTTTTAAAATTATTATTACAATACACGGAAGACCATGGTATAGTCAAATTTACTAACTAAATATATTTTTAAAAAATAATATTAATAAACAGCCTATACCAGTAATGAAAAAAAAAAAAATTGTATTTCTATGAATTATGAAAATACGATATTGAGTTTTGTTTTGTGTACAATTATGAAAATGGGAAAATTGTATAAGATGGTATATTTAATTAAAAATAAGTATTGCCCAGATCTCATTAAAAAAAAATTACTTTTGAGTTTTGGTTGAAATTTGTATTTTAGAATTATGTGTTTGTTAGTAAAAGTTCCGTTGCAGCCTTCTTTATTCTGTTATACATTTTTTACTTAGGCCCATGACATGTAGGTATTGTACTAGTTTTGATAAAATTTACCTTGAGAGATTTAAATTTTTTTGGATCATTGTCTGCGTATTGCTTCAATATATGGCGTACTGACATGCCTAAAGTAGCAAGTCCGTGTAGTATTGGCGATTGATAACCAGCAACCGAGGCAAAAGATGGATCAATGTGCAAAGGATTGAGATCCCCAGATAATCTGTAAACAGCCGCCTTAAAAAATTTTAAAAAATACATGTAAATTATAATGACCATTTGTTGGAAACAGAAAATTGCAAAGATAAAAACTAAAAGGCGCAAAAAATATCCCATTTACTTGATTAACGGATGTCTTCTCGACAACAGTGGAATCTGGAGACCGTTTAGGTTCATCAAGCGGGGAAATTACTACATCTGAAGAACGTTTACCTCCGAATCCACCAGCCGATACTACAAATATACATATTTGAGTGGTTGCGATCAAATCATCATTTTCATCGTATGTTTTCCCTGAAAATTATTTCAACCAATATTTAATAACTGAAAAAAAATCACAAACATTTAAAACTACATCAGAATGTTTAACATTAAAAATTTTGAAATACATAAATAAATAAATAATATATAATGAGAAATTAAAATTACAAATTGTCTGTTGTGTGATTTTCGAAATAAAATAAATCATAAAAAAATGCATACCATCAACGACAATGACTGCGTTTTTTCCTTTATCCACAACATCTGAAACACTAATTTTGGATGTCAGTTTACCTTCAACAGGCATAGGTTTGTGCAATTCTAAATATTGTTCGCCGTGTAAAACCTAGTAACAACAATAATCAATAACTACCAATATGAGATTCAATACACAAATGTATCCATTGTTACTTGTGAGTAATCAAATTCTTTTCCCGGTATTGCACTTGAAATAAGAATACTACTCATTGTCGCCATTAAACTAGGTAAAATTGCATACGATGGTAACGCTGAGAAGCTATCGTGAGATTCATATAAATATTGTAAATCGCTTTCTTCTTTTACATTAGCTCCAACTGTAAAACAATAAAAAATATTCTACTTTATACTATAAAATTGTATTTGTTTTTAATTTAAATATATATCCTACCACCAATAGCATACATGATTGAATCTCTATTTGTGAAACTAAATACGCTATTTGATTCATTTTCGACTTGAGGTAGGCCAGATTTAATTTCATCCAATACATTTAATAGAGTCGATGATGCCTCCTGAATAAAATTATCAATTGCCATTATCCAATTAATTTATACCAATCTCAAGTAATCTTAAAATATCTTACTTCAATAGAGTTTAGTCTAGTAGCTTGAGACATATCAGTAAGTTCACGCCAAACATCACGCACATTTTCAGGAGAGACTGAATCCGTAATCCTATGTCTAAGCAGAGCACCTTTGCCTCTAACCAAATAGCCTGTAATTTAATAAGTGTTATAAAACCATTTTGCATCAAAGCTAAAACCCTATCAAAATGGTACATTACATTTTGTAGCCCATCCGGCAGCCGATTCTATAATAGAACCATTTTCTTCGCAACTCTCGTGACAAAGCCATACAACTACTGGTGCAATAAGTTCGGGTTTCAACTCTGCAAAAAAATCTGCACCAGAAAGGAGAAAAATAAATAAATTTTTTAATATTATATAAAATATACAATTTTACCAGGGGGTAAAATATCTTCGGTGAGTCGAGAAGCTGCTGTCGGCACAATAACATTACAATTGATATTGTTCTTTCGACCTTCAATTGATATTGTATTACAAAGGCCTACTAAACCAAGTTTTGCTGCACTATTTAAAAAATGTACAGATATCTTTTTAATAATTTTCTATAAGTATCATATTAACCAAAGTTCTTACGAGTAATTTGCCTGTCCAAAGTTTCCGTAAAGGCCAGAATTTGAACTTGTAACAATAACACGGCCATAATTTTGTTTACGAAAATGAGGCCATGCGGCTTGTGTAACTTTAAATGCTCCTTTCAAATGAACGTCATGAACCAAATCTATTAAAAATTAAAAATGTATTTAGTGATTTGTTCAACGTTGACATACTAATAGCAGTTATATTACTCCAGTCAGATTCGCTTATCCGAGCAAATGATTTATCTCTAAGTATACCAGCATTGTTCACAACCACATCAACACGTCCAAAATTATCAAGAGCAGTCTGTACTAATTTTTCACCCTCAATTACAGAGTGGTAATCTGGTACCGCTTTACCGCCTGATTACAAAATGACATTTTAAAAAAAGTGAAATTATAAAAAAGGTCATTTTTTATTTAAATAATTTACCTTTGGCTCGTATTTCAGAAACAACGGTATCTGCTGCTTTGCTGCTACTTCCATCTCCGGATCGGCTACCTCCAAGATCATTGACAACAACTGAAGCTCCCCGTTCAGCAAACAATAACGCGTAAGCTCTGCCCAAACCTAAATACATAATAATATTAAATGTTCAATGGTGAATAATAATGTTTGTTTTTTTATGAATTTATCATAATTGTATTTATATTTTACTTATTGATTACATTATTATACAATAGATAGATTAGCATTTAAAAAAAAATGTATTTACAAATTCAAACTATAATACAGATATTCGTTTTAACAACTTAGAGAGACAAAACAAGTGCATGACTTATTGTATTTAAACAAGTATTTGAACATTTTCTCCCTGGTCATCTTTTTTCCAAGACGATATTCGATATACATACCTGCACCAGCTCCAGTTACAATAACAACTCGTCCATCAAATCTTAAATTATCCATATTATTTTTTTTATTTAAGTTTTTGTCAAAAATTACTTTTCATACTCTACTTATAGTCTGTAAAAAAAACACAAACGAAAAGTTTCTAGTAATTTAACTTAATTATCGCGTACAATTAAATAACATATAATAATTTATGCTTACACTTAAATCGTCTTAAGAATATTTAAATATTATTCATGAGTATATTACGTTGGAAATAATGTATCGTATTTAATATGTCGGGTAGGTAGTAGACACACAAAAATTAATTTAAAATCACAAAAATAATTTGCGTTTTATGTCTGAAAATTTACATAACAGAATTATTGACCGATGATAGTCGATAGACACATAGAAAGCCGTGTACTAATGAATTATACACGTCTAATTGCCCCTTCTCAACTGCATTTAAAAACTTTAAACTAATAATTATTAATTATCAATAGTCAACACTAGCTATAACCATTTACCACAAAATATATTACAGTGTCTTAGTTCGAGCAGACGTGAGTCGTGACGTGTTGTCACTCTGTTATCAGCTCTAATCTGTTGACAATAATTATTGTAACAGCTTCAATGTAAAGTGTACCTACCGACTGGCTATTTTATAATTTACATGTGCTATTTTTAGTTTCTTTAGTCATGGGATCTAACATTCTCGTATTATAAATTATAATGACTAATGTCGAATGTGTAAGCAGCTTTTCTTCCGCTTCAGTTACCATGATATAACGAGTTGGGGGTAGATCTTCCAAAAAATGATAACGTGTGATATAATGTACGAATTACTTTTACGATTGACTAGGTATTACAAAAAAAGATCAGAGATTTCGGTAGACCCCAGGCACAGTGCCTATGCGCTAATACGGTCCTGATAGGAGTGCTCCTAAGTTCCCACTGCGTTTTACCTCTTGGCTCTTACCTATTTATAATGATTTTAAATTTCTATAATACATTTTTAAAATAGTAAAACCTTAACAATATATTATTTCGTGGATTTCTGTGATTTATGAGTTTTTTCAAAATATTTCCTTAAAAATATACGAGGACTTCATGCGCCATTTTTCCAAAGAAGTACTTTTATCAAAAAAAAATTTAAAAAAAAACAAATCAACAAACAAACAAAATTATTATAAATATATTAAATAAAATATATAATTAGATTTTTCTTAAATGATGGTTCTATTTAAGCTGAATTTATAAACATTTTCTCCATAACGTTTTCAATCTATTTTTATGGGAAGCTGGCATACAAATTAGATCATATACATCAACTATATAATAAATAACATCAAAATGATAAAACATTTCACTTTAGATATATTTTATTATGAATTTGTTTCCCTTTAAATAGTAGTAGGCTAGTTTTGTTTTTGAGAAGGAGGGGTACAACCCACGGACCGCTCCCTTAGCTACGCTTGGTCATAATTGAGAACTGAGTATGTAGTTACGTGACGTAACTACATATCGACGCCCCGTACGAAAAGTAGCACCGTTCGTGAGTTCTTACAAAGACTAGCACCGTTCGTGCTATTCTTCCCATCGTTGCTAACAGTGCTAGTTTTCGTAAGAAATTCGTGAACGGTGCTACTTTTCGTAAGGTCATCGCCAACGGTGCGAGTTTTCGTAAGAAGCCTCGAACGGTGTTAGTTTTCGCTAGAACTAGAACGGTGCTACTTTTCATACGACGCGTCTAATTATAGTTTTTATGATGTAATACATATTATGTATATACTTCCAAGCTGATAAAATATGATAATTACTATTGAATTATATAATAAAGGTTAAGTAAGCTAAATTATTAACATGGTGAGTAAAATTAAAATATATAATGTATTTACGAGGATTTTTTGATTCAATGATTAAACTAACAAGTAGACTTAACTACACTTACATTTTACTGGCTGTATAATAGTAATATTCATGTATAGATGGGTATCAACTTTAATCCAACTTTACCAACTTTATTTACCAATAAAAATATTAAATGTAAAGTAATACTATAACTAGTCTATAATTTATATGTGAAGACATGGGTTTTATAATATAAAAGTCATAACATTTTGTACAATCGATATAGGTACAATAATTATAGTTTATAAACGTTCAAAGTAGGTAGGCATTAAAATAGAAATAGGCATTAAATATTTTTTGTATTTTAACTAATCGAAAAACGCCTATGCCTTATTTAATTTGAAATTTACTTAATGTGACAAAACACACGTTATAACTTATTTTCAGTAATATTTTTCGGAGAATCGTGCAACGAGGCTAAAAGTCGAGCAGCCTTTAAGTCGAATTCCGTATCAATTTCCAGACTCCTATTTACAGGTATCACAACCACTCCTAGTCTGAAGAAACAAAAAACGATTTTCATTTACTCAATAAACCTAAAAAAAAAAAACTGTATAGTTGGGCGTTATTCGAATTTGTTGACTTACTTTCCGCCTTGTAGCTTGTCGTTGACAACGAGCTTCCTGTGAGCAAAATAAAACATTCCGTTTTCCACGTATTCGCCTCCCCAGTCTTGTCTCCTTGGTCGTTTGGAAACGTCGAAATTCAATGGATGTAAATGACCGCCTAAAAAAACAAAATCCCATGTATTTATATACTGTTCCCACTTCCCACTTTTTAGACGCCGCCCGTGCGTGACTTACTGGAATCCAGAGTCCATCTTAGTTTGTGGCTTCGCGTTACCGAAAATACAGAATCAAATTTTTGTTGCACCGTCATCCTGTAAGCCTTTCCCAGGTAGTCGACGGTCAAAAAAGGCGATGTACATTGAATGACAGCGAAAATGTCAACCTTTTGGTGATACATGCTGAACTCTTTGAGGGCGCTCAAGGAGGTCGCCGTGTCCGAAGCCGTTTGATCGCTACGGCGGAACACTTTAGCACCGCCTAACTCGGCTTCGGCGGCGATTTCATCATCATCCGTTGACACCCATACGTCCTGAAATACTGTACGAAGAATAACAACGATTATGCAGGTGAGTAAACAGTATCAGTAGTGCAACCAAGGTGGGAAGGAAGTATTTTTTGGATGTCTAAACACATCCCAAAAGCTACGTTTATATAAAATCAGTGACGCAAATAAGTTTGCGTCACTGATTTTAGGGAGTGTTAACTCCCTAAGTCTTCAAAATTGCCCAACATGATTTTTGAAATAAAATGTTTGGGTTGAAATTATAGTAAAGCTCAAGCTAACATTATTTCAAAAAAATAGTATAGACAAGTAGTATGGACGGAGGGACTTTTTTCGTGAAACTTTAATTTTACACATTTTAACATATAGCTGTTTTAACGGCATTTTAAAAATAATACTGTAGAAAACATTCTCGAAACATAGGCGCCTATGTTCAAAAAATATGTCAAATTTACATCCAAAGTCGTTAATTGTATTCAGTGTTCTCCGCAAAAGAGTGGTATTTTGAATCTCGGCCAAATTCTTTCTCGGTACGGCTTTGCTGCCGCCACGAGCCAACACCAAAGCAGCCACGTGAGGCCTACAAAATATAAGAATAAAAATTATTATTTGAACTCAAACACATCAAATGGCAAATGCAGTATGGTTTTCAAACGACGAGGCAAGTCGGACACATCCTTTTATTAGGTCGACACATGTGTGGCGGTTAAATTGGAGTAAATTTAGGTATCCGGTATATAAGTGTGCTCAATCATGTACATTGTATAGAAATACAATTGAATTAGATATTAAGCAAAAATTATTTTGTAATTATAAATTATAATGAACGCGCTAATAAATGTCTCTGGCGATATGTCGAGGATAAAAATAAGCCATCGATTATAATAATATTATGCGATTGTTTATGTAAATAGTGTAACGTACTTATAGTTGATCAATTGGTTTTGTTCGGTTGTGATGCGATTCCAAAGCACGCCAATGGGAATTGTAAACAAAATAACACTAGCAAACAACAATATCGAGTGTGTTAAAATTGTCGTACCATGGCGATTTCCGTAGGTCATGCTTAGGGAATTGAAACTATTAAAAAATGAGATTAATATACGTATAACGAACTACATCAAAAACGATTTACCAAAAAATCCACACCGGTAGTTTTTAATGGTCACACATTCATGCTCTGTAGTTATATGAGTACAAGGTAGTAGATAAAAGTATTGATCCATAGGTGGCTTTCAAGTTGGTTGTCGTGGCGACACACCTAGGGAGAGAGATGTAAGGGAAGGCAAAGCTCAAAAAGACCGCGAAAACCATGAATTTTTTTTTATTGTTACTTTTGTTTATTCATTATAATAAAATTGGTGTTTACAACATTATTTGCTTGTAGGTACAAAAACAATACATATATAAATAAATATTATTAAATTTAATCTATACAGCATGGTAAGGTTATCATGCCATGTTACCATCACCTCATACATTTTCAAATGTTAACTTTTACATAAATATGTCATAGTTTATTTTTGTAAATAAAATTTGTTAAAAATATTAAATAACTTTTTTATTTTTAGAGACCAGAAAGAATAACCTTAGGCACTATTACATTTTGGCGACGACAATACAAAAGATACAATTGACCCACGAAAATGGAAAAACCGTATAAAAATTGTGAACATCCAACATTTTTTTTACGTATCAAAAACTAACTTTGTATATTTAATAACACCAAAATAAAGAATTACGAATTACTTTAATAGTACTTTGGTAAGTTAACCACAAAGTGGATATTGAAAGTCAAGTATACAAAATCAACAGAGTACTCAACATTTATAAAGCTGTTCTATTATTAAAAAAATACTAATTTCATTTAAACAACTAATATTTGTAAAATGTAAAATTATAATAATAAATAATTGACTAAATTATGTACAAAAAAAAAAAATACATATTTCCAATAAATGAAAAAATTTAGTTCACAAGAGATCTTCATTTAACATTATAATTTACATATTGTCTTAAATAGTCAAGGACAAATTAATATTAATAATTTTTTAATACTGTATTACCAAATAATGTTCAACACAATTAACCAGAATGTTTAGTTACAAGTTCAGAAAATTGGAATGTTTGAAGTGAATGACACAACGAATGTATAAATACATAAATATCTAAAACACATTTGTTCTTTTGGAATTTGTAACAAATAAAAGTAATTTACATTAAATGGAATTTGTTTTTTTTACTTAACAATGTAAGTATACAAAACGATTAAAAAATAAAAAAGGTAAAAAACTAGGAAATAATTGCAACTTAATGGAATAAAATTTAAAAAAAATTGTGATATGTGAATTTTTTTGTAAAAAAAAATGTTTTTAACAAAAATAATAATACTATAATAATTATAATAATGAAATATTGATAAGAAATTGGTAAATTGGTAAAAAATAATTCAAGTCACAAAAATGTAGTAATTTAAAAAAAGTGTATGTTTCTTAAATTAAACTAAGGCACCAGTGTTTATTATACATGTATCCTAAGATTTTGATAAAGATGTGTAACAAATATCGTATATTGAATCAAACAAAGGAAATTTTGACGTGCTCTTTATCAATTTTTTTTTTTTTAATATTAAGTGTATGTTGAATGAATAAAATAAAAAGTTTATTGGAATAATATCGAGCTTTTACCTGAAAACAGGTACATAATATGGAACAATGCAGGTATTCTAACTAGGTCATATTAATAGTATTATATGTTAGTAGTTAATAATATTTAACAAATTAACATTATTTCAACATTGTTAAACTTATCAATTATATTTATGGCGCGATTTACATAAACAGCAAGTCTATGTCTGGTCAAACGCACATGTTTCGATGATTATCACATTATGCAACCGTCTCCACTTCTAGGTCTTCCATGAGAGCCAATGGAGCTCTATGAATCTATAGCAAAACATACATATGAACAATCATATATAGGTTTATACACAAAATACATAAATAGAGTAATAATTATAAAATATAAGCAAATTAAATGATATGATACATTATTGTTACACTATAATAATTAATTAATATAATTAATCTATATGAATCAAACGTATTAGTCGCACAGCACGTAATATATATATACACATCAAGAAAAGTCTGGGCAAATCAGCGGGCGGGTAATCACGCCCCACCGCTGGCAATCTGAACCACTTTTTAGTTTTATTTTCTTAACACATTTTCCAGTTCTGATTGCCAGTCGATGACCAACAGACGGATCCCTACCAATCTAAGTTCATTTAACCATCGACAATAAGAAATAAGCCCATTATGTTATTGTAAACAACTTTTCTAAATTTTAATGAAGTAATGTACTTATTATTGTTATTTTTATTTTCATTACATTTCTGACTAGGGGTCTCGGTACCGTACGTGAAATAATACATACGTGATCACGGTTCCGTGATCACGTGAATAAAAGTAACTTAAAATCCGTATGTTTAATTCACGTGAATACGTTGTACAAAATTCACGTGATCACGTATATTAATATTATTCACGTGATACCACAAAATAAAATTTTAAATTCACGGACAATTTCCAATCACGGGTCTTATAAACTAGTGATTAATTTCACGTGAATCCGTGAGCCGTGATTCACGTGAAATAGGGAGCCCTATTTCTGACCACTATTAGAAAACTTTTGTTTAGATTATACCTGATTTCTTGTACAATCCATAATAATTATGGCATACATACTTCAATCGAATAATATATGTATTAAAAAAAATTAAATATTTTAACTATCATCAAATTTTATAATGATGAAAAATATCTGCCCCAAAAATAAACAAAAAACAACTAGTGTTAAACATGGAATAGTTATATGGGATTAGTGAATATAAATATTCTTCTGGAATACTTGAGATTAATAAAATGGAATAATTTTTAAGTATTATTTTAATCAATTATATTTTATACAAAAAATATTTTATTAGGTATTACTATTGATTTTAAAATATGAACATAAGCGGTGCTAAGCACTAAAATGGCGACTAACTTCATGCACAATTTTGGACGTCAAGAAAGGGTTTTGACCTGAGCATTATTTAAATATAAATCAATTTATAAAAGTTTGTTTTTGGACGAATTTAAAACAAGAAATAAATATGTATTTTAAACAAAAGTTTATTTGATACAGTATATAAAAAATCAATTTCAAATAAGAATTTGATTAAAAAATGGCCAGGTTTGTACTCTACACTTTGCACATCCATCAACTATGACAATGGTACTTCTTGACGGCGGTAATACAACATAAAATCGGTCACCACTTGTTTGTATATTTTAAAATCAATGGTATTACATAAAACCAATTATGGTTAAAAGCCGCAACCCTTCTATATTAGCCTAATCAAGTTAATTTTTTTCTGCTTTACCCACACCAGTAAATAAATCGTCTACACTTTCTCAGTGCCTAATACGTTTATTTTCTAATTTTTGATACTACATGTAAGCCAAATATATAGCTAAAAGAGCAAAAGAGCAAATGGGCATGCGCATAAATGCACAGACAAGTTTAAGAATTGATCTATTCTGCTATCATTCAGTGATGGAAATATTAGATATGTAAACTGATAGCTGTTACACAGGCTATAGCCATATATCCATTTTATTATTGGCTAACCTCTAAATTTGTCTGTGCCGATGGATCGTCTTCTACAATTAAACTTGTTGATAAATCTGATAAATGAAAACAACAACAACACTATTTAGATACTATTATTTCACTACAAAAATAATGAATAATAAAAAAAAAAATTATGTATCTAAAAACAAACAATAATGCAAAACTCTTATTTTTTTAATTATTTATCTTCGTAGGTGCAAATGTGAAAAAAAAGTAATATCAAACTAAAAAAAAAGCATAATATATCTCAATGTTAACTTACTAACAACAGCGATTGTATCGTTTGAAGTCACTGTAGTTGAATTTGATGTTTTTACTGGGGTTGTAGTAGCCGTAGATACTTCATGTTTTGTCACAGGTTTTTGATGATTATTAATTTCAACATTATTGGATGTAGAAGTCAAATTTAAATTTGAATTGGAGCTAAAAATAAAATCAATATTTAACTAATTAGTGTTAATAATATAATAGGTATCTAATTTATTGAAACATTTTTTCTTTAGATACATCATGAAATTAATATTATTTTTAAATTATTTCTTATTTCTAAATATAGTAGTTAAAAAAAAACAAAAACGGGCAATTACATTTTTAAAATACAATCTGATTTTATTCAATTTGTATTAAAATTGAATATTATAGTTTGATACTAAAATGACTATTAAACATTGTTCTGCCAAATTTTAAATATTTGGATTGGATAAAATTTGTACTAAGAGATGTTTGATAAAGTAGATATTTCATTTTTTGTTAAAATTCTTACTTAGCTAAATGGTCTTTAATAGAGTCTAATGTTATATCGCCAACAGAGAGATCACTATTGTTTAACTGTAAATTACTGTCGCCGTTTTCTTTTGTGCTATCTGAACACCCTAAAAGTAAAAAATATTGAAAACAAAAATATTAGTTTGATTTAGAAGTAAAAAACCAAAAATAAATACCGTTGACTTTTGGATGATTTTCTTGTTCGTCGTCAGTATAGCCATTCACCGGCGTGATGGACCGACTCTCTGGCAGCGACTGATCTCTACCCGGTAAATTCAAAGTACAATCTACTTGTGTGATACTGGTTGCAGACACAGAAATTCTTTGCAGTTCACTGCTTGAATGTAAATACAAAGCCTCTCCATAGTGTGTGAACGCCAAGCTCGAAATTCCACTAATTTCACAAATGATAAATTTACTTAATAAAAATGATCATTATAAACATATTTTTATATTATGATGACATACTTTATATCTTCACGGCGAATAACAGCCGCTTGTATTTGTCTTCTAAGGTCTGGCACGCTAAGTACAATCACTTCACCCAAGTTAGTTAAACACAACAGACAGCTTTCGATGTAATCGTTAGTTTTAAAGTAAGCCATAGACATTCTACGAACGCGAGCGCCTTCTGCTGCGGTTAATTTCAGTTTACAAACCGGTTTCAAATTAGGCAACGAGAATATCTATAATAAGGATACAATATTACAATCGATACGCTTAGACTAGCATTCATTTAGATGTATAAAAACTACCTTAAATTGTTCTTCTGATGCAATGATAACCTTATGTGGCCCACACACATCTATTGGTTTACCGGGAGGACAGTTTTCTTGTACTTCGGTAACCGATCGATTTTCAGCATCGATTACAGTGATGCCAATTACCGGAGCTCGGTGCTTTAATTGGATTTCTTTTCCTAATTGCGAAGTAACTCTTCTTTCTTTTCGTTTGTCACTAGGAGGTATACTGATTGTAAATATATACACAGTACCATTGTTAGTACCAGCCCAGATCGTCGGTGTTATATGAGAAGCTACAAAATATTTAACACTTTTTAATATAAAATTGTTTCAATAAATTTTAATTGTAATTATTTATTATCAATATCTACCTGTAACAATAAATGTTTTGGCGAAACTTAGACATCGGACCATACTTCCTTGGCCATCATCAACTGATCTCGCTTCAATCGCTCTTTCCACAGGTCTTGCTTCCATTGGAGAAATAGTTAATGTACTATAATAAAAGAAAAACAGAGATATAAATACATAAGTTACAACAAATTTTTATTTACATAGAAAAACAGCTAACATAGCATAGACAGATATAGTGAGGTTGGGTACGACAAGTTTTAAGGAATTTTGAATGGAAAACTATTCAATATAAAGAAAAATTAGTAGAAAATAAAATGTGTTTACAATTATGTTTGATATATGACTGTTTAAGTTTCCTCAATAAAAGTGTCACTAGAATATTTTTAGGTTTTAAATGGTAACCAATGTGTTTTATTAGTTTTTTAAATTGATAAAAATAAAAAATCTATAGAACATTTTTTGCTTTTTGACTGGAACATATAAAATTCTAAAAAATTAAAAAAAAAAAACAACGAAAACTACAAAATTACCATTACTTGCAAAAACAACTTCTTGGGTTAAATTGATATATTTTGATCCATAAATGTAGTATCAACAAAATCACTATATGTAAATATCGACAAGTAACAATATTAAGTGTATAAAAATTATTGTATTTTTAAGAGTTTTCAGTAATAAATATAGATATTTATAGAGTTCAAAAAAAATATTTTTGTTATAGAACCACACTCAATTTTCAAACCTTGAAATTCAAGTCCAAAAAATTGAAGCTAAAAAATTCAATAAAAAAAATAAGAATTTCCTATCAATAGATTTGCAACAAGAAGAAATCACTCATGAGCCGGAAACAATATTGCGGTTTCAGACATGTAAATAAAAACAACTTCAATGTAATACCTTTTCCGCTCCACATCAAAGCAAGCGTAGTTATTATATTTTGTCATGTAAAATATTAGACATTAAATGTGGTTTTACTCACCCTTCGCGTCTTTTATCAGGTGTAATGCTTCCAGATTTTTTATCGTTAGGAATTCTTGTGGAATTTCTTCCTTTTCTAAGTCTTCGAAAAGATTCTCGGAGAGATTTTTTGAATGATTTTCTTCGGGATATAGGAGTGTCGCCAGCCATGGACAAATCTAAATAAGAATGATTTTATTAGTATTTTGGTTTTTTTTTTGTGAAATTTATTAAGTAGTACTAATTGATCAATACCATTTGGATTTAGAGTACATTTTGTCAAAACGGGTGCTTGTCGATAATAGTCATAAAGTACTAAACCATGGGCTGTACCAGCTGCGACCAAAGACCAATTGGTATGCAAAGCTACAGCAGTAATTGATGCAGGAGGATACACTTGTAAAACAGAAGTAGGCTGAAAACCTGCTTTGAATGTGAGGCATGTAGTATTTTTGCCATTATTGTTATTGGCTTCATCTCCGGTTTGTTTTAAATTCAAACGTTCATGACCTTTCCATATAAAACTTTCACCAACAACGTTCATTTGAATTGTCTAAAATAAAACCATTGGCGATTACAAATATCATGGTAATAAAAAACAAATTCTAAATTACTTTTATTTCATTAGAAGAAGATTCATCGCTGAATTTTGTTACAATTATGTGACCAGCTGTGCCCGCTACAATCATTGTGCCAGTTTTAGGACACAAAATTACTTTTTTAATAGCTAATCTAGGATCATCCGAATAAGGATCAAAATTCCCAATTTTCCTAAACGGAGGCCATTCTTCTTCATCGTCAACAGCTACACTATTACTGGAATGGTTATCGGCATCATCTCCAACCAAAACCCACGAAGATTTAAATATATAAATAGGTAGTAATGGTGTACCATTTGCAATCCATAACTTAACAGAACCATCTTCGTGACCTGTTATTAAAACATCTCTTCTTTGTTCAACCGTCATATTAGATTCCCCTCCATCTACAGGCCACTCCTAAAAAATTTACAAAAATATTGTAATACATTGAAAAACAAATTAATGGACGAGACAAACTTAAATTTATCTCTAACTTTGTAAAGAAGTTTTTTTGGTTTAGATTGTTTAAATTTAATTTTTTTGTTATGTATTTAATTAGGCTATAGCAAATATTGATTATCAATCAATATTATGATTTATGTTAAAAAAAACTTACATAAAAATGGACATTTTCAAATTCATAATAGTTATTTAAAAACTCACATTTGAGGAAAAATTATTTTCGTTTTGTAAGTTTCCAGCAGTAATTATGTTGTTCCATAATTCTTCATTGATGTCAGACACGAAATTGGTAAATGTTATAGCACTTGCATGAATAGAGACGAGGTAAGGCAATTGGATCAAAGACCAATCATCAGTTGATAGATCGATGCCAACTATTTCTTCTTCTGCTAGGATTATTAAAGAACTACAACCTAAAAAAAATTCAAAAATTAAAACATTGATTTTAATAAAATATATTTTTGGTTTACCTTTTTCATTTATAGAAGCCGCCGTGGTAAAAAAGTCTATTACTTTTGACGTGAGCTCAAATGCTACATGTTTGGAAGTACCCAGCTGAACTGTAACAGCATGGCGATCACCATAACATGCTCGAGGCATCCCCCCAGAAAAAATGAGTAAATTGTCACTAAAATTCAAACAAGACAATTTTGTTATTAAATTAGCATGTGTCTTAATAGTATGTGTCTATAATAGAAATATTTTACTCGAGATCTTGGCTCGATGGTTGACAATGCACTTTAGGGATTGGTTTGCACGGATATGGTCCATATATAGTATTTGCATTGTCATTTTCATCAGATTGGTCATCTATTTTCCAAAGCGTTACTGAACCGTCGTTGTGTGAAGAATAAAAACTTTCTCCGTTTTCAAACCAACATATGCTTTCTACGTGCTGACTGCTAATAAATGTCTAAACAATTTTTTTTAATACAAAATAATAGTTATTTTCATGATAAAGTAACTATTAAGTTATGGAGGTAGAGTGATCGAGTGGGTAAGGTAGCAGTTTGACACACTGAAAAGGAGCCCATATCTCAGTCTCTAGGGAATGGACTTTAACAACCCGTATTGCAAAATCACTATGATAAGAAACCTCATGCATCGCTCAGCCATCAGTACTTAATGGTCCATTTAGGGCAATAAGCCATTAAAGTAAATTAAGGAATATAACTATCAAGTGATTACAAATATTATAATATTTATTTACCTTCAGAACGACTGAATCCACCTTGTCCCACAAAACAATCAATCCTCTGCTATAAGCGATCAAAATATTGTTTTGATTATTAGGTTGCTCTACTATGGCTTCAACCGCACCGGGATTTTTTTATATTCTTCAGACACTCTAAAAGTGTTTTAACATTTTGGTTAAATATGTTGACGAATTATTATTAATTATTTACCAAACTTACTTTTGCATTACAACATCTTGATAAATAATATTATCCGATAATTCAAATGTGGATAAATCGATGGTAAATATGTTTCCTCCTTCAGTTCCGAGCAACAAATGTTCACAATTTGATTCTAAGCTCATCGAAGATATTTGTTTAAGTCTAAAACGTGTACAAATATTATTAAATACTGTTTTATAACTTTTTTTCATAGTTAAAACTCTTTTAATGCCTGTTTCACACCTACACGTAGAGTACTAAACACATTTTTACACGGCGAGTTTGAAATATGGGTTCTTTACAATCCTTGTGTGTGGTTCATCGTTTCAATTCATATGCGGCATATGAAAAAACGAGCGTACCTTACATGTTAGGTGTGAAAAGAGACTAACACTCACTTTCCTTCCAGTAGATATGATTGAACTTCATCAATGGCTGTGTCATTTATTTCCCAATAATGAATGCTATTATCGTCAGATAATGACACCAAGTGACCCTGAAATGAACATTTAATTTTTATTAATACTAAATACATAAAATAGTCATTGTTTATGTTTATTATTATTTAGGTTGTTATAATTACCTGATTTGGTACAAATAATATTTTTGTTATTGCTTGATCTGAACTAGGTAAATGGCCATAAAATTCAACACCAGGTTTACCTAATCTATTCAACATTTGTTAAGAAAAACATGCAAATAAGCATAAAATATGATAACAATTTATTAGGAACTAAAAAAAAATGTTAGTTTGAATGAACCATTCTCTTATCATAACATTACCAACTACATACGTTTGGATGCAAGGTTAAAAACATATTCAAGTTTTTTATTTTTTTAAGTGTTTGTTTCAGTTTTAAGATATAATTTTTTATCTACAAAATGTTTTAATACAACTTATGTTTTACTACAATTGTAGTAACTATGATTGGAAGTACTGAATATTTTATATTGAGCTTTTCATATTAGCTAAGAAACGATTAGACTTAAATAAACAGTTGAGCTGATGTTTTAAATACTGCGAATTATTTTAAAAGAAATGTCATTCTTTTTTCTTTAAAACAAACTATGAACATGGAAAATATTATAGTAGTATTTTATCAGATAGTTTATATTATACTGGCAGACAATAAATTATAAAATCATTAATATTAAAAAGGATACACTTTGATTGATCCGGTCGAGGTACCAATAGCCATAATCCGCAAAAATGGATCCCAAGCTAGAGCTGTAGGCTTATTGGGAAACCCATACTGCAGAGTCTAAAATATAATAAACATATTATTTATTAATTTGAGTATAAAATGTATGTTTTGATTTCAAGAAATAGACAGAATTTGTGTCCATTACATGAACAAAACTCTAGGTATGATCAAATACACAATAGTTTTTATGCGTACATTTCCTATCGTCAGTCACAAGAAACATTTCTCTTGTGTGCAAAACTTAAAGTTTAAGATGTTGATGCGCCAGGAAATTAGAAACAAATATTCTTTATTGTAAAAAAAAATACCAATGTGATTTTTCTTAATAAAAAATTTAAACATCATAGATAGATAACACAGACATTGTTTCAATGTTTTATACATTTGTTTTTATAGCTTAATCAGGATTTAGCACACCTGAGGTATTTCTCAGTGATCGACAATATAAAATAGTAATTAAGAACTAATAATTTATATGAAAAAAGATTCTATATCATTTTTATATTAAGAACACGAACGACTAGATTGTTATTAACTGAAAACTAATCAACTTACTCTCCTGAAAGCGAATAGGTCTTTTTGGATTTTTTGCCGTTCAGCCGAAGGCTGTTGACCCTTCCCTCGTATGAATTTGAGCATTTCAATACACGTTTGACGATTGATTCGTAACAATTACAACAACTACAGCAAAGAATTGATCCTATAGTGAATGGTACGTTGTACAGCTTGTAGCTAGACAAACATTTGTGAGCACACAGATGGGTGTTAACTCAATTTGTACTGTTAGTAATCCTTCAACAGTGTTATTGTATCACTGGTGTCTGGCGCGAGTGCCGTTTTTAAAATTGATTGCAACCTGTAGTGGCGTTTTGCATAATTTTCATTCGAGTGACCGCAACTGTCACTAACTACACGTACCGCTCCTGTCGAAATAATATTTGGCTATAATATAATAGTAACAACAATAACAATAGAAAGGTGTCCGGCGGCGGCGGCGGGCGTCTGCTTACGTCGACTGTTTATCAAAAAAATAAACATATATATATAAATGAATTCGTATACAAAACGAGTGAGTACAGCCGACATAACAAAGCACAGGCAACGGCGCGTTATACTTAGTTTCGAACACGTTACCTTCGTCCAGTACATCGTAATTTGAAGGGATCGCAACACAACCGCAATATTTTTCTGATTCACACTAATAACTAATAACGACGACGGTAGACGACACCACTACCGTACCGAACGGAATAAAAACAAATTGCTATCAGCTCCCCACCGCCAAACACGTACTCGCTATTGTTTTGTATATTACTATGAATATATACTTTTTTTTGGTTCAACAACCTCCCCACCGAATTTCAAGGAGGTTGAAGACCTCGCAGTAATGCCGTCCTCAACACACAGAGCCGCTGATTCTCGATAAAACAGCAATGCCTGCGATGGCGGCAGCTACACCAGGATCTTTCGATGACCTTATATAGACTATAGCCTATAATAGTATTATATAATAATATATATTATATTATTATTATAGTATTATTTGCAGGACAGTTAGCAATGGGCATTTACTAAATATTGGCCAGAAATTCGGGGATTTTTTTTTTAAAGCCTGTCATTTTATTGACATACGCAACTATTTATAGTGATTTACATTAAAAAATAATTTGTAATTTGTTAACTTTTAAATTAAGACATGTAGTGGTGAACAGAAGTATAACCTAATATACAAGTACAATATACCTACTACAATCCGTATATGTATAGGTACCGGAAATAAATAGCCAAGCAACCTGACACCAGTTGTTTACATTTTTGTTTATGAATTAATGATTATAATTCCTAAAATTTGGAACGTTCTAACCAACCTTCCTTCATTGTTTTCTGCTCAGTTTTTGCCTTTTTCTTATTAGTAAATAAATAGTCAAGTGTATTGTTGCAGTACTTATCGGCTACACTAATTAAAATACATTAGTGACCTGTGACTTCAATTATCAGGCTGACCCCAAATTGTACAACGAAGAACATTGATCGGTTATTTATAAATTATACAAGTATTTGGCGTAAATTATTTTGTTAAATAAATTTATATAATAATGTATAACAATAGGGAAATAGAGATGTATCCGTGTTTTACATTTTTTTTGATAATGTTCGATTTTAAAAATCAACTTATTTCTTTTAACTCATTCACGGAAAAGAAAAAATTGCTAAATAATTATTTATGTAATTTTCCAAGTTTTCACAAAACCGCATGCTATAAATGATATACTATTCAAGATCATATAAATTATAATTACCTAATATCTTAAATTGTGATAGGGAACAATGGTCGGATTTTTTTTTGCTCCTGACCATGACCAAATAAATTTACATCAATAATATGTCCGCATAGGTAATATCAGAAACACTAGTGTTTTCATAATTGGCTGCCGGCTTGTTTTCGTAAATCGAAATAAAAAATGGTCACAATGGTGCAACTTGATGTTTTTTTAGGGGGGGGGGGTTGAAAGTGGAACATTCGAACAACCCCCTTACTTATTGCGTCTCTAGCGATATCATAAATAATCACTTCTTGACTTAATTTGTGTTTGAACTTAGAATATTCAATACAACCACACAATTATATGCGAATATTATTGCATAATATATGATCAGTATATAAATTAAGCATACCCTACAACTGTCCGGTATCCGCTAAAGAAGAAATGAAGTAGGTAGTGTGATTAAGGACAGGTCTGTACTTTTTTCACAACTCTAAACGTGGGTACCAATTATTATAGCATAGTTGAGTATGACATTATAATTTACGTCGGTTAGGTTAAATGTCAAATGTCTATTAAAACGAACAAAATAATGCAAAAACGCCGACGTGTTATCGTTGATTATTATTTGTTCACAATGTAGGATTACTGATTAGAATCCTGAAAACATACACAAATGCTGTGCGTTAATTTCTACATAATATTAACGTTTATTGACCGATTCCAACTAAATAAACTGAACTAGGGCTTTGTTTGACACCGAGAGAGAAAAAAAGTAGGAAAATAAAGAATGCCCGTGATTTTCGTATAAACTAATAATATTATCCTATTGTTTAAAACAATTATCTTTTATCATGTGGATTAGTCTATACATGCATGTATGACATTTATAAATACACGAAATGTTTCATCTGAAACTATTGTTCTGTAAAATGGTAAATAATAAATATAAATATGTTAAAATGTATTTACTATTCAATAAAGTGACGAAGCTACATATAATTCTTAGAAATGTGACAAACTATGATATGTAATACATTATACATCCGGGTTCATGGTGTTAGAGGCTAGAGCACCATGTATATAATAACTGGCGGTTGGCCAAATCGTTTTAAAATATTATAAAAAAAATCGTTTTACTTTTCATACAAATCGAAAACGGGAAAAAACGACCACAGTAATCAAAATAGTTGAAATAATTATGTGTGAAAATAAGATAATTTCTCGTTTTTTCAATGATATTTTACCTCCATTTTGTATTTCTAAGCGTTTTTATGGAGAATCCCGTTTGAAATTTACACATTTAACGTAAAATTATATCTATGGAAAAGTGAAATTATATAATATCATTGATTATAAATAATATTATTATTATATTATTTATAATCAATGATACCTATTAATAATAGTGATGGTTCTAAAGTTTTACAAACGTCGGTAGTCACCATTGACATAATAGACATAAATTCTATTATGTCAATGGTAGTCACCGTCATAAATATATATATATTTTTTTTTAATTTAAATATGGCTTCGACTATTAGGTCATTAGCCTTTAGTTTACATTTACATTTTTTAGTACAATATTGAATTTTACTGTTTATTACATAAGTTAATTAATTTAATGAATTTTAGAATGTTTTCTTCGTTGCTTTCTTTTAGTGCGTCATAAATATTGTTTTCTGGTATAATATCTATAAAAAATAATTAATTTTTTAAAAAGTTAGTCATTTAAAAATGTTAAAATAGTCGTTATATCTAAACGATGTATTGAGCGTTATAAATCGAATAATGAAAAAAACGCACCGAGGTGCCCTCCGGAATATTGTTCTATTTTAATTTTATAATGGCCAATGGGCCAATGGGCTTTTACTATAAAACCAAAATTAGGCGAGTTATTTTCAGTCTGCTTAAACATGTAGAAATAAAAAAAACAATTTTAAATCGCTTTCAAGGATGCTGTGATAGTGCGAAAAATCAATTAACTACCATAATAGAGTCCTAGTTATTGAACTAATAATTACACATTTCAGTTTAACCTTTAAATTAAGATTTCGTAAAAAATTGCCTATACTTTACTCCTTAAAAATGAGCGGTGCGACGCCCTCTTAAAAGCAATAACTATCGTATTAGCCCAATGAAATATGAAACATGTAATCATTAAATAATATTAATATACAAATACGGTAATCGATTATGAAATTAAAATAACACAATATTTGATAATTGATATTTCTATAATTCTATTAAAAAAATTTAAGGTTAGTAGATAAAACATTTTATAAATGACGGGGACGAACGAAGAATATTATTTTCCTCTTAATCGAGTAGAAAGTCTGCAAATGTTAGGATTATGGTTAAGCATAAGATAAACAAGGGTTATAGGTATTAGGTTTAACTGATAAGAGGTTTAATTTTCAAAGAGTTCCATGAGTTTGTTTTCATTTTGGTTAATTTTATTTGTTTTTTGACGGTGCTGATAATTTTTTCATTTATTTTATTAAATAAGTTTGTGTAACTTAATTCGCCGACTTTGAATATTTGTTATTGATGTATTGTGTAATGTTTTTTTAAATTTTATAAATTAGACTCTTAACAATTAGGTAATTTTTATTAACCTTCGAAATTAAGAACGTTAAGATTTAGAACTCACGCGGGATTTTCTAAAACAATCGACATGACTACACTTTTGGATCGTTTACAAGAGCATCTTGTGAAAAAGCGGCAAGGATTAAATGATGTGGATGAAACATTAAAGAAAATTACAGGCCGAGATACTTTTGATGACAACCCTAACCATGGTAAGTATAATAAACGACCACAAATAGGTGGAGATCAAAAACAAATTCACGATCCATTAAAAAAGAATATTAAAAGACTACAAGACCATAAACCTCATTACAAAAATGGAAATTTGAATCGTAAAGTTTTTATAAATTCTAATGAACCTCCCAAAAATTTCAAGAATGGTTTAAACGCTGGTAGGGTATCGGCAAAAGATAGATTAGGAACTATTGTCAAAGAAGAACATCCGAAATTTCAAGAGGAGGAATATGAGGAGGAGGAGGAAGAAGAAGAGTCGACTGCCCCTAAGAAAACCCTCCAATCTCAGGTTATGTTATCTTCAAAAATAATGAAATCTCGAACAGAAGTACTAGCTGCCCAACAAGGTGATCAAGTCACAAAAGAGCGAAATAGGCGTATGTTTGGTTCTTTATTAGGTACTTTACAACGGTTTAAGAAAGAAGAAACCCAATTAAAAGATAAGGAAGATAAAAAAGCAAAAATTGAGAAAAGATTAGAAGAAGAAGCTATAAAAGAAAAGGAATCTTTAGTATTAAAAAAGCGGGAACTGTTTATGCAACGTAAACAACAAAAAAGAGATATAAAAAACATTGAAATCAAAATGGGTTTGGTAAGAAATTTTGAAGTATTTGAACGTCAGATTAACTGTACAATGAATTTCATTAAAACTGAGTTTGATCCGTCAGTATTTTACTTACCAAAAGTCCACAATGAAAAGACTGAGCAAAAGTTAGAAAAGACACGTACATATTTAAGCAATATATTATCAAAAAAGCGAAAAATGGTTGAAAGCCAAATAGAAAAATTATTACAACCTAATGATGAAGAAATGGAATATGAAGATAAAGTAGGAGACGGAGAAAATAGAGCAGTAGAAGAAGAAGAGGAAGAGGAAGAAGATGCCGAGGCTGATGTTGATGTTTATGAAACACATCAGGATAATGGAAAATTTAATTATGACTAAAATTTAAAACTACTTTAACATATGAAAATTAACCAAATGATTGTAAATATTTATTGTGGACATGTATAAAATGATTTTGAATTCTGTACTTCAATCATTATTAATTTTAATAACAAAATAAATATAAATTTGAGCCAAACTCATTTGTGCTATACTACACGTTTATGAAAATTACATTTACTTATTGTGGTATTTAGTAAAAATCTTCAACTAAATTGATTTAAAGTAGTTTGTAATTATTTTTCTTTGTTAGTCATTGAGTTTGTTTTAAACATAAGGGAAGGAAATATGAGTGTTGTATTTTTTGTATTTACTATAACTTAAGTCTTAAACTTTATCATACTTTACTTATTTTTGTAAGCACCTTGAGTTTGTATAAATTAAACATCATAATATTATGTAATTCATATATAATTTATTATTATTACAATATATTAATCTAATTGAACCCTTTAAAATGATAATTTTTAGCAAGTAAAATTATTTATGTATAGTTTGTGAATTGTGCAAATTACAGTGTGTAAATATACACTTTATTAAAGTAATGTTTAGCTAATTATAACCTATAATATGTGGCATAACATAATTTTAAGCAATTTGTGCATTACCTAAAACAATTTACGGTTTCAGTTAAAGACCAAAACAATTATATACAAATAATAATTTGAGTTAGATATTTTTGAATATTTTATAGGTTTTTTTTTTTAATCTCTTTTATTGAAACATACAATCTGTACACATTTTTTACAATTGAGCTTTTTTTTAAACTGTTTCACTAAAGCCACATCATACACTTTGGGTTCAAAATAGTAGGAAATATGCTAGTAGCTTATTTCATTATATAAGTATGCAAAGTCCTCCTAAACAACTGAACTGATATTTATGAACTTTTTTGTGCGCGATTAGGTTGATTCGAGAAAGGTTTAGATTCATAGTTTGACCCGATAGAACATGTTTTCAATTATTAATTAATTTAAATGATTTATTATGATTATCAATAGTATCAATAGCTATCAATACATCTCTATGGTTTTCCTTTTATTTTGAACCCAATATAATTAATTATTAACAGCGCTTCTCAACCTGTGGTACTCGGAAAGCTATATACATATATTGTCATAATATTGTAGTAACAAATTAACTAATAAAATAAAATTCTATACATAAAATAAACGTATGCATTTTTAATAATCAAAGAAAAAGGTTAAGTTAGGTGATACGTAAAATTTTTTGAACTGTGTAGGTGGTACGCAAATATAATAAGGTTGAGAACCGCTGAATTAATATATAAAGTGAATGATGTGGCTTTAGTGGTTTACTCAAGTTTAAAATTGAATTTCTTCAATTGCGTTGTTGGTACTTAAACCCCAATAGGTGACAGGTCAGAATTTTCAGCGGCAGTGCTCAGCAGTCAACAAGCTATTGTCATTTGCCAATATTGTTAAAAAAAATAATAATTTACCTTGGGTAGGTAAGTAAATTATAATGCAATTTTTACATTTTGGTTCATTACACCACTGACTTAAAAAATATATATTTGTACTTTTAAATATTTTAATAGGTATGTAATCAAATATTAAAAATGCAAACTTTCTTAAAAAAATAAACCAAATGAAGTACAATAAACAGGATAAATAATTAGTAGGATTATCATTATTGCTATGACCGATAATTATAAATATTTGAAAGCCACACAATTTTCTAAGTAAAATAACTATACATACGTTATGTATAATAAATGCTATTTCGAGAGCAGGAAATGTTTTTTTTCTAGTTGGCTTGCTAAATGAAAATTTTAAACAGAATAAATAAAACGTTTTACTCATATCACTGGTTCGTGGCTTAAATATATTGCATTGTATTTAAGCTTGATTATATTTATTCCGCAAAATAAATATATTTGTATGCTATTAAATATTTTCTTAAGAATCAGGACATGAAAAGCTCAAAGCCTTTGAAAACAAGCTGGGTAATGGGAATGGCGAAAAAAATAAAAATCCATGTCCATCTTGTATACCAACATTTTTTAAAAATAAATCCTTGTGTTTTAATCATGGATAAAACAAAGTAACATGTGATCGTTTGGCTATCACAAAATGGTCCCGTCTGTGTGATAAAGTGGATGCGTTTTGTTGTGCAGTAATTGAAAATTACTGTCGACTTTTACACATTTTTTGTGGATTTTGAATAAAAAAATTAAGAAACTCCAAAAGTTTAACCATGGCTATGCATTCAGCTGTTAAAGGAAAATTACTTGCCGTAATTGGAGATGAAGTAAGTAACAAATATGAGTTGTTAGCAAATCATTTAATATGAAATTCATCTATGTTTTTACGAGACCCGCCCTATTTTAGTGCCAATTAAATATATTTTATTAATCATTCTAAACACGTTTAAAAATGTGTAGTGTTTAATATGTTTTGTCATAGTAATAATAATAAATTTTAGAATTTTGCCTACTTAATATAATGTTAAACTAGGGCATTAGAGCATGCCACTACGTTTTACAAAAAATGTCAACGAGGCAGAAGAAAACGAGAAATGCTGTTTTCTCAAATATATACAGAATTCTAATAAAAATTGTTATTATTTGTCTATTAAAATTGTTAGCTTTGAACTTTCAAAAGTCACTTTTTTGATAATATCACCATCGCTTTCGTGGCAGCTTTTGTACCGCTCTTAATGTTGTGTGGGAAAAATGTTGTACTTTTTTTTTTTTGTAACTTGATAATACTTTGTCAGTCCTGCCAGTCTGACTTGATGCATTTAGATATTGCTTAGTTTTTGCAAAATGGGTATTGCAAATACTACCCATGCAAGCACTCAAAGATTAAACAAATAAAAGTGTACTTATATAAGTCTTAAAAATTAAAATACTAAAGAACACAAATTAAATGTTTAGTTTTTTTAATGTTGAAATAATATATAAAGCATTTTTCTTTTATTGTTTGTCTAGGACACTTGTGTTGGTTTTTTGCTAGGCGGAATCGGAGAAATTAATAAACACAGACATTCAAATTTCATGGTTGTAGACAAAAGTAAGAATTAAGTTGTTTTGCACTCATAAGGATTTAATAATAGATTTTTAAAATAACATATGGAGTTATATTCATTTTTTATAGATACAGCGATTATTGATATTGAAGAATGCTTTAAAGCTTTTGTTAAACGAGATGATATTGATATTATACTTATCAACCAAAATGTAATTTTATAATTTACTATAGTTTTTAAAAATAAAAGTAGACTAAACATTTTTTTTTATAATAAAAGGTTGCTGAAATGATTCGTCATGTGATCGATGGACATACCCAACCAGTGCCAGCTGTTCTCGAAATACCGTCAAAAGATCACCCTTATGATGCCAGTAAAGATTCAATTTTACGTCGCGCAAAGGTAAGAAAATACAGTTTTATTTATTTGATTAATTTTTATAATTTTATCGTAGTCATATAATTAATTTATATATATATTTTTTTGATTTTAGGGAATGTTTAATCCTGAGGATGTTTGAGGAAAATAGTACCAAATTATTATTATTATTGTTTTTGTTATTAGAGTGGTCATTTATATTTTAACATTCCATTTTCATGTATTTGTTTAAAAATTTAATATGTGCATTACAGCATAAGGTAAATGTCAAATAATAATAAAAAAATAAATACATTTTACAAGTGCTTAATTTTTATTCTATACTTAGAAATAATTACTTTACAGGTTGTAAAATTATTCTAGTTTAATTATCGTGAAATAAATTATACAACATTATGTATTTTGTAAATTTTACTACAAAGTTCAAAATCCGTCATGACTCATAATTATCAGTAGCTAAATTAAGTTTGTCAACTAAAATTAGTTTTTTTACTATTATTAATACCTTTTGTTTTATTCTGACAAGAGCAATTATGACTAGGACTTGTAAGTTTTTTTCTCCGAGTAAAAACATTCTATATAAAAAAAAATTTTTTTTTACATATATTAATGAGTACAATTTCAATTTATTTTAATACTTCAAAAGGGTATAGCATGGAAAATATGTTATGTGTAAATACATTCATTGCTATTGGTTAGATTATTTAGTAATCGTAAAATTATGTGCAAAATTAATAAAACCCATCCATACCTTGAAGTATTTTTTCAATGCACCATTAAATACAGAAGTTTTTCATGAGTGGCAGACATGGTGAGTTTATTTTAAATGATATTTTGTCGAGCGTCAAAGACTACATACTAACTTGAGCCAAGAGCAATATCACCACATGAAATCTGCAGTTGTTTAATGTGTACGTATTTATTATATTTTACATTATAAATATAATTTATTCTAAGTCTAGTTTTTTATTAAGATTGGCAATTGTACAAAATACGAGTTCCAAGTTCGAGGTAAAATTTTCAGTGGTCACAATAACTGATCCAGATCAGTGCAAAATGTAAACAATATGATTATTTTTGGTTGTTTGACATAATTCAAAATTAATAGTTATTACTGACATTATCTAGTATACTTTAATGAAATATGCTTTTGATATTGACCAAATTTTTAATTTTATGCACAACTTTTTGATTGGGTTTTTATTATTGGAAGTTTCACAAAAAAGATGTGGTTGTTTCTTTAGGGCATACATTTTTAACATACATTTAGACTTAATTTGGATGTATTGATATTATTTCAAATCTTATGAGCATTACATCTTCTCCAACTTATCCTGTACAAATGGCGTCGGCTAGCCAAATCATTATATCTCCATATTAATTATTAGCTAAATTACAATTTAATTTTCTAAAAAAAAAAATGGATTAATTAAAAGTGAAAGCCGTGATATGGAAATGAGAAGTTGCATTTGACACAAGGAAACAAATAAAACTAAGATAATATTGCAAGTCAAAATACCTACTTATTAATAATTTTTTTTACAATTCTATTTGTTTTTTGAAATCGAGCCAGAACTTGATATTTTTTAATTATTTGTTTTCTTTCGTGTTTAATCTAACTAATTAAACTAACAAAGTCATTGTTCTGGACCACTAACACTTATGTACTAATACAATAGGCTTTCCTATATTATAGATGTTAGTAAGTGGTTCTTATTGGCACTTCTCAATAATTAGGCATAGACACTCCTTACCGATAAGTGCTTTTATTTTTATTTACAAGGTTAAAATAGTAGTGTTGAGTAAAAATAATTTGGTTTTATTTGCATCTTTTTTTTTTGAATAGACTCCAAATGAAATAACAGCTAATTATTAAGTTATAAATAAATAAGTAGAATGATTATCAAATGTGGGATTTTTTCTTTGTAATGTCTAAAACGATTTATTTAAAAAAGTTATCTATTAAAGAGACGGAAGTAAAAATGTTGCGCTATACTTAAAAAATTGGACTCGATTACTACTTTTAATAACCTATTTTAAGGTCAAATGTTTATCACGTAGTTCATACTGCCCACGCGTAAGATAGTCTTGTTCACAAATTACAAGCAGATAGACTATAGGACGACACAGTGTGTGTTCATCCATATTCTTTACGCCATAATATAAAATGGTTTCGGCAAAATTAATTGTGTTGTTAACTATCGAAATAGCGGCAATAACTGGAGCGCCTTATGTCGAACCAGAAATGTCACCGTGTCCAAAAATTGCTCCATTTACCAAATTTAGTGCAGATCGAGTAAGTATAGGAAAACACTGTAACAAACAATAATGTGTAATGCTGGGTTGTTTTAGAAATTATAACAGAACCGAACTTAGTTATTAGGGAAATGGTATTTGGCTATAATGATCATGGAATCGTACACCGAAGAATTTGTAGAGGATAACGTTTGTATTCACGGAGAACTTTTGAGATACAACAACACTATGCTGAAACAAATTTGGAATGTAGACAATCCAATGTTTGCTGAAGAGCACAGCGCCATAGTAGAGCTGCCGACGATCATAGTAGAAGAAGGCGTTTGGACCATCGAAAGTCCTCTGGGAGGTATTGACCATTTGTACATACTTATTATGTAATTATTGTAGTTTATACTGTGATTTTATTTGTTCTCAGGCGAGATAAACGCAACGATAATCAGCGCGGAGCCTGACGATCATATGATTTTGGTATTTTGTGGAGTAAAAGGAATAGATAAACTACATATGTGGACAGTAGTTGTGACACGAAAGAGTGGTATTCTTGCACCAGAAACATTAAGATTATCAGCAATTTTGGTCAAACACGGTTATGATCCCAAAACTAGTAGAATTATTAGTTGGAGAGATTGCCCAGATTATAAAACCATATAGTATAACTATATATTGTAACAAATAGTTTTTGATCAATAAATACTACAGTGTGTAAAATAAAATAAAAAGTTGTATAGTTTTTATCCTTTTTTTTTGTTTATTTTTTTAAACTTTTAATTGTCAGTGTTACAAATGTTTATATACGAGAAGGATACATCATCTGAAAAAAAAAAAAAAAATTGTAAATATGTTATATGAAAAAGATCAATATTATGTGGTTTATTACAATTCTTATCATTATAGTTCTAATAAAATCCAAATCTAGTACAATATGAAAGAGTACCAGTGTACCAGTAGAGTGAAATTTGAATCATCAAAATTGTAGAGAAATATAAGATAAGGAAAAATTATTTTAGTCTGGTCCACACTATCCATTTGGAAAATAAGCAATTTGCAATGCATTAAATATTTTAAAGACATCTTATTAATTACATGACTAAGTCGTGGATTATTAAGAATTAAAATTAAAAATAGTATTTTGATAGATCACTGAAAATTAAATATTGTTTATATAAAAAATTTAGTTATATTACTGCCTAAAAATTAAAGTAAACGAGTTACTCGCTGTTGCGTCCTCTTACAAGTAAGATAAAGAATTTAAAAAAAATGAATAAAAAATTTAACACATTTTAAGATATGGATATCGCCTGGATAAATTTTTAGTAATTGGGTAACTTACAATTCTCACGCGGTGTCCCATTGCTTTAGCAGGAAGATTTGTCTTAAACTTTGCTCGTACTGATCCAGTGGCACCATGAGGGCGGGTTACTTTACCCCAGATTGCACGTACCTTAGACTTCTTTTTTGGTCGTCCAGGTACTGGAACTAAACGCTTAGCCTGTAGGAAGACAAAATCATGTTAAATGATTTGTGAAATTCAGATTAACAAAAAAAAAAGGAGGAATTTACTAAATTAAAATTTCATATTTTGATTTTAAATTTTAATGATTATTTTTTGTTAATTAAAAATTAATTTATGATTGTGTGACGTTTGGTGTGTCAATGAACAACAGTATTTTCTTAGAAAATGTTAACGAAAATTACCATAATTTAACAAAATAAAGCCAGGTGCTTAAAATACAGAGAAACTTGTCCTAGACAGAATCAATGAAATTCCTTATCAAGCAGTTTTTCGTAATTTCAGTAAAATATACATGCAAAGGTGTTTGAAGAGTCCCAACATCAAATCTGGCTTATTTAGGGTCCAACTAGGTCATGTTTGACTGTATGTACAAATAAAGGAACTCACCCTGTATACATAAGCAACTCGCTTTCCTACGTAAAACCATGAATCGGATTTAGAGTCACATCCATCAACTTTGAGTAGGGCTGTGTTCTCATGCTGGTTACGGAGTCCACGACGGAAACCTGTGAACACTGCTCTGGCGTACAGACGACCGTAAGGCCTCTTTTGCCGTTTCTTCTGTTTGACTTTCTTTTCTTTGTCGGCGGTCTCGATGACTTTTGCGGGTTTAGCCTTTGAGGCCGATTTGGGGGCTTTTTTCGCGGAAGTTTCGGACATCTATAAAAAAAAAAAAAATTATATATTACATTTTTATCCGGTTCGATCCGCTATATAGGAGTTATCGCTGGAAAATCGAAAGGACTTACGGTGCCGGATATACACGATAATGTCTTAGATACGGAAGTAACGGTAATTCAAGTCGGACTTACCTTAAGTAAAGTACGAACTTAGATGAAAAATTCAAGTTTTCCAACAACACTCCAAAAGAAATACTCGATATCAATAAACAAACGCACAACATAAAATTATAACCTGTAACTTGTAAGCGAACACTTGCGTAGTGGGGATGTAGTCTTAGAAGAATAAAGTCAAATGTGATAAGGCCGAACGTTTTATTGTTTGCAAAAAAAAAGTAACCAAAACAAATATGCGTAATTGAATTTTCTTTGAAATTTTCAAAAAATGAAAATAGTAATTTTCCGAGCTCGTCAGGTAAAATTTTCTAAAATTTTTCTCATCTCCCTTTTTCTTCCAGGGTCACACGTATCCGTGCCCGCCCGATATTCGGGCAGCTGCCAACCGTGCCGCTCGCGCAACTCGCAAGTCGGTGTTGTTACTTGTTAACAAAATGGTGGATCGATTTGTGTCGTTTTTTTAAGGTGTTGATGAATTTTACCGTAGCGAAACGGCCGATGAAATTGACTAAAACGGTTTCCCAACTTAAAAGAAGACTATTAGATGCGCCGGCTGTGTGCGGTATTTATCCGGAACATTTCAATTATTCTTGTTGATTGGACTTTTATGCGTACATCATTTCCATGAAATCTCTTATGGTGTACTGGTGAGTGCATTTATCATTAATTGTAATTAGGTATATTATTTTATTCTGCCGTCATCTCTGTCCAATGCCAATTTGCACGTTTTACGTTCTAACGTCGAACTTTTTTAATATCGACATCACGTTACGGTTTTTCGTTAATGTAACGGACAAGTTTCTTTGGGGCGGACAGGCTTTCTTAGTCGTAAGACAGGACGGTGCTCTCACTCTCATAAGTACTTTTAATTTACCTAATCCACCTGAGTTTATGTCGATACTATTTTAAAGTACTCTTACAATGATGAAGTATAGCAGTTAGTATTTGTTGTATTTTATCTGCATCAAGAATTTTGATGTACACTTTTACTAGTGTATAATCTATCAATCTTTCTATCCTATCAGCTGTTGTTAGCTGAAAGTCTAATATTATTTGTAATTTCAGCTGCCAGAAAATGTGGCTATATTTGTAAATATCACAATTGCTTTAACGCTTTGACACATTCATACTTTATAATTGTTGGTTCAAAATATGAATACAATATGTAGTATATTGTATATTTATTGAATCAAAATTAAAAATTAATATTATTTATATATTCTTTTAGGGCTAAGAAAGATGACTGTTTTATCATCAGCAGAGGCAGCTGAACAGCCACCACGGAAGAAGTTGTGTTTATCAGCATCCAGGCAATTACAATCTAAATCCTATGCTTGCTCTCAATTCAACCCAATGGCATCACCGCTTGATCAGCCTGGTAAATGAAGTTTAGTTTTTAAAAAAGTCTTACAAATTTGGAAGTATAATTTTATTTGTATTAAAGTTATAGCTCATCTTTTCATATTGTTGTGTATTTTACATTTATTTATTATATTTAAGTGCTGTAATTTTCATAATGGAACCGAGTTTCGAAAGTCATGTCATGTGGTATTTATTAGGCTATAGCTTTCTAATGTTTACTCTTCCATTTATTGGATTTTTTTCTATGAGATACTTTCTTGGTGAATTATTAAATATCCAAGGATATCAGGTTACCGCAATTTCTGTAATATTTGCTGTCATTATTGTACAAATAATTATTTACTGTTATGTTAAACAAGCTTTTAACGAGCCTGTCGATAATGATAATGATGCCAATGGTGATGATATCCATGGTCAAGATAATTCAAATATTGTAAAAGATGAGAAAAAAGACCAGTAAATGGATATTTAATTTGTTTAAATTCAAATTTCTTACATTAGCAATTAGATTTACATATATTACTTATTTTTATAATTAATATAATTATTTACTTAAATAAATGATATACGTGTATGGATTTATACACCTTAACTCTTAATGGTTTTTTTCTTTTTTTTTATGTATGTGAATTAATCCTTATTTTTGACTATGACGATTAGTAAAATGAAACTTCAGCATTTGTTTGATTTTTCAACAAAATTATATTTATGAAACCTTAATGGTACATACATAATAGTACATGTATTTAGTGGGTTAACCGATTAAACTTGATCAGCTATAAAAAATTGATTTGAAAGGCCCAGTGCAATATTAAAATTTGTGATTTTATATTGTTTGATGCTAAAATATTTTGCTGTTGTTTTAAATGTCCTAACCATTAAACATGCATTTCTTAATTTTATTTACTATATTATAGTTTGATAGTATGACACAAGTGGAGATGTTTGTCTGTCATTATTTAAATGTAATCATTTAAAATACAGTTTTTTAAGGTTTTCCAAAAATTAAGTACATTTGGTTATTGCACTAAGTCTTTTTTCTGAGATTAAATGGCAAAAAAAAGTATATTATGACATTGTTCTCTTTATTCATAATTTGTTGAACAATTAAATAGTATAGACTAACAGTTATAAATAAAACATTTCTCTTTAACAGAAATTTTCTTAATGTAAACACATTGAATGCCTGTTTCACACCTTTACGTATAATATCCAACATTTGAAAACACTACTCAAATATAAACATTATTCTCGTCGGTCCTAAATTCATACGCGAGATATGAACAAGCATGGGTACCAAATGGGTGAGATGTAAAATGGGCCCAACTGTTATTTTCTCATTTGTTCTGTGAAATTAATATTAAAAATCAAAATGATATGCTAATATTAGTGTTACACATAACTAAAATAAATTCACACAATTATCTTATAATTAATTTTCTTTAAGTTATCCGGCATATCAAGCAGCAGCAGCAACAACAACAACTGCAACAACAGATAAATTGTTCGTGCGACAATGAGAGCAATGAACCGCCCGGTGTTGCGACTCTGTGCAATCTTGGCAATACTTGTTTTCTTAACAGCGTTTTATACACATTGAGGTTTGCTCCATCATTTTTGCATAATCTTCATCACCTCATTACTGAATTGCAAGAAATTACTGGTCGTTCCACTTACGGCCTTCTTAAAGTATGGACTAGTTTTTTTTTTTTTGTGATCAGCAGCCAACACCATAGTATGTTTTATTTGTGTATTTTATTATTTTTAGGGAAAATGTTCGTCGTTAGGCCGTAGCACGAGTTCGGTAAGCAGCAAAATGTGGAATTGCCAATCGTTTAATGTCAGCATGAATGACCTTAAAATCATTCAAGTCACCGAACGACTCCATCAAGTATTTGAAGCGTTACACAATTCCGAACTCAAAGACAATTCAGACCCATATCAACCTGAAGTGTTTTTACAATCACTGAGGTACTATAATAATAGTTATATTTAATAGTACTATAGATATTTGGGTAGTAATTAAGTTTTTGATTTAACACACACTTTTTCCCCCACCAAATTAGAGACGTCAATCCTATATTTGAGGGCAATCAACAACACGACGCTCATGAACTTCTCGTATGTCTGTTGGATAATATTAGAGAGGGATGCAAGTTGGTAATGCAGAATTCTGCCCAAACCAGTTGTTTTGTTTCTCCCGCACCTGTTGTTCAGCCTACACCGACAAAATTAAAATTACTTTCTGGCGTACGAAAGTCATTAAAAATTGCGTCTAGCAGTAAAACCAGGCCCGTCAATGGAATACTACCAACAACTACTACTAATTCAACAAATGAAAAATTACCAGAAAACGAAAATTTTGCTGGTATGCATAAATAATATTATTGGATATTTCAACAAGAATGGACCAAATATTTAAAAAAAAAATGTGTTTGTTATTTTAGATGATAAACAAATGTATGTAGTAAATGGTATGACAAATACTTCACAAATAGACGAACATGACAGTATTCCTAGTAATGGTAGCAATAGTAGCAGTACGTCAATGTTTGATGATTTCCAAGGAGTGTCTTTATTACGAACCACCTGTTTAGAGTGTGAATTTGTGACCGAACGTAAAGAAAGCTTTTGCGATATTTGTGTTCCAATTAATGGTTTATCTAACGGAGACATTTCCCCTGAACATGATTATGACTCTTTCGGTATGATAGAAAATCAATTTGGAAATCATGGGAAAGTTTTATGAATATTTAATTTCTTTTCTTTTTTTAGATTATGAAAATGTAAATAAATTATACCATTCTGCAATAGTGACCGAAGAGTATTTACAAGATACTGATAAGTATTGGTGTGAACAATGTTGTCGATATAACGAGGCCAAACGTAGTGTTGGATATGAGAGTTTACCGCGCTTATTGACATTGCACTTGAAACGGTTTTGTACCAATTATAGGTAATTATGATAAGGTATTATTGGTTTATGATAAGTTTAACTAAACAATTCTTTTCACGTGATATCTATAGAGCCGTGGTGTCTAAAGTCAATGAACACATGCCGACGCCGCTGACTCTCGATTGTTTCTGCGAAGAGTGTCTAGCCCTTAATTCGCAGCAATCTAATCGGGCACATAGCTATCAGCTGTATGCAATTATCATGCACTTAGGGGCGACGATAGCATCTGGTCATTATGTTGCGTACGTTAAAGCTCAAGACAATCTAGAGGAGTATGACAATTGTCCACGAGACCGACGAAAAGCCGGAAGCCTTTCGACAACACCTAATGGCACTTTACCTGCAAACTATAAAAAGTCTTCAATATCAAGCGGTCTTTTCAGATTTTTGAAAATATCCTCAAAAACATCATCGACCTCGGGAAGTACTAGTAGCGTTTCAAGCGATTCAATCGACTCAGGTAGAGCGTCTTCTTTGGGGCGATGGTGCAGGAGTTTAGACTGTTGTGGTGTAAGAATATTGGACAGTTCAGAAGGTAGCGATAGTGTGTGGTTAGAATGTGATGACGAAACAGTTAGGACTATGTCGGTTGCACAGTTGACGCAAATTCTAGAATCAAAGTCGTCCAAGAACTCGGCTTTAACCCCGTACCTTTTGTTTTACGTAAAAGTTAATCATGGCGAGTAAACAATGATAACTTATGGCGAATACCTATTTTTTATTATACAAAATTTTCATTGTAATAAACTGTACGATTTTGTGATAAGCTAAAAAATTTAAATGGGGCTACACACATCAGTATCATTTTACCAAAGACTTATTTTTAAACAAATGTGTTCTCTTACAAGTGTACTATAATTTAAAAACAATAATAGTAATTGTGTTTAAAACCACTTCAATTTTTTCGGACCTTTAGTTTTAACAATATTTGTAATAACACATAATATATAATTAAAATATATTATAATAAATATTTATATTTGAATAATTTATTTTTCGTATAATATAATAACAATTTAAAAATTAATTTTTATTTACATTTTTTTATCGTGAGAGTAGTATTTGCATTTCATTCATCACAAATAAAAAGAATAATTATTCATAACAAAGCAATAAAAAAAAATGTACATTAATCCTTTATTTTAACTTTGTGACAGTTCACCCAATAATATTATAAGCAATAAAAATATGTGTATAACATTTTTGTATAGCATTATTGCGTTTTAAAATTAATTGTGCCAAACAAATGTTTTAGTTAGGGATATTATTTTTTTTACAAACAATGGCTGTGGTCTATTATATTAAATATACAATAGGTTTTATTTTACTTATAAGTTATTGTGTACTTTAAAGACTTTATAGTTTTCAGGTTGCAAACTCGATTGCATATGTTGACTACACTATGATTATATTTATTTGTTTGTTGAATTCCTTTTAATTTTATTTCAATTGTCTATAATTTTTCACTGTATTTTACTTATTTTTGTTTTTATATGATAATAATTCATTAATAAAAATAAATATTGTAAATTAAATGTAGAGAACAGGACGCGGTTGTGAAGTCTTAAAAACCAATATATTAAAATATATGTGATATTTTGTATAGATTATTATTAGTAGCCCTTATTTATTTTTTGTAAGGATTTAGTTAAAACAGTATTTTTTTTTTGTCATTCTATAGAGTATACATTTTATATGTAAGACTCTTACGTGAATTATTTCCCCTTTACAATTGTCATTGTTTTTGTAATTTTGTAACATATTATATAATATTTAATTATTGTTCGATTAAGTAAATAAACAAATATATTATGCATACTATATTACTAGTAAGAAGGCGATATTGACTAGGTATAAAAATGAAAAATAACTTTTACAATGTTAAAAATTAATTTAGTAATAATTGAGTATATTATTAAATATATTCTATGAATGTTGTTTTAAACGTTTTGTTATACTTACTATTTACTGATAATAGAATATGTATTTATTTAAAAAGAAGACATACTGTACAAATTAATTAAAAATACATGTTGTGTAATATATCTAATATGATGTATTGGCAAATATTTTTTTCCGTTACATTTGAGCATACATTACAACTTTAAATTTTACACTGATATTGGTAAAAAAAAAAACATTAGCTATGCTAATAATTCTGTCTTCCCTAAAATGAGTAGCTCAATGTATTTTTTATTTTCAAATCTGATAACTGTTGACATAATATCTTTTTATCTATTTGTATTATATAAAGTATCTTTATTCAAATTAGATAATTTATTTTGTAAATATGTTAATTTTTTTTTGTCTTATATTATTGTTATGGCTTGAACTTGTGATTAAAGCAAATTATTTCTGTTAATTTGTATTTATATTATTATGATTTATGTACCTTATTTACGAGATGTGTGTTATAAAAATAATATATCAATGTCAATGTATTTTGAATGAGTAATATTTGCAAACATTTTATTACTGCAAAATTATTTTAGACCAAATGCTTTGATTAAAATAATTTTTTGCTTTTAAATTATGTTTTCCCAATAAAGACTATTGGGTACTTACTTACTTCAGCTCTTAAATGTAATGTTAAATTTTCAAATCTAAGAACTTCGTACAATCATTTTAAATATTGTGTCTACTACAGGCAAAACCACATTTATGATTGTTCTACAAACAATACATATAATACATTTTCCATGTTTTGTACAGCTTTAAGAATTTTTATAGTTTATCAGAATTAAAAAAATTAATATATTTTAGTAAATTTACAAAGTATATACTAATTTTTTAAAAAAAATACAACTGAACGTTATTATGAATATTAAAATAATATAAAATATGTACATAAACTTATAACAATAATAATAATTACCAATCTAATGCACCTTCTAAAAACTCAAAAGGCATACTTTCTTCAATTACGGCGTCAATATGTTTTCTTTGTAATGTTTTTTTATTGGACGACATCATCGCTTTGTGACAATGTTGTGCTAGTAAGCCGACGAAACCTTCCTAAAACACAAAAAAATTAATTTTAGTGATGAGATTTTAAAAAAAATAGTCTTACCGTTGCTTTTGTAAGCAATAAAACTGCATCTGCTGCAATTATATTAACATCGGGATCCATTTTCATAATTAACTTGACTCGTCCAGGTGGTAGGCCCTTGTAAACATCTTTTGTTTTCGATGCACTTTTTGGAGTGTTATTCTCTAGTTGCGCCGCCGATTCATCATTGACAGATATACTTGCATCTTCGGTTTGATTTTGAGCACCCTCAATGTCATCGTCTTCAGATAGATCGGTGTGATATTCAATAGAGTTTTCTTGTAATGTGTCAGTAGTAGAAGATTCTGCGGTTTCTTTGTCGGAAGTTTTGGTTTCTTGAATTTCACCCAACATTTTGGTCAATACATTGTCTACTACAGTTAACTCTGGATTATCGGGTACTTTCAAATTTATCGACATAGGCTCGCTGTCGAATAAATCTGGTGTGTCTTCCATCTTGTTGTAAGCCTTTGAAATAGAGTCCCACAAGTTTGTCGAACGCGACGAATTATAGTTGAATATAAAAAAATAAAAATTACTAGTTTGAATTTGATATTGTTATTAGTGCAGATAACATTATAAAACTGATTAACAAGCCTATTGTTTTCAATATTTCACTGTGCCTTGCCTTTTAATAATGTCAGCACATTTTTTTCAATCGCGAATTCGAGACTTCTATAAACGTAAAACGAATATACAGTATATACATATTCTGATATCATTTTAAAAATGTAATCAAATCGCAAATTGGCGGGAAATTTTCTAACCTTAAAAAGTGCAATGTGTGGTACATTCTCGTAACCACGGTTTTAACAATGTTGGTAAATTGGTTTAAAAATGTATGTGCTATGATTGGTTACAACTTACATATTTTGTTTTTTACTTTTTAATGCTCGTGATCTTTTTCACATACGTTTTTAATGATATTAATAAAACATACAAATAATGACTATGATTTTCACCTGAAACTGAAATTGAGATTTTAGCAGTACTGTTAATATAATATTCTGGCTTGAAAATATTTAATAAATGCCTAAGTCACGACATAACCTGTATTATTTATTTGTTTATAATATTAAGAATCAATAATATACATTTATAATAATAATAATAATTATAGGAAACTCCATTGAACAGTTTTACTCTTTTTACATGCTTTTCTTTAGCTCACTAACACGTACGTACGTAACGTTTGTACGGGTATTTTTCAAATCTTGCAAAATTAATTTAACCCGTTTCCCGATGTCGTATAGGGCTGAAACTTGGCACAGACACTCATCTTAGATGACAATACAACATCCTGTAATCACATTGGGACTCGGACATCCAGGTCGCCCTAAAAAATAGTAAAAATTGAACTAAAAAGTAAAAAATAATTTTATTACAAGAATAGTTTACCAATCACTTGTAGCATATTTTATTTAAAATGTCAATTACTTTGAAAACAACCGAAAATTAACTACAATTTTAAATAATGTTAAACATCTTTAATTTTTGATTAAAAAGAAAAGCGTGGGCCCTATTCAACAAAGTCCCTAATAAATTTATCAGATAATGTTTTATACTGTAAGTTATTTTGTAATTTAAATTTAGTTTAATATTTGTTGTGACACATACATTTTATAATACTTATAACTCAATGAATTTGGACTTTGTTGAATAGGGCCCACGCTTTTATTTTTAGTCAAAAATTAAAGATGTTTAACATTATTTAAAATTGTAGTTAATTTTCGGTTGTTTTCAAAGTAATTGACATTTTAAATAAAATATGCTACAAGTGATTGGTAAATTGTTCTTGTAATAAAATTATTGTTTATTCTTTAGTTCACTGTTTACTCTTTTTTTTTTAGATACAATCAAATTTGTATTTAAAAACGACGACCATTTTCGTATAATTTACAACTTATTCAATAAGATTTATCGGAAAAAACTAATAAATAAAGAAAATGTAAAAAAATATTTAATGTAATAGTTCTTAAACCAATAGCGACATTAAATGAAATAAATCGCATCTTGAATTATAATAATGGTAGTCCCACCAAACCACTTCATCTAATTTGAAATACCCTAAGTAAATAATATTAAGCCTTTTTATTGCGTGGTTTTTGTGAACGATAAAAAATCAATATTGGAGTTTAGTAACATATGTTTTTTTTATTAACACTAACGTTTACCAAGTTATTGCTACCTTAATGTTTAAATATACCAATAATATTATAGTCGTGTAGTATAAATTGTATTCGATTTTTAAACCAGGAACTAATTTGTGTAAAAAACTATTTAAAACAAATCGAATTTTCATTTCGCCCTTGGTTTGTAGAAATTTTTCTTCTGGTTTCTAAATAAATACTATTATTTTTTAATACACATGCAAAGCCCAAAGGTATTCACCATCTATTGGACATTGGAATTAGTTGTTTTTAAATCTAGAACAACACATTTAATGAATATAAAATAATAGTATGTAAGTTGAAACAGCTTGCATAATATTATTTATTTTAGCATTTTTGTTGTCTACAATAAGTTTTGTACTTTATGCTAACCTACTTATATAAGTATAATGCTCAATTTGATGCAGTACAAATAATTATCGTAGAAGAATCCTACATTATGTCATGTGCAAAAAATATTTTCAATAACTGTCATTAGCATTCATTTATAATTGGGTAATTAGGTAAGCGCAATAAACATGCATATAAAAAGTGCTTGTCGAGTGAAGTCCCCGGTAATAAATACAATTAAGTTAGGTATATTGTATTAACACGAATCAGCCACAAGAACAACCATGCCACCGTGTATAATTTTATTTCAATTACAGCCTTACGAGCCAAAGTAAACAGATATTTTTTAAATGTTTATACCGTAATCGTAATTATAATAATTATTAAAGATAGCTCTAAAATAGTTTATATCGTTAAACCTTGTACAACTCCAGGCATTTTAGTCCGATCAGATATTATACGAGTTGTATAATACTTTTATTAAATTGCAAACAATTATTTTAAACACGTGTCTCGGTTAAGCCCCGCGGGTTTTGCGTTCAAAGCATTTTTTTATTACTACATTATGAACCGCGATTGAACAATTTAACTAATTAATTAATTAAAAATCGTCAATTTTTTTATCACACGTCCAAGCTCAAGTCGTCGTTGTCTTTAAAATATGTTTACTATTAATTAAGCTACTAATAAGTTTAAATATAATATTATTTGCACAAAAAATATTTAACCTATATATTTAATCAACAGTTAAAAAGTTGTTTGTTGGGTGAATTTTTTAAGTTGAAAAATAGTTTTGAAGGATACTAGGTACGAACAAACGTAATTGATACAAATTCGTTAGATGATTTGTAGTATGGAAAGTAGTTAGAATTCACATTAAAAAACAGGTTTTTGGCTAAAGAATAAAAATACAAAATCTTCCAAGGTTATTAAACAAGTACAATATGAATACAGATTGAATTAATCTTAAGTCGATTTCCGATGGGGTTACCTAGCGAGAAGGGCGATTATATAATAATATTTAGTGGATATTAGTACGAATTATTTGTACTTTGGTTTATGGAGTCCTTTACAATTCTACACACTGTTTTCTTAATTTAATAAATATAATATTTAACAATTTATAGCTCTGTATAAAAACATCCAAACATAAATCATATTGCTCTAAAGAGGACCGTATGAAAGGATGTTAGACATCAAAAGTGATAGACACAAAAATATGGAAGGAGGATTTTTAAAAACCTATTGTAGGTGGGGAAAATATGAGTTTATTTATGTTGTATAATAAGACATATGTATATATTACGAATACACATAAGTTTTTGTACAAATGGATAATACTTTTGTAGATAATATAAAAAAAATAGTTGAAGAACAAAATATTAACTAGGTTATGGGTAAAATATAAAAGCAACTTAATTAATTTCAATAAAAACATTATTATTTTACTATCTATATGGTTGGTTAAAATACGAGCGATTGTCTATTAACCATATTATTATTACAAAACATGATTAGCCTTGTTCAAAATTATCGTTATATAATCTCATCGTATAATCAAAAAAATCATAAGCTTAATAGATAGATACGTATTAAAATATATGTTTCTTTAATATAGGTATTAGTTTATAAATAAAAAACAATTCAAGATACATTTAGCCTTTTTTCTTGCTAACTGCAATAAACTATAAATGTTTTATCATAAACATGTTTGTTATGGGCCCTGAATGTGTATATTTATTAAGGGCTCAATTATAGGCAATATTTGAAAAATAATTTATTTAAATAGATGTACTGACCATGACGTTAACTTAATTTTAGGGTAACTTATTATGGCATCATGGTGTAATTCCTCAGGTACCTATACAATTCTGTAACGTAGTTATAGCTACATTTTGATTATGATGCCTGTAAAAGTTATCAATTTTAATATCTCTTGTATGTCAATCCGCTAGATCTCCGTAGTTAAGTTATTATAAGTATGCACATTAAACTCCTATAAAACCGATATCTTGGGTAAGTACCAAACATTAGCTGGGTTCAGCAAAAAATACCTTTTTGTTTGTTTGCGTTATTTTTGCCTACATTGGAAAAATCAAACGTTTTATTAGTTATTACATAATGTGTAGGTATATAAACATTGAATTGTTAAAAACGACTTTCAATATTATTAGTATAAGTAGTTCAAGAATTAATAAACCTAGTTAAGTTGTTTATAATGTAGCCGAAGGCAAATTTAGAGGGATAGAGCCCTCTCTTTTTTGTAAATAATGTATGTAATAATATTAATAGTTTGTACATTTTTCATCGTGGTCAATAAACTATGCGGATACGGAGGGAAGAAGGACGACCCCGCAAGGGCGAAGTGTTCTTTCGTAGCGCCGGAAAACATCACAAAAAAAAAAACTATAAGTAGTAAACATATTTAGCATATCAACTATATGGGCATACATTACTATGGGTTGTATTATAATATTTAAAAATTAGACTAGTGCACATTATGTATAGCTGATGTGTATAATGACGAAATGCTACTTGTTTCGTTGTGTTTAATGGCCCGTTTCGAAATTAATATGATTCAATTGGAGAAAAAAAAACGCATTCGTATGTTGCAGTCCTCTCACTCAGGAAGCCTTGAGATGGTTCACAACATAACTGGATCGCGGTGCTGGCGATTATTAGTCGATTAATAAATACTTACACCTATTTCTTATACACATATACGGTGTACCAGTATATTAAATTTAAAGCTTTTGACCTACAACTAGTCCGCGGACACCGGTCAATAATACATACAAGACACGTAAACATAATATATTGTAAATGTATCATAATATATATTTTATTAAATAAAAAGAGTCGCACGCCCGGTGTATGTATAATATTAATATTATGTTAGTCTAAAAAAGGACTCTGCTCGACTACGACGTCATAAATAATAACACCAGAAGGAGCGTAGCTCGGGTTAGGCTTTAAGTGTGAAATTAATTACATGGTTGTAATTAAAAAAAAATCCGTATCTTCGGGTAGGACATCGAGTAGGTCGTTGGGCGTGATCAATCATCCTGAGCGAGATTGGCAACTAAATACATAATATGCAATAATAAATATTGCAAAATGCCGTGGACCATAGCATAAGGTATGCCACTACAGTTATAGACGTTAGCAGCTGATGTATTGGT